GTTCCTGGTGGCTGGTAAGTCTGGGGCATTTGCAAAAACACTCTCTTTGTTCGTCTGCTAATCAAGTGTATAGCGCTGTGTTCCAGGCTGGCGGCCTGGTCGTTGTTCTGGTCGAGGTAAGTCGAAAGCCTTACTTGGCGTCCATTGTACCAGTCATCGTCAATGCCATTTTGAATGAGCATCAAATCATCGTCGACATTGTGGCGTTTGTCAGCAAAGGCGATTTCCCGCGCTCTCGACTCGGTGAAAAGCAACGCGGCAAGATTCTCGCTGGATGGGTCACTCGCAAGCTGCGTACGCTGGCACAATTCGCCATTCGCGACCTCGACGTGGGCGCCATAGGCGAGTCCGGCAGCGGCAGCGGCCCTGGCGATCTTGCAGATGCCCATCGCATGTCCACAGGAAGCATCCGTAGTTCAGGTGTACATGCTGGCGCATCAAGCTTACGAAACGTCGAGCATGCACCGCAGATTTTGGAACAGGAAGAGCTAGACGTCCAGATGAATCGCATGGCGCACATGCCACCCGCTTCGGCTCCTGGCACTGCATCCACGGTTACGCATGACGATCAAGTGACGCCGACAGGATTCGCCCAGGGTGTATCATCAGATACTCTTAGTCAAGGAACTTTGAGCCGCAACTCGGCGTCGCAGCCTGGATATTTTGACGATGCACAGCGGAATAGTGAGGCGGCCTATAATGATGACCAGGCTCCAGCTGTTGGGCCGAAGCCGGACTCATCGAGAAGTCAGGACCATCCCAACGCCGCAAAAAAACGAATGGTCCTACCAGGTGTGGACGGTAGAGAAGGGTTTCAATTTTGGGACAGCCCCCCGGGAGAAGATGACGAGACGGACTGGACGGCCGAAGCAATTATGCACATGAATCTTGCTGGAGATATGAGCTCCAGATGAAAATTATGCAAAGGGAAAAAGTATTGACTGTGGTCTGGGGTTCCGCCTAATTATTGGGACACCCGGTAGACCACATGTGTAAGGCGAGACAAGGGCGCGGGGGTGTTGCATACCGCATGGGCTGTGATGTAAGCCCGTTTTTTTTTCTTTCCTGTTGCCTTTATGTTTCTGGATTATGAATATGCTTTGGGCAATCATAAATGGACCTTGGCTTGACTTGTATAGGCATGGGAAAGCGCTACACCAACATGAATATACAATACCAGCGTAGACGCTGATTTTACCTTGTAAATTATGCGTGCATCTATGCAAAGCCGTGCATGTTTATGCACTGGGACTCCCGCTAACCGAAATGCCGAAAAGGAAAACAAGAGCAGAAATGCTTTAGTAGTTCATCATCCCTCAGATGTCTTCCAGTGTAACGCCATTCCACCCAGCCTATCCTTGATGGCTCGGCACTGTTTTCATCGGGGTCTGTTGAGACGGCATATTGAATCGTCAACATCTATCGATGAGACTGTCCCCCCGTCACGAAGAGCACTTATGTCGGCAAAAAGGGTCCAGGTTTTTGGTCACCCCTTAAATACGATGCTGCACTAGTAAGTTTCCGTTAATGGACCCCCCACTTCTCTGTTTAGCAGCATGTTCTTTTAGGGTGACAGTGACGGTGAGCCTCTACTTCTGGAGAGACTGGGTTGGAGACATGTTGCGATGATATGCTTGGTGTTTTGTGAGACGTGAGAGGATAAACTGGGAACTAGCTTCACGGCAAAGCACTACCTCTGCAACGGCGTGGCAAGAAGTGTACATTGTTTCGTGTGTTTACTACGAACGAACGACGAGTCAGCTACTTCACTGTCAATTTCATCGGGTGTTTCTCACTCCTTGCGGAGCCTACATCGCCCAGGTGTGGAAGACCTTTCTTCCGAGGCTACCACATGGCCATCACCACAGACCAACACCTCATTACCTACTTGGTTTTGGTCTAGTCGCGACTATTAGGCCATTGGCTAGGAGAAATTCATTGCACAATGGCTCCCTTCCAGGGTATCCCGTCCCCATGAGGGTGGCGCGAGCGGCCTGCACGGGCCGCTGTGTCAGGAGAGCACCGCCCGTTCTAAACTCGGCGACGGAAGGGCCCGTTGGCATGAAACGAGAATGAGATGGAGGAGGAATGCCAACTGTCTGGTTCTGCCTTGTTGGCCTCCAAGGAGCGGCTTCGGAAAGCCAGGGCCGCGGACGAGGTCTGCAAATCTCAACACAACACGGCACTGCCCTCGAGTCTGGTGGCACTAAGCGCCGGGCCCTGTGCTGACCAGACACCACATCATGACGCAAATTCTTTCATGGTCGTCTATCAAGTGACAAAGGAGGAACAGGTATGTGCTGCGCCCGGCATCCGGCCATCGACCCGGGAGCCTCACGGACCGCACGTTTAGCGCCGCAAGCGGCTGGTCATCGAATCGGTTCAACGAATCCTATCATCTGCTGCATTGTTCCCGACTCCCGGGCGCGCGTGAGCTTGAAAGAGATTGCGGCTGAGCCTCCGTCGCGGTCCAATTTTGGAAGTGCCTGTCAACATTCGAGCCTCGTATGCAACACCTATTCTGATATTGGCAGCGATATGGATTTGTCTCGCAATAGACGTATGATCAAAAGGATTAAACGGGATACTTTTGCTTGTCTCCATTGTTTCGCACCTGAGACTCGTGGAAGTTCCGTATCATTCTCATTCTGTGTGGCCGACGCATGTGCTGTGGTGAGAATTAGCGCCAGCCGTGAAAACTTGCAGGTGGACGAACGCGGTCGTTTTAACCCTAAAGAAAGGAGGCTACATGTCAGTCCTTCAATCCACTCGATTTTTCGGCAATTACTAATGACTGACTTGGCGCTGCAGAGCTTTCTTACCGACAACCGCGGAGACGGCCATATGCAAACCTTATTAGATGCAAGTGCGGTCAGTGGAGTATTAGCAGCGATCAATACCTTCAAAGTGCTGAGTCTCTGAGCGTCCTAATCCGAAGCGTCGGGTCGTGTTCTCCCAGAGTTCATGATCGAGGCATTGTGTGCCGAAGACTCGAAAAACATGGGGAGGAACAGCGCACTGGTACACTCTGACCGGAAACCCCAATGCTCTTGGGATTCTGAACTTCCAACATCGAGTTCCTTGACCGTTTCTGTGTTTCGGAGGGCCTTAGGTAGTGGCTCGATCGATATCGATGCCTCCCATGTCAACGACGAGAGCAAGATCCATATGGGCCAACGTCAGTATATCGCGTATCCATGAATATGCCGTGTTCCCTGAACTACTTGTGAATGAAATAACTCGTGCAGTCTTCATTTCCCACTTACAGCTAACAAGCACGCACAACACAGCATAGCACAAGCTCCCATGCAAAGATGACAATCACACCAACACGGCCTACTGATTAGCAAAGTCGGATTCAGAGAATAGCCAAGTCAACAGGATGCAAGCAAAGCATCGCCGTCCAAAAGTGTGTCGATATGGCAGAGTAGGTTCCACACCCAAGAGCACTCACCCGTTGCCCTCCCCCGAATGCTTTCTTTTGATCCCTTGGACCGGTCTCACGTCAAAGCATCCCATTTCTTCTTTGAGCAAGTGTCCACATGTACAAAAACGCGGCGCTCTTTAGCAGCCGTGTCGCAAAACCTTGGAGGAATGAATGGAGAAAGGCAGGGATCGAGCAAAGGGCCGGGCTCAATGAAGATTCTTGGCTCACGCATTCGACTGAGCTTTTGTCTGTTGGCGCAATGTGCGCAGCCCGGGCTAGGAAATGCGTCCGACCATGTAGCTGCGCCTGGTGCTTCGCGTCAAAGCTTATTGTGAAGCAGGGGTGATTACAGACGCAAAATCAAGCGCATAGCGCTCAAATGATGACGTGAGCGTGGTTGATGGTTGCCCGAGGACGGCCGTGAATCGGTGGGATAAAGACGTGTGAAGTTTGAACGGCGGCGTCCAATGCTGCTGCGTCGATACAGCGGATATAGTGCAAATGTCGATTTTGACGCTGGGATCTTGCTGGATTTCTTCTTGGATAGTTCTCGCCGTGGGAATGCGCCGCGGGCAACAGTCGAATGGCTCAAACGGCGCAGGGCAACGCTGCATTGATTGTTTCAATGAAATGTTGCCATTTGATGGAACTTTGATGGCGGAAAGGGCGCTGGGGCCGCGGTTGACCTTTCAACAGTGTTGAATCAACACTTGACTGTGCTTGACCTTTGAACCGTTGACACCTGCTTCTTCAGGCCCCACATGCGCCTCTATGCTTCAATGTTCCCGCTTTCTTCTTCATTGTTCTATGTCTTGCTCTATCAAACCCGACCGGCAGCGTCCAAAACATCTTTTCAACCTCTCCTAAGAGATTGGCCATGCAGGCAGCTCTTGGGCCCTTCATTGAACTCCTGCGTCTGATGAAAAAGCCAAGGAGATGTCGGTCTCGTCGAGTAATGGCGACGCCCGCCACACCATGAGCAGGTCCATGATGCCACGTTTCGCCAAAAAAAAAAAAAAAAAAAAAAAAAAAAACAATCTACAAGGTTTCCATGAATGTTAGGAACTCATGTCTGCAATGATTTGAAGGTGTAAATCTTGGATACATGAGATTGATGAAGCCCGTTCGGTTCAGAGATGAAATGTTCATATCACGTAGCTTGAGCTCGGTGACTGCAGTCTTGGTTCCCTCCTCCCGCCCCGAATGGACGGAAACCAGTCCATTCGTGGATCCAAAGACTAACAAAGTCACTTTCAGCACACATAGAAGTTCAAAGTGTCTTGTTTGGCAGCGTTCACGGACGGCCAACATGGAGGATAATGCAACAAGCCGCAGCCTTTGTACGCGGCGAAAGAGACCCAGTGCCCTTTTCAGCGGCTTTTTGTGAGCTAGAACAAGACAGGAGCAAGAAATTCATAGACGGGGTGTAAATCCCTTTCTGTCCATGTCCGTTGTGTTCAAATCGTGCTTTCCGCTGCCGGTGCCCTCTGGGCTGGCTCTTATATATTCCGTCGTCCCAAACTCGATTTTCTCTTGGAAGAATGTTCAATGCATAAGACCAAGAATGGGAGCCATGGACGACTATAATAACGCCGCACAGAACACCGACATGGGCCGCAGACAGCCAAGCAACATGACGAATACTGTCACCCGGGCGCCCCAGAGACGCAGGCCAAACACGGCCTATGACGGCCATGATTATGGACAGCAACAGCACACAGTCAACGCAAACCATGACGGCTACCCCAGCGTTGTCAACAACCAGGCCCTGGGTCGTGACGTGGAGACACATTTTTCGAGTGTCTCATGGCCTCCGAACTCAGGCCCAGCACTCGGGTTGCAACCCAGCGCACCGCAGTGTTACAATCAGATGAATGAACCTCCCTTATACCACGCTATGAAGCTCCCTTATGAAGCTCCCTCATACCAGACTATGCTTAACCACAGTGGCCGAGTTTCCAGGCAATCGTTGAGCCAGAACCCCTCAAGCTCCCAGGAGTTTGCCCCTCAGCTGCTCCCACTGCCGGTGTATAGCCAACACCAATACATTCCGCCGGGATACCACCAGCCAAGTGAAGGTTACGATATCAATGAAGCCAATGGTGCCACGGCCGTTGATGCGGCCCGGCCCTCCCAACAGGCATGTCGTCAAGGCAGGGTGAAAACCTCACGGCCTACGGCAAGTCACGACGTGGCAGACTCAAATACCGAGTATGCTGCTACAGACCATGAGAATGACAAGGACAGCAATGATGCACCAGACATCAGGAAACAGAAGCGCTGTCAGAAGAAGTACGAGGACCAAAAGCCTGAAAGAGACCCGAAGACGGGTAGATTCTCCCAAGTATGCAACCGTCGCAAACAGAAGAAAGAAGGAAGGCCCGATACCAAGCCGGAGGAAGTCTACGAAAATTTCGAAAACTTCCGTCTCAGAAAAGGAATCAATTTGAAAGCCAAGAACATTCCCAAAGGTGAGAGTAACGAAGGGTTCGAATACAACAAGTATGGGCAGCTCAACCGTAAGACTTTTAGTACAGAGGATATTAGGGAGATTGTCGAGTTTAAAATCGAGGAAAGCCAAGAGTCAAAAGTGCCTCCGAAAGACTCACAAGAGCCTCCGAAAAAAGACTTCACAATGTGGATTCAGAGCGCCCCATGCCAAACCGGCGATCGTCTAGATCTAGATTGGGATCAAAATTGCAGGTGGGAAGATTGCCCCGGAAAGAATAGAACAGTTCGCCCAGGACAGTTCCGGGTTGCGTTCGATGAGTTACCAAATTTCACGGGAAAAGGACTCGTCGACCCCCTGAAACCAGCCCTCGTCTTACACCTACGGTGCTTCGAGGAGGTCTTCTCCAGAGAGGAGACGCAGAAATATCTCACCGACGGGGTTTTGAAAGGAGACAGGCGCGAATTTGAGAGCGAAGATAGAAACATTGTGCGTTTGGACAAGGACGGCAAAGACCATTCCCGCACCATAATCGAGGAATGGCGGAAAGCCACATACAAGGCGCAAGAGGCGATTGCTCAGAAGATGGTTGATGCCAAACGCGAGGCCGGCGCCAGAAACAACAACAGTGGCAGCGGTGACTGCGAATTCTACCAGGAACCGACATACTCGGCTGGGCACCTTGCATCCTTGACTTTTGCCTTGACTGCCTGGTACACCGACCAGAACACTAAATATAGAACCATGGACGGAAATGGGACAAGGGCAAGGAAACGAAATGAACGCAACGAAGAAAGGCCCAAGGGCATCAGGGCCACTTTCGATTATAGCTTTGGCGACATTGAATACTATAAGAAAGCAAAAGAAGGACAGCAAAATTACAGGAACAAACAGCCGGAAGAAAAGAAGAAGGCCGCTTCAAAACAGCCTGCGAGAAAAAAACAAGAAGACACAAAGCATCGAGATTCTTCCGATGACCCCGAGACAAAACTTTTACAGGCCAAGGAACGGCTCGAGGAGGCTAAAAAAGGACTTTTACAGGCCAAGGAACAGCTTGAGGAGGCTAAAGAAAGACTCGACGACGCTCAGCAAAATTACGACGAAGCGGAAGAGAAAAGGGACGCTCAGAAGCATGTTCCCAAAAAGAAGGCTACCAAGAAGAAGGGTAAAAGGAACAACCCTGCGGCGCAGACAGCTGTCGAAGAGGCCAGCGAGAGCCTTGAGACAGCCAAACGCGACTGTAGACGTGCCCCAAAAGAGCGCAGCAGCGCCAAAGACACGGACGCGGTAGAGGAATCTCCGAGAAGCCTTCAACAATCGGCAAAATCACATGCCCCAGCTCATACAGACGATCTCGGTGAGAGGAGCGGAAACGAGCCCGCCAAGGAGAATTCTGAACCCTCATATAACGACGCTATCTACGATCCAAGCTCATTTTGGCTATGCCTAACGGATGCAAATGGAGTCTTTGAAGGAGAAAGTTTGTATACTTTACCAGGCACCGCCGGTCAGGACCAGCTCGCAGATAACAAAAACCTGAATTGCCCAGGCTCACTCGGCGCAAATCAGGGGGAGTGGCTCGAGAACTGCCATAAACCCCAGGAGAGTCTCCCAATCGGGCTTACAAGAGAAGATGTGCTGTTATGGCAGGAACCCATGTCCACGCCAACATCCTACGCCTCGATGTCATCTACCCAGATGCTAACGGCATGGGCGTCGCAGGGCCGAGTCCTGGAGGAAGTGCCAGACTCGGACGAAGACAGGCCCCTCAGGGTGAAGCAAGAACCCTCGCAGCAGCGAGTCCTGGAGGAAGCACCAGACTCGGACGAAGACAGGCCCCTCAGGGTGAAGCAAGAACCCTCGCAGCAGCGAGGCCTGCAGGAACTACCAGACTACAACAACAACAGCGACCCCAGGACAGTGCCGTCACGCGTGGCAGCGCCGCGGAAGCGAGGCCAGCGCCAAATATCAGACTACAACGACGCCGAGGAGGCCCCCAGCACAAAGCGAGCTCGCACTGCGGCTCCGCAACAAGTCTCCAACACGGCAGCGGCATGCCATATACCGTCCTACGGCCCGAACAGGCCAACAAGGAACAAGCGACGCGCCGACGGCGATTTAGACGACTCTTCCCACAAGAGGATGTGTCAATAGGGCGGATGGCATCTTCCAGCGCGGAGGCGGCAGGAATCGGAGGCGCTTAGTCCCAAGACTATTCCGGCGGCGCTGCTCAAGTCACAGAGGCAGAAATAAGGGATATTCGGATAGCTATGGTGTGCGTATTACATGTGTTTGGTTGGCCGGCTTGCCTAGTTTCAACCGGAATTGCGTTTTGAGGATTGGAAAAGTGTGTAAAGAAAGGGGGAGGGCACTTGCCGAAAACCCTGATAAGAGATGTATACCGTCTCTGTTTTTTCTTTCCTCTGTCGTCTTGTATATATATCAAGCTTGGTGCTGTTTAATCGTTTAGAATGGAGTTATTTGCAAACCCGTCGCTCAGTTAAGAAGTAGTTACGTGAAACGTCGTTGTGAGCCCCCGCACGCCGCGTCCGTCGAGTTCGTCATCAGATAACCCACGCGCAAGATGGTCGTTGAAATTCGCGAAAACCCGGAAACCAGGCGAAATAACTACCGACTCGTCCACGGGCAACTGCCGTCACCCTGCATTTCCTTCCACCCCCTCCCTTGCTCCCCCGCTGGCGATGCAACCCCGGCGAGACTCGGCAGACCCTTAATATTTCTAATCAGCCGTCACGGAAGGGCAAGCCAATCACGCCGCACGCCGCGAGCAATTACAGTAATCGCTTGGTAAGCGGAGCCCCTCGCCAAGTTCTAGTGGACCTGGGACAAAACTTGACTCCATTGGGAAGAATTGCATCATGGAGCTCGATCCTCCTGGCAGGCCGCAGGATGCCTCCACGCAGTTCTCTTAAATAACAATCTTGCCAGAGCCCCCATCGTGCACATCCATGCCTCCCCTCCGGCTTGCTCGCCCAACGCCTCGCCCGTCATCTCATCTCGTGCGCCATCGCACCCTCACGGCCCCGTTCAACATGTCCCGCGCCGCCGCCGCCGCCGCCGGCCGCAACCCGCACCCGGACTTCAAGACGGTCGAGTCGTCCCGTCCCCCGGCGCCCCGGGCCTCGTTCAACGTCACACAGACAACCGCGCCAGACTGGACGTTTGGCTCCGGCGCAAACACGCCGGAGCCGCCGTCGGCCCACGTCTCCATCGACCCGTACGAGCCTGGCCGCCCGGCCGTGTTCAACTACAAGCTCCTCATATCGGGCATTGTCCCGCGCCCCATTGCCTTCTTGTCCACCCGGTCGGGCGACGGGTCGACCAACCTCGCGCCGTTTAGCTACTTCAACATGGTGAACCACGACCCGCCGCTGTTTGTCGTCGGCTTCGCCAGCTCCGTTGCTTCGGCCAAGGATTCTCTCAGAAACCTGCTCGAGTCCAAGGAGTGCGTCATCAATGTCATCTCGGACTCGTTTGTCGAGGCTGCCAATTCGACGAGCATCGACGCACCGTACGGCACCTCGGAATGGGATGTTAGTGGGCTGACTGCGGAGGAGTGCGACGTGGTCAAGTGCCCGCGGGTCAGGGAGGCCGTGTTTAGTGTGGAGGCGAAACTCGACATGGTGAAGGAGTGGGAGAGCAGGGTTTCCGGCCAGAAGACAGGGGTCATGGTGGTATTGGAAGGGGTCCGATTTTGGGTGAGGGAGGACGCTGTCAATGAGGATAGAAACATGATCGATCCTGCGGTAAGTCGGATTTGGATGCGAAATTGGCAACCCGGGTGAGCTGTCGTCGTGTGCTGACCGAGTTTGTAGGTTTTGAGACCCATTGGAAGGATGGGGGGCATCACGTATAGCAGAACGAATGAGGCCTTTGAGTTGCCAAGACCCAAGTTTGAGGAAGATCTTGGCGGGCATCAAGGGCTGGAGAGGATCAAAACTCAAAAGTGAGAGAAGTGCTCTCGTCGAAACACGGGTGTCCTATGCTAAGCGGGAACTCATTAACAACAGCAGATTATAGAGTAGACCCCAAAAAGTGGTATACATATAGATATGTAAGTACCTTGAGACGTCATCCATTCATGCATCATGATGTGTATAATCTCCAAGCGTGCACAACTCCCGCACACTTCCTCGTCTACCCAACTCCCCGCCAGATTTGAAAAAAAAAGAAAGAAAAAAGAAAAGAACAAGGGGGAGGGGCAGAAAAAAGAACAAAAGCAATGCCGGCTAAAAGTACAGACTCATTCCCGATTTGGACATTATGAATTCACACCCAAGATTCATTTCCTTCTCATAGTCCTGTAATTGCTGCAATATGGTATCTCCCACCTGTGGTCCGTCTTCCAGTCGCTCCTTGACGTGAATGATGATCACCTTGAGGCCCTCAAGCGGCTTTTTCTCGAGAATAGGATCCATTGGCCCAAAATCATGCAGGGACAGTTCATCGGTAGGTGTCGCCAGATGCGGTGTATCAGCATGGTCCGGTGTTGCCTCCTGTTTCGGTACCGTTGGCTTGATCGACTTCGGTGATACAGAGTCATCATACATAAAGCCCGGTTTGCCGAAAGGATTCCGCCGCTGGTTCATGATTTCATCCATGCTTGAACGTTTCCTTTTTTTGGAATCAAAGGTCCCAAGCTTCTGCGCAACTTCAACCTCATTCGCTAGCACCCGTAATTCTTCCATTAGAAAGCCCGGCTTCAAGTGTCCAAATAGTCGGTCATTGCTTTGAGAATCGTCGTATGAACATTCAATAAAGATTGCGGCCAGTATGCCAGAGACAATTCTGGGAGCAGCTTCTTGCCAAACGTACAGGTTCCGCGGACTGAGGGAGATACTATCAGGTTCAACATCTCCAAAAATGAGCACCTCGCGGCGATGTGACTGATCTCTTATAAAATAAGCGCTCGAGTCATAGACGCAGATTTTTTCCTGCTCATTGCTGGCAGCAAACTGCGTCGATGACACCGCCGAAAATGCAGCCTGGCTGAGCAAACCAGTAGCCTTGGGCGTAGGTTGCATTGCCGTGTGGTAGTGAATATCTCTTCTGGGTGTTTGCGACGAAGCATCATGACTGCCAAAACGCGTCGACACACTAGAGGCGGAGCCCCTATGAGGATGTCTCTCAATACAGTGGCCGTGACTGACACTCCAGGTCTTAACTAACAGACCGTCGCACACTTCCATATACCCCTTTCCTTCACCATCTCCGAGAGCTGGGCTGCCACCCTCAACAAGCCTCAAGTAGGTGAGCAGGCCGGCACCATTATTCTCGTCACTTAAATTAGGCCAGATAACGTTATTGAAGATGTGGTTCTTGAACGCTTGGATAGTACTGGGTAATCCAGCAAGCTTCTTGGGGCGAGTCCCCGGCAGACCAGCCGTATTAACAACAAACCCAGAGATGTGGTCGAGATGAGGATGGGTAATGAGATATGTGTCGACCAAGGATCTCGTGACATGAGCCGCATTAGCGGCCGCGGATGCGTATGGTAATTCCAGTCCAGCAAATGCTCCAGTACTTAATGTGAAAGGTAAGTTGGTAGGTGGTGTTGAGGGGTAAGATTCTTGTAGCAGACGGGTGATGGCAGAGAGATGGACGCCAGCGTCAACGGCGATGATGGATCCTTTAGACCATTTCTCGGCGACGGATCGTACCAGAAATGCTGTGATGTTGGATTCTTGCGGTCCTCCTCCAGAACCCTAAGAAAAGTTAACGACACGCGTGTTGATGAGATCATTGCAAGTCGACACCCCGACCGAGTGCGGCCCAGAAGAGTGTGCGCCTCGCAGGCCTTAAGCAGCGGCAGGCAAGATCTTGACGGTACGGAATAATCAGTGAGAACTTACTAGAACAATGACCTGCAATGCAGGATCCGCGACCTCTCCCATCGCAAAATTAGGATGTCCCTTCGAACTTGGTACTTCCTGTTCGTCTCTGTCCTCCTCAACGGGGCGATCCCTGGCCTAGGCGCAGATAGATCCAAGGACAAAAATACGTTTCGGCGTGTTCTAGTCGTTTCGCAGCTACACGTCATCAAAACTACCAAGAGAGCATTCGCAGAGGCCAAAACAGTTGCTGCTCCGTCCTCGCTGCCAAAAACCGCACGTGATGCTGATGATGTTGATGGTGACTTGAGCTCTACAATACGTAGCTCTTGGTGGCGGCGCCCGCTTCGTAGTTACACCGTAAGCTTTTAGCTCTCAACCAACGACGGGCTGTAAGCTCCGGCCAGCGGGCGAGAAGGATCAATCTGAATGGTCAGGAGATGGGTCCCCGGTATCTTGTACATATGCCGTAATTTACCGTCTTTGTTCAAAAGGTGACACGTTCCGCATTTGCAAGATCTAAATCATGGGGCACAGGGGTGACACGAACCATGGGCAATACTGAACCTTTTTCGACAGGATCGGCGACAGGAAGCGGACGTTGATGCCAATAAATTGCCGGCGAGCAACAGGCTGAACTCCGCGCGTGACTCGATAGAGCCATGTGGTTCGCAAGATGCACGCCTTGGGATTGGATGTTGGAGACCGGAGATCCCGTCCATTGATCGGCAGTGAGTTATCAGGTCTGTTGCTTGCCTGGCATGGGGTAATGCTGGAGCTTTTGTCTGATAGTAGCCTTTGTATTACAGGGTAGCGGCGAGTACTTTGCTATTCCTGGAGAGCAATCAGGAAACGGTCGAGCAATCAAAAGCCGAACAATGGCAGCAAAATGGAGCTTTGCATGACAGCACAGCACAGATCCTGACTGAAGTGGCGCCGTTGCCTCACTGCTCCAAACTGCATGCACATGCACGTCGCGAACCAGGGCACCATGTCGGTGGCTTCGGCGATCCCGCTGGGCTGGTGTGAAGCTGCCATGCTGCCAGGGTAGCATTCCATTCCATTCGGGACGACTGTCCCAGTCCTGGCCACGCAGTCCGCCTATTGTGGTCTCGACTTGATCGATCAGCACTCCGTGACTTTTATCGATCCGACTCCCCATGTCCACTTGCCTGGCTGTCAGTGAAGCTGATGCGCCATCAAGGTATGGTGGAACCATCTTGAATGGGATGGCGGCGTCGCCTAGAAGTGGTTCATCCACTTCATCGCTGACGGGTAGTTACTGCCTGACTTGGCTAGTCGGCTCAGCCTAGCTAGCAACCTTTGTCTGTCGAATTATGGCGGAGGTACGTAGTACTGGAACCGTTGATTAATTGTTGAATAATCGGGGGACTATAACAGCTTCGTCAGCGTAGGCATACAAACAACCCCAAGGAGGAGAATGAGAGACGCTGGTGAAATAAAGTTGTGTCGAGATACCAAAGGTGCCCAGGCAGGTAATTCAATGTTGGTGGGAGGAGAGGGCATACGGGCAGGTGCTATCTGGGCACCTTCCAGTCCAGATCCGCACATGCATGTGCCACTGGCTGGCGGGCCCTGACGTCTGCAAAAATCCAGACATTACGGATTCGATCAACATATCCTTTAAGCCAGTCTTTGCATCCATAATTCCTTGATTCCTTAATCCCTCCCCTTTTCTGTTTTTGCTATTCCTTCCTCACTTCTCCATCAACAGCCGCCTTCACTGGCAACTGGCTCGGACGGGGCACTCCTTGAACAACCCACCCCCTGACAGGACGACGGATTTACAATAATATGAGATTGCCGAAGCTCCAGACTAACGTCACGAGTACCCATAACTCGATGATGCGAGCCTAGGGTCTACTGACAAAATTCCATCAGGTAGTGGGTAATGCAGCTGGCTGGAAGCCTACTGTCGAAGCGGACACTTCTTGGGTCCGCTATGCGGAAGGGCTCAACCAAGTGAAGGCAACATCCATTGCCTCGCCCTGGTCGTTTCACATTGAGTCAGGGCCTAATTGTGTCCTCGTAATGCAAATCCAGGTACAATGACAGCGTATTTCGCTTACAGCCTCCCTCCGAAGAGTCATACGGTAGCACGACATGCCACGCGCAACCTCGAGGCGAGCAAGGACAAATGGCCATTCAAGAAACAAGCCACCATGTACAACAAGATAGCATTCTACAACCAGAATCGCAACGCGAGGATAGCATATTGGATCTTGCCGCGAACATCACTAGACGTCACGGTCTCGCTGCAGTATGTATAGACAAACCCAGACGCGTTCTGACGGCTGCGCGAGGGGCGAGGCCGTGAGCACGGAGTTGTGCGTCTTCTAGTCATACTTCTCTGGTGGCGTTGAGACCCTCTCGCAAATAAATAGGCACCTCGCTTTCAAGTTCGAAACTAGTCTTCTTATCTTGGATGCACGAATCGAAAACTGAACCTAAAGCCAAAAGTGATTCAAAAGACGTTTCCTTGTCGTTCTTCCTTCGACTCAGCGGCATAGCTTCTCCTCCAAGTTCAACCACAGTAATATATCCCATGAAAAACTACTGCCTTCACCAGAAGGAAGAGTTCCATGTCGATCAGGAATGGGTACATCTATTCAGTTCTGAAACGCGTACAATTCGGTCACCCAGACGGATCCGTCGTCGACGGCGCAGTGTAATCTCGCCTTTTTGAACCACTTGCATCACCGCCTGGCTGGAAATGGGTAGAGCTGGGTTAGGCTTTGATTGCTGGGATTGGATGTAAGTGGCTTGCACGTAATAGTGTTTTATTCCCCCCGTTCGTAGCGTACACATGCTAACCTTAAAAAAAGGCCATGCGTTGTTGACTTGCCACAAATCTCCGCATCCGACTCCCTAGCAGAGGGGGAAACCTGGGGTGCCTATTGCAATCTACTCTTCGAAATTCAACTCTGAAGCCGAGGTTCCGCTTCCGTTCCTGAAATAAGGGCGCGGCTAATGGGGAGACTTGTCCCGATCGCTATGCCGCCACTACCTCTAGATCGACCCACGATGTTATGAACGGAGCCGGGTGAACTGCCAGAACCGTCTCGTCTACGGTTACGTATTAAGGATTTAAAGGCAGTTTTCGCCTTTATTTGGGTCCATTTTCGTCTTTTAACATGGACTGTTAGCGTGTTGATTGTTTTTCACGCAATTGGGACACATCATGGAAACTCAACGCAACCCCAAAGACTCTATGAGGTCTACTTGGCGGCGCTCGCCTCGCTCGGAGTGGACCATCTACCATCGTCTCATAGACCGTCTTGACGTTCATCACGTCTTTCTCGATAGGCCTGTACCCGTGCACTCAAAAGATGACCCGGTGCCATATTTGCCGGACTGGCAGATGCACAGATGGATCCTGATCCATGCCGTTATCCCGTTGGCTATCCACCACGCCTTTGTTTACTTCACAGGACGCAATCTCAGTGTCATCGGTGCATTTGCTTTATACCATGTCTTCCTCACATTTAATAGTGTCCGCGAGATACAAATTCTGCGCAGACTAGGCCATATTCACGGCTTCCTTGATGGAGACAAGCACGAGCGAGACGGTGTGCCAGACGTTAACGTCAAAAAGGTCTTCATGTCACTCCTCTCAGCAAGCAACGTTCGCCCGATGCTAGTCATTATTCTCGCGTACAGAAAAAACCAGCTTCCCTCCTCCATAAGCTGGACGTGGCTCCCGGTCGAGATTGCACTATACGGCCTGGCCGTCGACTTCTGGTTTTATTGGTATCATAGACTGATGCATGATATGGGCAGCCTGTGGCAGTTCCATCGCACTCACCATCTGACGAAACACCCAAACCCTTTACTGTCTCTGTACGCGGACGGCGTCCAGGAAATCTTTGACATGATTGTCATTCCATTGTTGGCATTCTACACCATCAAGCATGTGTTTGGGCTTCCCATGGGCTTTTACGAGTTGTGGATGTGTCATCAGTACTTGATCTTCACTGAGGTCTTGGGACATAGCGGACTGAGAATCTATGCGACCGCGCCGACGCCACTGAGCTGGTTGTACAAATGGCTTGATGTAGAGGGTATTATTGAGGATCATGACTTGCATCACCGAAGGGGCTGGAAGAGCAGTTTCAATTACGGCAAGCATTCGCGTGTGTGGGACACTATTTGGGGCACAGTGACGGATCGGGTTGAGTGCAAGGCGGGAAACATTGACTATGTCAATACAGCCTCGTTTCCGATGTGGTGAGGCCGGTTGATGTATGGCAGAGCGGGATTTTGAGAACCTGGCTATATCACTAGATTGAGTTGGAGAGAGGAGGTTGCCAGAAGTTGCCTATCAAGAGATTGCTGGTTACACTGTATGCTGACAGCAAATGAATTCCTTTATCAACAATTCCCAGCTTGGGTATGGCCAAAATCATTTGCTTAATCGGGTTGAGACACAGTTTCGCCGTCGCCCACAATGCCCAGCAACATTCTCGTCCAGTAGGGTCTGGTGCTTTTGCAAGCTTGAGTTTATTTACAGTTACCTGTGGCCAATCACGGTTGGTTCCCCAGCTCCAAAACTGTTAGTCATCCAAATACCCTTTGCCTGCAACCTTCTTTGATGCGTCATTCGGCGTTTGTGACTCGACCCGCATGTCTGCTTGACCCAGAAAAAAAGTCATCTCGTGGGGCAAGCCTTCATGTAGCTGCGCTTGTGGACTTCGCAATCTTGTTATATTTTCAACGTCGTCCCGCCCTCGCCGATGGAAATATGCGGCGCAAAGGGTCTGCGCACTAATTGTCTGCTCTCGGCGTCACTCTTTAGCCGGCGACAACTTAGCCTCACTAATCGCAGGTGCCGTCCATTAGCTTGTCGACCTCCGGCGCAAAGAAATCACGGACCTGGATCACTACCCGCCATACGAGCATACTCACGTCTGTCCCGAAGTCCACGAGGCCATCCTGACGGCTCGATCATGACTACCACGGTCGAGGTTGCGACAGTTCCGTCGACTGATACTCCAGGAACCTGCATCTACCTCCACCATGACAAGAGATCGTACATCTTCGGCCAGGTGGCTGAAGGCACACAGCGAGCCTTTGGGAGTCGAAAGATTCACATGGGAGGTACAGAGCACGTCTTTCTCAGCGGAAGCATTGGCTGGAACCAAATGGGTGGTCTGATAGGATATCTGCTCAGTGTTGGTGGCGCAATCGATGCAGCAAAGGAGCATACGGTCACCGAAAATGTCAAGAGGAAAGCAAAAGGGCAGAAGTTGCTAACACCTGCAATTCACGGAGGCATTGGTGTTCATGGAGGAGACAATCTTTGCCACATATTGGCAGCCTGTCGACCAGTCATCTTTCGACAACCCATCAGTGTACGGCCTCACGAATTTCGGGAAGATCCTCGAAGCATCGACCCTACCAAGACGGAACCTGACTGGGTGGATGACGCTGTTCGGGTGTGGAAAGTGCCTGCAAAGAGGGCTCGGTCGAGTAGTCCTCCGAAACGGCGTCACGAAGAAATTTCAAACGGCAATGGTGGGCAATCACAAGACCAAACGTCGAAACGGCGATCAGCGATTTCCGACCCAGAAGTTGCCGGTATGATTGTGGAGCGGATCATGTTTAGCGGCAGCCTCAACAACAGGTCAGTCTTGCTACCTCGGAAAATTCGCGATTTAAAGCCTACAGACAAAGCGGTCATCATCAACGGCAAGACCATGAGAGTCTACCGGGGACCATTCGCTTCAGATGACGTCGAGCTCTCAAATCCAGACCTCACTGCCTGGGTGTTCCCCGACCCTGGTGACAACGCTGGGGACGGAAAGAATGAAGACGTCCTGGCCATCAATCACTTTCCTCTCCCCAAAACCGCCTATGGGGACACTTCGATGTCTTATATCGTCAAGTGCCATGATCGAAGGGGTAAATTTAATGCCGTTGTTGCAAAGGAACATGGTGTGCAGCCCCGAGACTTCAAGCTGCTAACCGCTGGGCAGTCGGTAGAAGGAAAGGATGGTAAGGTGGTTACGCCTGATATGGTCCTAGGGGAGCGTCAGCCTGGAAAGGGTATCATCATTGCGGACATTGCCTCACCGGACTTCCTCGAGTCATTCTTAGAGCGGCCAGAGTGGGAATCTCCAGAGATGATGGAGCATATCTGCGTCATATACTGGATTTTGGGTAGTGACTTGACCTCTGATGCCCGGATCAAGAAGTTCATTGAGAAGCGCCCTCACATCAAGCACATTTTTTGCTCACAGGATACATGTCCCAACATGATTACGCATCCTGGTGCTGCCGAAATCCAAACCAAGCTACGAAGGATTGACCCCGAACGCTTCCCCCTGCCAAAGTTTGACAACACCATCAAGCATCCCGCCCTGCCTGCCGGGTCACCCATTGAGTTTGGCCGCTCAGGCAAAAAGTTCCAACTCATGCCTCGCCTCACCTTTGACGACCAGGCAATGGCCCCATTCCCAGACTTGCTAGGTGCCGCAAAGTCGGTAGATGAAGAGCTGATAACGCTAGCCGAGGAAGCCAAAGCCGAGGCAACAAATGCCGAATTCCTAGCCCGAGTCGAAGAAACAGAAAAGGACATTCCCAACAGAGATGCTGAAATCATCCCATTGGGAACCGGCTCGTCTGTGCCCAGCAAACACCGCAACGTCTCAGCAACGCTTATTCGAGTTCCCGGTATAGGAAACTACCTCCTTGACTGTGGTGAGGGCACCCTAGGCCAAATTCGCCGAGCCTTTGACGCCGAGGAAACAGCCGATGTCCTCCGTAACCTCAAATGCATCGTCATCAGCCACGTCCATGCCGACCACCATATGGGGACCGCATCGCTCATCAAAGCCTGGTATGAGCAGTCCATCCGCGACGGCACCAGCACCACACTCGCCATCTCCTGCATTGGGCGCTATCGCAACATGCTCGAAGAACTATCCCAGGTCGAGGACCTAGGCTTTCACCGCCTCCGCTTCCCTAGCTGTCCCTTCCCGAACGGCAAGGACCGCGACATGACCACTGCAGAAGACCTCGGCGAGGAAAACTTTGGCCTCGCATCCATCAAGCGCATCCCTGTCCCTCACTGCTGGCGCTCGTACGGCACGCAGCTCGAACTAACGTCTGGTCTGCGCATAGCATACTCGGGCGACTGCAGGCCCTCGAGCGCCTTTGCTCAGGGCTGCAAGGGAGCCCACCTGCTCGTTCACGAGTGCACATTCGGCGACGATAAACAGGATCACGCCAAGGCCAAGAAGCACTCCACCATGGCAGAGGCGCTTTCTGTGGCGCGAGAGATGGAAGCCCGGAGAACACTGCTGACGCATTTTTCGCAACGGTACTCCAAGGCAGATTCGTTGAAGCGCGACCGGGTACATGGCGAAGAGCATAGCGTCTTGCTGGCGTTTGACTTGATGAGAGTCAAGTTGGGGGATTTCCAAAAGGCAGCGTGCTACGTCCCTGCCGTGCAGAAGTTGATGGAGAAACTGGCGGATTAGGCATCGGATTCTTAGGCATTTGATCCATTTATATACCACTCAGTTATAGATATGTAAGGCTATGCCCTGGTCAATCATACACTTTGTGTTTGTACACGGTGCAAGGCGAAATAGAACATCTCACGAAATGATTCTGGCAAATTCCGAAGCTCTGTATACAACATCCGTACTTTGGGGGGCAGTGTGATGCGAAAGACATAAATTGTGTCCGCCCTCGTCTGTACATATACCAGGCCGGCCGGCACACACTCTGCCAATATGATTAAACCAAAGATGGCCATTTCCAAACCTTTGTAGGTTTCTATTTGCAATAATCCAGCAAATCTAGTCTGAACAATTCCGACTCTAGCACATGTCTTGTCTCTCTTCTCTCTGTAAGCCCCCCCCCCCCCCCCAGCTCTCTTGTGAATCGCTTCCACCCACGCTCCTCTCTCTACAGTTCTAAAGCCCCCTATTGAACCACACCTTGCCGTTCAGGCCCCCCTTTCCCCTGAACTCGTCCTCCAAGCTATCGGCCGAAATCTCCTGCTGCTGCGGGAAGACGGCCAGCGCCAGCGGCAGCACGGCAAACGACGTGGCCGCAATGAGCACCAGGTTGAGGCCAATAGGAATACCGGCGGCCAGCCTCGGCCGCGAGCTGACGTACGCGCCCTCCATCAGGTTCCTATACCACGCCTGCCTAGTCTGCACGTGGTACAGCACCATCGGGGGGATAATCATGATGGGCGAGCTGTTGAAGACCCTGCTGGCGGCGGTCTCGTAGACGGCCAGCCGGGCGGCGCGCCGGCTGCGCCCCAGGCTCGGCACGTCGCGCTCCGACAAGCCCTGCTCCTGCAGCCCCCTCTTCTGGTCGGCGGACAGGACGGGCCGCACGTCGATGCCCGCGGCGATTTCGCCGCGGCGCATGAGGTACGCGTTGAGGGCGCCGGCGGTGGCGACGGCGGCAAAGGGCACCAGGCGGCTGAGGATGTTGCGCGTGGCCGGGGCGACGCGGAGCCGGGGCACGAGGGCGTTGAGGCCGAGGGCGACGGAGCACGAGGCCGACACGGCGACGGCGTACGACTTGGCCAGCGTGGCGGCCGACATGGGCGACGACTTGTTGGCGTTGGCCGAGTTGATGGCCACGTTGAGCGACTGGTTGGCGACTTGCCACGCGATGATGCCGGGCGTCTGGAGGCCCGGCTGGAGCATGCCCGCCGTGACGATGAGGTTGGTGATGACGAACGAGGACATGCGGAAGGGGAGGAAGACGGGCTCGCCCGTGTCTGGGCCCGTGTTAGCGAGCTCATTCTCGACAGAGGTGGTTTGGGGGGATGGGGGGGCTGTCGGTCGTACCAGGGTGAAGCGTCGAGTCGACCACCTTTTTGGCGTGCCACAGCTCGGGCGTCATGCTCGCAATCTTGCCCGTCTTGTAGTCTGTGACGAGCTGCTTCGCGCGCTCCAGGCCGCTCGTGCCGGCGAGGAGGGTGCTGCCATGGCGAGTTAGCGCTGCCGAGCAGCCAGCAGTTGAATTGTCGTCGCCGTGGCCTCGTCGAGTCGGTTTCGGCAACTCACCTCGGATCTGTCAAGCCCACCGCGTGCTTCACCCGGCCGAGATACGTGGCCAAATCATATTGCGAAACCGGCAGGTCCCTGGAGCCAGGTAATGAGGCCGACATTGTTGCTGTGCCCGCCCGTCCGTCGTGGCCCTTAGACTCGGGTCGTCGGCGGCCCCAATGCTTGCTCAATCGGCGGGTTGCGTGTTGCCCGGAATATATATGGCTGGTGGTGTCTTGCGGCTTCGGAGTCGCCAGACGTCACCTGGTTAGTCAAATTTTTGCGTGGCCGGCACGAACCATCCTGTGGGGCCGGTGGCTTTGGCCATTCAAATGTTGGCTTTGGCCATTGTTCAGTCAATGGCATGCGAGCAATGAACCACCAGACCATCAAGCAGCCGCATTACTACTGCAACATCGTCAACTGTCGTCAATGCAAAAAAAAAAAGGGCACATGTAGGCGGCCGCGCTCACAAATGCCAAACCCACCCGCCACTTTCCCTCCCCTCTTCCAACCCCGGTAATGCTCCCCCGGGTCGATTGGGAACTCGCACAAATGGGAGGACAAACTGCAAACTGCGCAAACACGATGTGAAGCGACCCACCGTGATGGAAGGGATCGACAGGGCTGCCGACGTCGACGAAGTCCCGGGCTCTTTGCTACCCAATCAAGATTATCTCGGGGCGAAAACAGACAAAGGGCAGCGAATAGCATTGAAACCTATGAGCGAAAGACGGCCTGCCGGCTCCCTGGATCACATGGGATTCCGGCAGAACCAGGGCGGTGTGAAAATGATGCACGCATCCGACAACTGTCGTGGAATACACATGCATCAAGCACATGAATGAACACGCAGTCCACCGGGGCGCCCCGGCACGAACCAGCTGGACACCCTACTGCCTAGGCGGAACTGTCATTATTCCATCGCTCATTCAAAAAGAGAGTCCAAGTCATTTTCACAAGCCGTTTCATGCGCGTGTCAAAAAAAACTGAAAGAATTCCTATATACTAAGAAAAACGACTTATACTAGTGCCCAAACATGATCCCAACTGCAAAGCAATCTGAATCGGAAACATCAAAATAAAACATAAATAAACAACAAATAAAACAATAGAACAATAGAACAATCTCATCTGTCATTCGTCGTGAAAGCTCGCCACGTATCAAACACGTGCGGCAATTTCTGTAGTTGCGTCCCTGCTCAGAAGCGAAATTCCCGCCTAGGAGAGTCAGCCATGCGGCTCCAAAGCTTCCCATTGGCACGGTAAAAAGTCGACATCCCATAATCTCAGGGCTACTGATCCAACGTCAGTTTCTGCCTTTCCCATCGTGGTCCTACGGCTGCCGGGGAAATTCCCGAGCTAACCCAGATTCCTGTGACTCCTGGAGTGGCATTCGCCCCCCTTCTAGTTCGAGCAAAAAAAGCTGCTCGTCTAGATTGGGAGGGTGTTTTCCCCGAATTGCCTTTTGCCATTGTGCTGGATATCCTATCCAGCTCGGCAAGACTGGGCGTGACTTAATTTTTTTTTAAAAAAAAAAAAAACACTTGTATTGCCCAAAATTCAAATTCCATCCCCGCCCCGGGTACCAGAGCGCTCCAACTGTGGTACGTTAGCAGCTGCATGACAGTTTATGCAAGGTCGTAGATTTGGATGCAGGACTTACAACTCTCATTCAGCCAGTGGTGTAGTTCCTGCGGTTTGTGTCGGGCCGAATGTCTGTCGAGTGGAAGGACGAGGCCATATGGGCCATGATGGAAAGACGCTTCTGCATCTCACCGATTTGCTGCAGGTTGCGATCGTCGTCAGGCTTGCTTAGGCTGCGGCAGAGATCCTCAACAGCACGTCGCTGGTCGAGCCACTGCTCGAGGAGGGGCTTGGAGGAGACCTGCTTGGAGTCGGCCACCGGCATCGACTTGAGCGTGGCCTTGCGAGTGCCATTCTGCGGCTCTGCAACCTCAGTCTTTCTCTTGCGGCCCTTGGCAGATTGTCCATTGGCAGTGGCGGGTGGAGAGCCACTGGAGCTTCCGTGGTCGTTGTGCACACGCTTCATGTGGTCGCGGAGGTTCCACTGGCGAGGGAAGCCGTTGCCTGAAACAGCGCGCTCGCAGCCCTCATAGGCGCAGAGGAAGGGCTTGTCACCGTGTCCATGCAGTCCGTGAGCCTCACGTTCGTGACGCAGCAGGCAGGCGGTGGAGGAGAAGCGAGCCCCTTCGCAAGAATCTGCCTTGCAACGGTATGGCTTCAGGTGTGAATCCACAAATTTGCTACGCAGGCTGTTAGTTGGCCAAGCTTAGGCTGGATCGTGCAGAGAACCAAATACTTACTCGTAGTTGCACTTGAGCTTCTCGGGCTTGTGGTTGCAGCTGGTCTGTCCTTCCCAAGGGCAGTGGAAAAGACCGTCGGGTCCGGGTGTGACATTCTTGTAAAGACGATGGTCCCGAGCTGAGGACTCGCCATCACTTCCGTGTCTGCGGGAGGGATATCCATGGGGCATGGCTACGCCCTCCTCAATCTTGGGGACAATAGTGTCCTTGTCTGATGCCATAGAGACCTTGCGCTCCGAACTGATCAAAGATGCGTAAGACGTCTGTTCAGTATTTGCGTTGAAGTATTCAACATACCTAGGCGAATCACCAACAATCTCGGGCGAAGAGTTGGGGCTCAGCGCAGAAGGCAGCCAAACATCATCAACAGTGGCAGGGGAGGAAGTCCGGGAGATGGAGCTAGAAAAGCAGTCCCATGAGCCAGGGGACGAATTGTCCGGCAACACAGACTCGGGACCCAAGTGCATATGCGCAGGCACCATGTGCATAGGGCCGGCCTGAGTGACAGCAAAAGCACCGCTGCCGCCAGCACTGCCACCGCCAGCAGCAATGTTCATGTCAAGCCCCATCTCGGGCCAGTACATTTGAGCATTGGAAGACACCGCATGCGCATCAGCAGCCACGAGAAGACAAGAGTTCATTCCGGCCATGGTTCCGGCGGTGGTAGCAGCTGCGTGGGAAACATTCCTGAAGGCGGACACATTACCTCTGCTCAGCTGTGCGTGTTGAGAGAGAGACGAGCCACTGGATCTGCTCGAATCTGCTCTAGCCATGGCTTGAGCCATTACTGAGCTCTGTGTAGTCCTTGGGTTTGTCCAAACAGAATCCATGGAGGCGGCTTGTTCTAGCCTTGATCCTCTGGGAGTAGTGTGGCCAGATGTGAAAAGATAATCCTCGGCTTCTCCAGAATGTGATGATCCATTGTCCGGGAAATCCTGAAAGTTATGATGGCTCTCTGAAGTGCTTCCCCATGACTGCCCGTTCAACAGGTCTGTCGATGGTTCTGTTTGAGCAAATGAAAACATTGCGGCGGCATTGGAGGCCATTGATGACTGAGGGTAGCTGTAATGATTGCCATGGTTAGTATTTTTACACTACGTTATTGTTGTTCGTCTCATGGAAAAAGAAAATAGAAAATAGAAAAAAGCATAGAAAACAGTATGATCTAGCATGAGTCAACTTTGATCCTGAGAACGGTTAGCCACATGTCAGTCAGGTCTTCAGGGAATGATTGTACAAACCCAGCTATGTACACTGTACAAGTAGTTTTTTTTTCTGACAGTAAAGGACTTGCAATCCATAGGCCGAACGGCATGGAATTCCAGCGATCAAAATGTCCATGCTAAGCAAATTCGGTTCCCACTGTGGCGTGCTGACAACGCATAAGTCGGCATATCAAGTCATCCCGTGGTTCGTTGTCTTTCAAGGCATCACGTCGACAATCCCATTGAAATCCGAGCATCACATTGGCCGATTCAAATCTCTCCAGCCATGGAAATATACGGTTCGCTAAGCGCCAGTAATAGAGCGATACTGAAATCATATTCGCTGGTCCAAAAACAAAAACAGAACATGTCCATGGTAAAGTTGACCGATAAAATGTGGTCCAAAAATCCATTTGCGGGCTTATAACCATGTATTCACAGGCTTGTGTAAAGTGTTGAATCCATTCGCGGCTGCGATAGCAATCAAATTGGATTGCGCGAACTTTGATGAAGTTCTTGAGCCGACGTTTACCACGCGTCAGCTTAACTCGACAGATTGGCTAATCTGCCGTCCATATGTCCATGTATGCACACTGAGGAAATCAGAATGCTCGATCCAAAAAAATTCAACGCTGGTCCTGTACACAATTATAAAATCCGAGGAGTTTTATGGTCCTTCATGCTCCAAAGGTTCGAGAGTCCCGGGTTCTTCTGTTTTAATACGCAATCAAGCGGGCCATACTCACTTTGATGGCTCTGTAATTTTATGTAATCTGTTCCTTGCCCGGCTCGGGCAAGTACTGTCCCGGTTTTGTATCCGCGGAAATGCCGTTGTAATCCGGATATGTGGCTAGTTCAATGTCCTGGGGGGGAATGGTCCTGATGGTACGCAAGATCCGTGTGTAATCACACAAAAAGGAAAAATAGAAAGGCAAGCAAAATGAAAAGACATGATTTTTGCGCAACATGAACAGACGATATGAAAGTCCGGGAGTTTGAAATGGAGAAAAAACAGTACCTAGAAAGTGATTGGACCTCTTCAAGGTCAACTGTGCTATTGTAACCTGGCATATTGGCCGGGTGTGACACAACAAGAGCAACTGGCATTGTATATCCTGGTGGAATATGGTGTGGGAAAGCACACAGACACAGCCAAAGACCAAATCAGATCAACTTGGAAGTCTGGGTGGCAAAAATGGAAAACAGTAGTCCCAGCGGCAGTGAAAAGCTATGGAGCTAGACGCCTTGAAGCTTGTAGTGCAAACAGGGACAGTGCAGGTATATCCTCGGTTTGTATGTATGTGGATGGGGGCAAGTGGTAATCCTTGGGGCTGGTCTTGTTTGTGGAAGATCAGATTGGTTGCGGGAGAGTTTCTGTTGCGACTGAGGGTGGCAAAGCTTGTTTTGAAGAAGAAACAAAGTGGTCGTCGGCAAGGTGAGTTGGGCTGCAATCCAAGGAGTTGGGCAGGAAATTACAAACGAAGGAGAAACCAGTCGGGCCACGAGGGGAACTGCGGGTTTTATTGTTGCAATGGACGCCCGACGACGATAGATGAAGCCGTCCGCCAGGAGTGACCAGGACCGGCCAGCTTCAGTCAGGTTCAGTCACCTCCTGCAACGTCAACAATGCCTGCAGCGAGGCCTGCAGAGGCCTGCAGAGGCCCGCATGGAATGGAGCGCCGCTGGCATCCCTTGGCCAAATGACGCCAATCGCGGACGGCCGTTTGGAGGTCCGGCGACTGCGGACGTGGGTGAACGGGGGGACGCATGAATGCGCTGGCAATCCCACAGCAAGTGATTCGTCTTGTCATACAGGGGTCGTGGCGGTGGCCGTCTTCCTTGCTTGGCCAGCGTCTCACGAGAGTGTGCCATGGTGGAGAAGCGGATTCACGGCAGGACGCGTGAATGGTGAAGACGGCGCCAGATGTGACGACAGTCTGCCAGCGCGACGGCACGAGGCACAGAACAACAAAGCACTGCATATTTGGGGCTGTCGAGGAGGAAACAGAGCGTCCAGTCAGAAACAGCGAGACGGGGGTTAAGGACGAATTTTTCCTCTCGCCTCCGCTGAGGCCAAGATGCCAGCAAGCCTCCCAGCCTCCCAGCCTCCGTCATGAGACAAACAGGAGGAGCAAGGGGCGGTCGGCACACGGCTGGCCACGATCTATCACGCAACAATCAGATTGCCCATCAACGTGGCCGAATTGCCGTTACTGTGTCATCTCCGAACATGCCATGTTAACCGGCCATTACAAAGGTGCTGCGTATGTACAACGGTTTCGACTCTAATGGCCAGGAGCACGGCATGGCTGTGAGTTGTGACGACGACTGTGCCAACACCATTCATCGTGTGACCGCTCTTGCGTTAAGGACGAGGTTCGCATGTCCTGACGTGGCTATTCTATCCAGCATCGAAGCGGGGTCAAGCGAGGGCCAGCTGGCGTGAGACAAACATTGAACGACTGAAAAAATTTTTACTTGTCAAAGACCCTGATGGTTTGATGAGGCAGCGAATAACATGCCTCTCTCGGCAGCCACGTAGCCATGCTCAGATACGAAGTAGCTGAATAACACGTTTCCGAACCCAGCCCTTTCGGTATGATGAGGCGGACATGAAATCGACAGGTGAAGTGTTGCGGAGGATAGGATGATGGAGTGTTCGATATCTCGTTACTGTTGCCACTGTGGCCGGCTCCGAAGCTGCTCAAGATGCCAGGCAAAGACGGGAATGGGAGGCGTGGCACGGCTGAAGGCTGATTGATAGACGTGCTAGGTATTAACGGGACGGCTCGCGTTTGCACGTGGGGCTGTGGCTGGATGGCATCACGGCCATGTATTGATTGACCTTTGCTGTCGTCGTCGCCGCTGACAGTACAACGGGAGTACGGAAATGTGGAATGCGGAAATCGGAAGAGCAAAGCAGGGGTACGAAAGTACGGAGCAGTAGTCAAGCGATTTTACAGCCACTGGCTGGCGTGCTTCCTCGACCGCAACACGTGATCAAGAAAGTCTCTCGAGTCTCGACACGAGACGTCTCTGGCGTAATAATCGTACGGGACACGGTTTCGATGTTAGGATTCTATTCATTTCAGTATCATGCAAATTCCCCGCCGCTTCAGGTTCGCATCCATCATAATGAGGCTACCAAGTATGCAGGCCGGCGGTATTCTCAACCCGACAGACGGCGGTGTGCCTCGTGCTGAGTCTGCTGGCTTTCATCCGCTGTGCTCGTTCATCTGCGTTGACCGCCTGCCGACTCGCAATCTACCGCATGGAAGAGAACTGAAAACAAAACCGACCGTTGGCCATACTATCAGCTGTTGGACTCAAAGATCGCCGATGACTGCTATAGGTGAGGATCATGGTATTGCGATGCATGACGGGCACCACGACCAAGGCATTCTTATTCTTGGTCGTGTTGCTAGCCTCGAAAATAATCACGAAGTTGGGGACAGTGATGTCATCGCATAAAATGCAATTTGAGTTGGTTCACATCAGACATGCAATGTGAAAGTCTCTGCCGCCAGTAACCGTCAGCGTCTTTCGAACAAGGAAAACGTTTGCTCTTTGTTTGTTTATTTTGCACTTTCGACAGAGAAGAGCCGATCAAGGCCTCGGTAGAGCGTATACCAGCAACACACTGTGGGTGGCTCCACGTGAGGTATTTGCTGCCAGGACGAGGTTGATCCCATATCGGTTTTTACTGTCGACCCCGAAGTCATGGATGGCTCTCTTGGCCGCGACCAAGAGCATTGCAACTGCTACATGGGGGCCGAGATCAGATCGAGGAGGGCTGGCGTAAGCAACGGTGAAGAAGGTGAGGCGGTGGTTGGACCACGACCAGCAACGGCGTCGGCGTTGGACGCAGCTACAGGAACAAAGTGTCCATCACCAAAGGCCGTAGCCTCATTGATGCAAACCACAGAAAAGGCAAACAGCCACAGATCACCTCGCATCGATTCGGTGGTCAGCATGCCCTCCTTATGTTCAACACGCATGCCGCGTGTCCGCGGCCGAGAGGCATGGCATGTTGCTCGCATCACATTATTATCTCAAAATTGGTATATCGCTCTCTTGCTTTGCAGGCCCCGCCCTCGTCAAGCAACCCAACTTGCTAAGGCTGGGTGTTAAACTGGGCATGGATGAGGCATGATTGGGCATCGTGCATAAAATCACGGGGTTTGCATGTCCTTCTGCGGTGTCTCAAGCGTTGAAATTTGTCCCCGACATGCACATATGGCAGCATGACTAACATAATACATACCTACCTAGGCAGGTCCTGGACGAGTACGGAGCAGTAACTCACGTCACGTTCTCAGATCTGGCATACAACAATCTGCATCAACCAGACTCGGTGGATTTTTGGCCGGGATATGGAGGGGTCCGGGGCATTATCGCATTGATCCAGACGATTTCTTCTTGGTTCTGCTCCGCATTGTGCCCTACCTAGTGTTATTGCTGCCCAAAGCGTGTATTTTGTGCAGCCGAACAAGAATTTCGTGCTTGACTGGAACCTAGTCCGTGCTCTGTAGCCCTTGGTGTCTTCAAGTCTACAGGGAGGTTCCCTGTTCACAGGTCTGCTCTGACCCAATTCCGATCCAGTGACGACAGGCAAATGCTGAAGGCTCAATTAATACGGAGTAGTCCCACTGGGCATTTCAAGACTGGCAAGGGGTGGTTGGTTGGTTGGGCTGAAGTTGTCTTTTTTTTTCCTTATGTCGGCTCGCAAGCCACCAGACTCCTTGGGCAACAATGCAGATGCCCAATCAGCCTCGGCGCATCGAGTGATGCGCGATGTACTCCGGCCACAGAACATATCGGCTTGTCGTCTTGCCGAAGCTTGAAAAGGATGTAGCTCGGCGTGCTCCCTGAAGGCAAGTTAAAAAAAGAAATACGGAGTATTGCAGAGTAGAATTGCAGAGGTCCGAGTATGCTGGTGGCAGTGGTGCCTGAGGCTGGGCTTCGGTTGGGCCCCCATAAACGCCACCTTCATCTCTCCCCTTCACTCAAATGTCCGGCGTCTACTCCGTAGTAGTATTGCACGCTTCAGTCCATAGCGACACATGTGCGAGCAGAGTGACAGTAAAGAGCCCATTTATCCCCAGACCCAGGAGCGGAACAGCAGGTACCCGGCGAAGACGGAGCGCCACATCATCGCTCCGCCGATTTGGTGTCAATGGTTTACATGTACATATGTACATATGTACAGACTCTGCATTGTTGCCGCCAATATGGTCACGCTTCTTGTCCTTGCGGCTGACCCAAAATAGCCTCAAAATACGCTTGGCACTGCTCCGTATTCTGGAAATCTCTCCCCGCTATGTGGTCCCCAGTAGGAACGCTACCCGTTTCTCAGCCAAAAGCAATTCGTATGTTTGTAGTGTGCGCACAATCGGCGCAGGCGGCAAAACGCCCGGCTCCGTCTTGAGTTGCATCATGAGTCTGGGACTCCATACTTGCGTGTTGTACGGTATGTAGCTCGGACATGGACATGGATATGAGCATGGACCTGTTCATGTCTCTGTTGTTTCCCAACGTTGGCCACTCGGGCTTCGGTGGTCGATCCATTCAGGCGAAACCCCAGCAGCGTCTAGCATGGGGTGTAATTTGCGAGAGAGAAAAAATAAGAAGATGAAGAAGAAGAAGAGTGAGGGACTCAGAGAGGACCCGACGCGTTGTGTTGTTGTTGTTGTACATCCTTTCGAGGCATGTCTATGGATGATGCAGATGTACTCCCTACAAGACTGCTCCGTTGTTTCCTTCTAGTCACTTCGACATGGGTTCCTTCCTAGTTCCTGGCTGGGCACGCCTGAGTCCCTTGAAGCAGCACAACCGGACTGCTACCATCAGGTACCAGACATGTCTCAACCACTGCTTAACTCTCGTGCTCCAACGGACAAATTGATACAAGGGTCAACGGTCAATAGTAGTGCTAGGATTTAGTGCTCCCCGCTGTTGCTGCCTGTGGTGGCTGGCCTGCTTGACGATGCCCATCACCCATCACCCATCACCCATCACCTCGAGGTGCGCGGCAGTTTCATCGTCAGACATAAAACACCTACATTCCGGAACCAATCTTTCCAGACCTGTTCCCTCTTCTTTCCCCTTCTCCCAACCCAATCCAAACTCCAGAGCTTGAGATTCTAACATTTCCTCTTCCCGCATCAGCCACATCCTATCCTTCTGCCAGGTACGGCGTAGAGTCGTGTACGATACACTTGTTCCAAGCCGAGAAGAGGAAGAAGAAGAAGAAGCCAGACACTCTACCTGAGCCGTGGATATTCCCCCAAGGACTGCACTATAATCTAGTGCCTCTCTCTCTTTTTTATTTCTGTACCAAGCGGCCACATCCAGTCAGTCGACTTTGGTCATTGCAGGTGTGGACTTGGTCACCTGCACTTCGGATCACACCGCTGCTTGCCAGCGCCCAAGGAAAAGAGAGCTCCCAGGACTGTCGTCATTTCTCTATGCATTCCCCAGGCCAATTGGATCTTGCGTTTCTCTAAGGACTTCTTTATTGCCGGCTCTTCCACAGGATCCTTGTTTTGCATACTACTGCTAGCTAAAAGCTGCGAGGACTGCCCCCGTCCTTGGGCTGTATTGCTGCTACCCGCGTTTTGGCGTACTCGCTCGTTCGCTCCGGCCACGCTGCGCATTTGCTTACATTGTTTTTTTCGCCATTGTGCTTTTTCTTTTCCCTGTCTTCTTTGCCCAAGTCGACAAGACACAACTTGTCTTTCGGCGGGGAAAAGTCCATTTTGCAGCATGGTTCCAGGAGATATGCCGCAAACTGCATTGGCTTATAAGAGCACTCCCATTTCCAGAGATCCGTGGAACACAGGCCACAGGTGCGAGAGTCACGATGCCTCACTGTTGTAGACATGATATACTGACATAGGTTGTAGTGCATTGGTTGACCCATATGGCAATGATGGCTTCGGAAATGGATTCTATTCCCCTCCCAGGTAAGAATCAAACCTCCCCATCTACACACTTCCTCGAGGACACATGAATAACACTGGTTCCTCAGCATCATGAACCCTAGTCATTCTTATGCTCAGAACGGAAATATTCCCAGAAGCGGAGGCGGCTACAACACGCGGGCTGATACATTTTCCTCTCCTTCGTCAGGTTATGCGTTGCGAACTCCGGCTACCGCCTCTTCATCCATGGCGCCTGCATTCAACGGTTACAAGAGCCCAGGCAAGACGACAGGCTGGGACAATCATGGGCGCTATTCCCCCACGGGCTCCCTCGAGGAGATGGTTGCTTCTCCCAGCTTGTCTGATTATTCCGTCGAGAACGTCATGGGAGTGACTAGCCCACAGCAGAAGCCGCGCCATAGTGGCAAGCGCGGCTCTCAGCGGCGACCGTCGAATCGAGATGAGTTTGACGGTCCCCATCAGTTCTTGCAACGTCCTCCACAAGAGGTTATTGATATGCAGGAGAGGGAGTTACCGCACCTCCCGACTAATCTTCACGTTCAAGAGCAGGACACCGTGCTGAACCAGGTCAACGATCGGCTCTCACAGTGTGCCTTTGACTTCGTGGCCAAGTATCAGTTCCCTATTCCCCTGACACAGGACATGCGACCGGTCGAAAGACCACAGGATCGTGAATGGACTGAATGGGTGTACCTGCTCAAAAGATTGGCAACTAAGCGACGCATCCCTGCAAGAGTCTTGTACAATGGTCAGATCAAACAATTCGTGACCATTCTAGAAAACTCACTGGAGATGCGCCACGCTGCCAAACACCAAAGCCGTCCTCTGAAAGACGACCGGAACATACTGCAGCTCATCTCTGCAGGCATTCAAGTCGCCAAAATCTTGAAGGACGCGTCGGCCATGGACTACCTGGACCACTTATACGTTGAAACAGAATCTCGGATTCAGGAACGCACCAAATCGCGATTCCGATCCTAAGTTTTGCTGCACTTGCAAGCCAGCACCCATTATACGTTTTTTGATACCAGAATCCCTTCCTCCCTGAAGCGAGGATTCTCTCAGCATCTACCCGAGGGATGTTTTTGAACCAGATTGAACAAGTGAAAGGGGAGCAATGTGCCATAGCCTCCTTATTGATACAGCTGGATAGGAAAAGACACGTTTTATGATGATGACTCTATTTTGTACATGGATTCTGAAGTTCGACAGCACGCTGGTTCGCTCGTTGCAGGAACCGTCCGTTAATTGATGAGACAGGTGGGTTCGTCCATTGGTGTTTGCCTGCTATCACAGCGGCCATGATGTCTGGCTTTTGTTAGAGTTTTTTTTTTTTAAATGCAAGCATTTGCCGCCAATAGTCCCCGTCTCCATTAAACTGGCGCAAAGCACAGCTATGGGTACATGATGGTATGAGATGCGAATATGAGCCTGGAGGTGTATTAGTAGTTTCGTAGGGATAGATTTTTTATAGCGTACCATGTATTCACTTGCCGTTGAGACAAAGTGTGTGGTGTGTGTGAGTGAACTTTCTCCGTAATGGACGATCTACAGCATGGACAAGTGCGAGACCAAGCCGATGCTTGCTTGTAGGGTAGCCATCAGCCTGCCAGCCAACTCTGACTCTCCTTCATCAACGGCAAACGCCACCCCGTCAATCAGCGAACTACGTACGGCTCAGCCCACACTCGGCAACTCAACCCATCGGTCAACAGAATCCACGGTCAGAGAGCCGTAAACGCCATGCGGCTGCATGTGGTCCTGACACGCAATGTGGGTGGTCGACCATCCCGCAGGTTCTCACCTCATCCCAGTCTTTCGGTATTCCAATCCGGTATAGCGCCATTTAGAAACCGATGAGGCGACTGCGGGTGAAAGAGTGTAATGCCTTCCTTAAAGTCCATCTTCACCCTACATTTCTAATCTTTACATATTCTCAACTGGTACATGGGAGGGTGTCTACCGTGGACCTTCCGACTCGCGAATCGCTGCGCTGATTTTCTGCGCGGTCAATCGGGCGAATGGCCTGAAGCTGCGCTAACTCTCATCTGCCTCTTTGTCGAAAATCAGCCTCTCGGCGAGCAAACCCTGACGAGAATACTTTAAAAATCCAGGGAAGAGATACTCGGAGGGCGTATTCAAATAGAGTATATCGCTACAGTTGAAGCCGAAACCATGGCCTCCGTCACATCTCACACATCCCCGCATACATCACCGTACGACTTTGATAACACAGAAGACGAATCATGGCAATATCTAGAGTACTCGAGCGGCGCATCGGCCCCTGGGTCCGTAGGGTTTCTCCCCAGTCCCGCGAGCGGTAGTCTGAATGGGTATGCTATTGTCGGACACACGCATGCGCACTTGACGCCGCCACAGGCGTCGGTTTCGCCGTTGAGTTTGGTGGAAATGGACCAGACCATGTTTCTACCGGCGGAGACCTCGTTTGCCGCGCAAGAAGGGTTTGGAGCGTCCGATGGCCCTGCTGGGTTTGTCCAGGGAAGTGAAAATGAGTCTGCGGGTGGCAGTGGGAGTGGGAGCTTTTTGACGCCGCAGGAGTATTTGTTTGCTGATGGGGGCTTGTCACAGCGGGAGATGAATGGTGAGCTTGTCCATCTCTGGCGATGCGTATCTGGGCGTCGGTGACAAAGACGTGGTATCTAATGATGTGATAGATATGGCGCCGTTTATGAGCAACTTCCTCACAAGCGAACAGACCACCACAACAACTGACTTCACACCATCTCTATTCCACATGGACTCAACCATCACATCTTGGACTGCTATAAGCCCTGCTGCAGCAAACAACCATGTAGTTTCTTTTGAGGAATTCATCTCCTCCTCCAACACCACAACCAACAGCATCACATCGTCGTCACCTACAGGATCCAGTCCAAAATCACCATCTATCAAATCCGAATTCTCCAAATCCCCCATCGCCCTTCGCAAAGTCAAGGATGCCAAGATCGAAAAGAAGACCAAAAAACCCGCCGACTCACAGTCTGGCAAATTCGTCATCGTGACGCCCAACTCTATAACCGCTCACGCTGGTCGCCCCAACCCCTTCGAATGCTTCGAAGCTATGCGGGCTACTCAACGCGGCCGCAAGGGACCTCTGGCGTATGAAACAAAAGAAAACGCCCTGCAGGTCCGTCGTGTCGGTGCCTGTTTCTGCTGCCATAGCCGGAAAGTCAAATGCGACAAGGAGCGGCCCTGCAAGCACTGCAAACGGCTGATGCTGCATGTTCCCCAGGTGGTATGTTGGCAGTTTCAGGATTTCATCCCCGCCTTGTTCCCGGAGTTTATCAGAGCGCACTTCAAGAAGGATGAGATCGTCAAGTTTTTGAAAGACAATGTCGACGGCTTCGTGGTGCGCGGCGTGTCACAACCGTGCGAGATTGGGCTGTTCTGTGGACTGAGGTTCTCGGCGGTGCTGAGCGTCAAGGCCAAGTTCTTCACGCCCAAGACGTGTGATGTCCTGCAGCACTGGCATACGAACCCACAGGGTGGCAGTCAGAACCTCCAGGCTAATGGTTCGGCGCCGATTGGACTCGAGTTAAACACCACGGCCCAGAGGGATGATTTGAGGAGGAAGGTCAAGGCGTACGTGGCGGACATCATAAACGAGCCGTTTTACGCGGAGCAGGTTACCGATTCGGTGAGGTCGACGCAGTTGCCGGTCAAGATATTAAGAATTGTGCAGACATATGCCAAACAATCCGATGTAGGTCCAAACACACCCGTCCTTCCTATTGCATCATGTGGCAGAAACTAACAGACTGCAAAAGTCCCCCATGGTCAAACGCGCTCTGTCCATCTACGCCATGCACTACATCATGACCCGGCACCTCTGCATAACCCCCAAATCCATCCTTGCTCTCCAGCCGGGCCTCGTGTCCCAAAACACGCCCTTCATAACCCCGCGCGTGCTCGCTCGTCAAATCAAGTCCCTCATCGATGGGCTCATCCTCCGTGAAATGCAAGTCATATTCGAACTCTTCTCCAAGTCCCTGAAGCCCAAGCACCGTCGCGAGTGGGCTCCCTGCACTGCGGCCTTCCTCGTCCTCTGCCTCTTCATGGAAGCCGTGGAGACTACAGCCGAGAATTTCGTCATTTACCAAAACGAGATTAATAAACGGAACATGTCGCCGCCAGAGTATAAGCGGGGTTTTGCGTTGGATATTTGCAAGGAGCTGGAGAATATGCCATTCAAGCAGTTTGCATATCAATTTCACAATATTTATCAGACTCATGCGAGGGATGTGAATACGAAAAGCTTTAATCCCCTGTTTGATGAGAGTTTCGAGGCGCGGGGAGAACTGGATGGGCCGGCGGTTGAGATGGTTCGGGGTATGCGAGAGTTGTTTGCGGGTGAAGATTGTAAGTTTTGTACTTTTTACGACTGTGACTTTGCATATGCCGATGGTGCTAACTAGTTGCAGGGCAAGATATGCAGTTCCTTGCCGATGACGAAATTATTCTGAGTAGGGGCGAGAGCACACATCCCATAGATAGCTCATTTCTTTACACGGGGCGATTGGTGGCCAAGTTTTTACTGTCGTTTACAGATGAGAACGTAATTTTTGGTGGCAAGATCTAGCTTTGTATTTGGTCGATGCAGATTCAGTTTGGAACAGTCCTTACAAACTATTACTCATATCATTAGGGCCAGATGCAGAAATCGTTTCGCGGCTGTTCCGCAGCGTCCTGCTGGCTACGAAGGCATTGGCACATGCAACTACTTGGGGTTTGCAATATATGGCTACAATTAAGAGTTTGGACAACGATGTAATGATAGCGGACTTTGCATTTGTAGATATATACTACACAGCGTCAATGGCATGTTTGCCCGATTTTAGTCCTGAAGTCACACTGCGTCTATGCCTTCAGGGTGGAGCGGACTGGTTGTCTAGACCTTGGCTTGTTCTCCCACGTACGAACGAAAAGAAAAGTTACACGCTTGCGCATTGGAAAGCAGCGAGGTGTCCCCCCAGTAGTAAATGTCAAGTTGGGACGGGGCCAACGCTTCAGTTCCAATGCCGACTCAGCCCAAAATCAAGGCATTGAAAGCCGGTATCGCACTCGGAAGTCTTTTGTGTCATCGGAATGAAAGGTTTGGTCAACCCAGTCCAGCGTGACAGATTCTTCACAGGGCAGTATCGTAACATGATGTGAAAGGGAGAAAGAAAGATTTGGGTGGGACTGCTGCACGAGATTTTTGTCTTAGGAGTGGGTGGACCACCTCACGTGATGACTAGGTTTGCATTTCTTGATCTGTTTGCTGCGCCGCTACCTGTCCTCTTCTTCTCTTTCTTTCATATTAATTTTTGTTTGTTTCGTTGCACGATTAATCAACCGGTAATGAATCGTCAACTTGCTATCGGTCATATTTGCGTGCTAGAGTAACGGATTTTACTGCCTTTTTTATTTTACCGGAGAGAAGATGCATCTTCTCTCCGATTTGTGGTGTTTCCGACATACTTTCGCCGCAGGGCGAGGAATTCAGGCGTTGACTGCTGATGTAACTGCCTGATGCCTTAATAGGGTTCCAATTGAGTCGTAGAGTCCCTAGTAGTTTGTGTCGTGAAGTTTTTGCCGCGTGAAGATGCATTGTTGCAGAGAGCGTGACGGTTTCACGGTTCCATGGTACCGAGTGCAAGAGCCGGCGAGGAAAGTCAATTTCAACTCCCGCTTGCTGTGACTGTGTTACTGCGAAGGATTGGTTCTTGCCCTTTGTACTTGGGTGTACGGGTCATTAGGGCTGCTCGACCTCGTTCAACATTTGACGACAGCCGGCTCTGTCGAGCCAGCATCGCTACCAACACTACTCTACCCTTAGCCTACGCCCCTACAAACTATATTTTTTATCGTGTATTATTAACCATACAGATACGCGTCCTTTGACAATCCGCAGATGAAATGATCCTTGCAGTGCGGTTGAACGGGCGCGCTTCCCACATTTGAATTGATCCGACGACGCGACTCGATATAGCCATTGCATTTGCTCGAACCGGCCACGCGACACAATAGCAAATAGCAAAGTAAGGGGTATTACACCTAAATGTCGCCTGTCGCGCATTCCATAGAACAAAGCAGACTGGAAATTGTACTACTGGCTGCCGGCGTTCTTGTGCTCGTTCTTTTCTTCGGCATCTTCATCCTCGTCTGCGTCAGCTTAACACACTCGAACGCACCTCTTTCACGGCACAGAGCTACGTCATGGGGAGGATACTGGAATGAGCGGTGGGATGCTGGCCCGTCAGCACCGGGCCAAGATGAAGGTGTATTTCATAGTGTTCGTCGACGAAGCGTGTCAATTGCTGAAGAAGTCAGAAAGAAGCTGACAAGTTTGAAGCAATTGCTGACATTAGATATGCCCGATTATGACGATGTCCCAAGGCAACGGTATATCGAAAGCACAGACTTCACGCCATACAACATTACGACCCTGAATGACGGGACAGATCATGGCTTGTCCACGCTCCTATTAGATGATAACTCCAACTGGCATGACCTGCTGGAGTCGCCGGCCTCGAGCACCGGGAGAGATCGAGAGGGAGGGATTGTAACAAAGAGACCTGAGAGAGCAATGGTTCATGACGATAGCTGCGATTTAGAGGCGCAGGATTCTGATGACTCTGAACACTGAAGACCTGGGAAATTGGGCAATATCACTCGCGGCAGACTCGGGATGAAGAAGTCCGTTCCTGAGATGGTGTACAGAAAAATTGCTAATTAGGCTAGCCGCCTATAAAATGGCTCAGATTTATAAACAACCCATGCCGTAATCTATCTTGCTTGCTCCGTTTTCCCACCGTCGTCCATCTGTTTTGTTTGTACATTGACGAAGCGTCGTCAGATTTCGCCGGTTCAAATCTAAGGTTGCTGCTGCTTCTTGAGATCGCGCGCCGCCAGCTTCAGATTGATGTTGCATTCCTCGTAGGCTCGTCCAGCACCGAAACCGGCACCAACAAAGGCGGGCCAGGCTCGTCGTCGAAATAACAGGACGGAAAAGACGACACCGAAACCGAGACCAAGGGTAGATTTTACGAGGAGGTTCGACAGACAGCGATCCCACTACACCTTGACGTTAGATCTTACCGTTCACATTGTCGCGTGTGCTCGCTGGGAAATAATATACCTTCTCGTTGAGGAGGGCCTCGCTGACGGGTCGGGAAATGGCGCTCGCAGGAGCTGCAGCAGGGGCGGACTCGGGCATGGTGAATAGACTGAGTGGTGGCGCGTGAGATTTCTGGAGGTCATGAGATCGACCGGCGACTCGGACGACTTACGTATTTGCGGAATTGATGCCAATGTAGTGTGATTGGAGCTACAGACAGCTTCGACGTCGGCGATGCTCTGATGTCAATTGTGACGAAAACCAGTCGGCCAATGGCCCAGGTTACCCGAAGGCGGTGAGACTTGTCCCAGGCATGTGGGTTTTGTATTGGGCGGCAGAATTTTGGAAATTTTGGCTTGCAGTTGCAGCCAAACGCACCGTGGGGCAGAGCACTTGGTCTTTTCCGACCAGCAACGCTGAGTGTTCGGAGCATTCTGGCGGCCTTGGATTTTATAATCATAGAGGCGCATGGGTTGAATGGCTTTGACAGCTGATGATGGTAAGTGCCTCTTTTTGCTACCAGATAATTTTTTTGTGCTAATTAGGCAGGATAACACGGACCTCATCAAGACCGTTAGAGGTCTGGACCAAAATGGCCCTGGAGACGATGGTCAAAACCTCCAGCAGCTTTGGAACTTCCTAGCTGCGGCAGCGGATAACCAGTTTCATGCTGCAGAAGAAAGCAGCTTACGGTGGCTGTTGAAATCCATGAACGGCACTTCAGAAGCGGCCGAGACGTTGCGCCGGTACCCTCTCACTTGGACGATTCTCGACCGTGTCTTCCAAAGAATCCCGTTGTTTTCACTGGCAAAATCGCTGGCGGATAGAAAATTTATGGCAGTTCTGCAACAGACGCTAAAAGATGTCTCGAAGCCAGTTGGCTCTACTGAACAAACTACTCCGACTAAACGAAAGCGTTCGACACTCATTGCCTACTCGGTCGACGCTCTGCGAAGCATAAATGGGTGCCTGGAGACTGCTCAGACTCTGTTCATAGCAGTGAAGTCACTGTTAAATCGCTTAGACAACACATTGGAGACATTCTCGCGAGACAAGATTGGAGCCGAACATATTAGGTCTCTCTTCTGTACATCGGCCGTAGATGCCACAGCAATTGCAGCGCCGGCGTTTAAAATATGCGAAAATCTCTTATCCAGCGACTCACACGACCAAATAAAAGGGTGCGAAGATTGGATTCAAACAATTTCATCAGTTTGGGACCTTCATCTCCAGGGCACGGATGATGTCGTGAATGTGGCAATATACCTGTTCCGACCTGCATCAGTCATTCTAGCAAATGTTGGGCCGTTTTCTTCTGCAAATCGAGCTCAGGTACGCGATAGCCTGAAGGAGAAATGGTCATCGGATATGCAGGCATTCATGCATCGCAACTTTGCTCTCCCCGGACGAGGCGCCTTCATCAACCATCGAACTCTCGAAGCTTTTACGACTGCTCTGGAGATATGTAAAGGTATAATTCATCTGGCCGCTCCTGCGTTGTACTTCATCGCATCGAGCACATACAAGGATGTAGCCGACAGTGGACTTCGCAAGGACAATGTTGCGTGGATTAAAGAAACGTTTCAAGCTGTTGAGCTGGCAATCGCGAGGAGACAAGATCGTCACATTCTCATGGAGAGTATTTTAGAGCAAGCATTGGGAAATTCTGCCCCAGTTGGTGTAGACGACCTGCGTCGGGTGTGTCGGGATTACGCCTTACAAGACGACGGTACCCGCTGGTCCTTGGTGTCAAAGATTGCTCAGTGCGAAACAGATGTGTTCCAAATATCTGACGACAGTATTGAGCTGCGAAAGGAAATCTGTGACAGAATCATCAAAGAAGACAATGACGAAAGCAATAAAAAGGCAATTGTGGAAGTGATTGGGGCGATTCAAGATGGATTCCGCACTCATCGAGACCTGCCAAGCTTCTTGCGGTTATGGTTTCAGCAACTTTCGGATACCGAGAGACAGAATTTTCGTGCGGATTCGGCTTGGATTACTTTTATTCGGGAGCGATCTCAAAAGGACTCGCTCACTTCCATTATCGAGACTGGAATGTCTCCTCAGCGTCTGAATGAGGTTGTTGCATGGGTGAAGGAAAATTCATCAAAACAAAATCCTCAAGCGACTGTATTATTTGCATCTACTGTTGTTCAGTCGTTACATAGTGAACAATACGTCGATGCCATTGGGCGGCAGCTGTTCGATTTGGTGGAGGGTTTGAAGGCTTCTACTCCTTTGACGGCTTTGCGATGGCGAGTTGTGTCAATGACTGTTTGGTGCGTGGCTCCAGATGAAAGGCAAGGAATTTGGGGCGCGGTGAAGAAGCGTCTTACCAAGGCTTTGGAAAAGTCGCCAATCCTGTCCGCGGAAGCGTACGAAGCCTTCAGATGCTGCTACGAAATTTGGGATTCTGTGTCCCCTGATGGACCTTGGGTCGAAGAGCCTGCGGGCTTGACCGAAGCATTCACGAAAAGACTCGCGGTTGAAATGAGCTCTGCCTGTGTTCTGAAGGGTACTCTATTCTCAACAGCGCTTGGCTTGGCTAGTGAAGCGGTCTTCAATGAAGACTATGGTTACGAGCAGTACATTGCCTGGTTATTGAACGGTTCCAGCCGATTCAACAAACTCTACATGTCTAAGGCAGGCGAGTTGCCGCCCGCACTCGGTGAAGTAATTGCATCACGCAAATTGAGTACAGACGGGTTGGCTATTCTGTGGGCGGCATTGATACGGAATGAGACCAATCTCAATGAAACGAAGCTTTCGCATGGTCTAGTTGATCGCCTACTCGCGGCTTTTGACGAATCTGGAAAGGAGAAGAACTGGCCGGGTGAAAAGGGGCAAATGTGGATGAGAGCGCTATCAAGTATCCCCTTAGACTGCTTCGATCGTGATCAGCGAGAAAAGCTTACGACGATACTGGCTAAGCGACAGTCAATGCTGACAGAACCTGCCACCAAGGACGATGTGAACAGTTGGAAGCTGTTATTAAGCCTGATATGCAAGATTATGAAACGACCTACATTTCACGAGGGCATGCGATTCTCAGACTTGGTGGAAGCATCTCAGACGTTGTCCCATCTTTCGATGACATCGGAAGACAGCATCGAGACAATCCTGGAGGTCATTGAGAGGTTTTCTCACATGGCTTCTTTAGTCATAAAGCAAATGGCAGGTCACGTCGATGAGCGAAGTGCCAAGTACTTCCGCGAAGCCACTACATTCGTGTCGATTTGCGAGAAGCAAGCCGATGGCAGTAGTGACCACAAGCTTGACTTGCCAGCCCTCCACATGACTCTACTGAAATCCCTCGGCACTGAGCTTACTCAGTCTGTAAACGCCCGATCAAACACGGACTTTGCGCCTTTATTGACCACGACACGAAAAGCTTTATCGAAATGCATCACGAAAGTCATCAAATTTTGTGTCTCGGAAAAAAAAGTACTAGAGCTCTCTAGTCTGCCTGTCGATATGAGCATTATGGCCGCTGTGGATGCCGCTGCAGCCACGGAGTTCTCTGATAAAAATGACTTGAAGTCATCTTCTATAAGAAAACTAGAAAAAAGAACTAAACAGGCGATGCAGGATGGTGATTTGCGAGCATGGAAGATTCAAACATTTCTTCGCGCGTACTTATCAGACAAGCTTGAGGTATCGCATCCAACCACTTTCGACGACCTGAAAAATCTGCCTCACCGTATGCGAGAGGTGGTGCTCAGGGAGCTTGTCCAATCCGTGTCTGCTAACATGGACGGCTTGTCGAAATTGGCGTACTTGAGAGAGCTGCTGAGAGAGCTGAAAGGAGGCTGTAATACGGATGGTCAGTTGCTTGCCATTGAGTATCTGGCAAATCAAATTATTGGTATGTTCATTCGCTCTGCTGATTGCCAAGCCAACATCCTAACAAAATTTCCAGAATCATCCGACTTCCAGCTTCAGACTGATGACGGTTTCAACATCGGTATGGTCCACAGTGATTTGACCTCGTTGCTTCTGCGCAAACCATCCAATTCCAACATCATCTGCCGCATCCTGCGAGCTCTTCTAGAGAAACGGCCGCAGTTAATGAGCCAATGGAACATTGAAATTACCCTGAGCACTGTATCTGATCTCGCATCGGACCGCCATGCCGGCGAGAGCACTACATCCTATCCTTGGCTTTGCAAACTGGTCGAAGTAATTATTAAGAAGCACCGTTTGCGACTTGAAGGGCATTTCCACCTGCTCTTGAGCACGTTGCAAGCCTTGCTGCAGAATCTCATCAAGAGTCAACAGCACTCCACAGCAACAGACAACTTGGCTCAAGAAGCCAAGGCCCAGTTGTATGCCCGTCTCGTCACCCTGATTTGCGAGCCTACCGTCGGAGCTGTCTCCCGTTCGCAGCTTCACAGTTCGCTGGACTCAGCTACCGATGCCGCCAAGCGATCTGCCGGCCGACACATGTACCTCATTCTGGTACACTATGTCAAGCTGCAGCTCGAAACGAGCGTGTCAACAGAAGTACGTGATGCGCTTGAACAGGCTATGAATTCCATCTTCGACATTACGCCCCCTGAAGGAAGAAAGATTCTCAACGACACAATGGATAGCAGTGGCAGAGCGATATTGCGAGAAATGTTTAAGAGATATGTCAAATTCGGTAAATGGAGTGGCGTTTGAGAACGGGATTATAGAGTATATTAGGGTATCTCAATACAATAGCATCAGCGTCTTTCCGCCACTGGCCAAGGTTTTAATTTGATCTTCCCCCGTCAAGGCCTACGTGGTCTTTTGTGCGCGCGCTAGGATGCCCATGTTTCTTGCGATAGGCTCTAATCTTGCCATGCAAGTCGGGCTGCACAAAGATCCATAGAATGGCAACCAGCCATGCGCCGAGCGTATCAACAACCCAGTTGTTCCTGAAGGAACCCCCCAGCATGCCCAGTCTCATCAAGTCCCCGAGCCAGTTTACCGTGACGAAGTAATCGCCATTCTCCAGTCCCTTGATTGACGCTGCGGCGACTTGGTCGGGTGTCTGCCTCGGGTCCGACGCTTCTAGGATCTTGGTAATTTCCGGCTTCACCTGCTCCTCGCGCACGAATCCTGGCGACAGGATCGTCCCGGGATACACGACGTGGACCTTGACGTTCTGCGGATACAGCATGACCTCCTGCGAGAGGGTGTCTGCGAGGCCTCTCAGGGCCCATTTCGAGGGTGCGTAGGGCGCATATCCGGGGATGGTGTACAGGGCTACCGCGGAGGTGGTCATGACGAGGTGCTTGGGCTCGAGCGTGACGGGGGCCGAGGGCTCGAGCCAGGCTCTCAGGATGGCGTGTGACATTTCGGCGGTGCCGTAAAAGTTGACGTCCATGTGGTGTCGGAGGGAGTCCATTTCCATTTCTGTGAAGAGCTGGGGCGCGGATGTGCCCGCGCAGCACCAGACGATGTCGGGTGTTTGGTTGTTGTTCCACGCTGTGGCGGCGGCGATGAGAGGTGCCGCGTAGGAGGGGGAGGATACGTCGGCCGCGATGTGGTGGAATCGTTGGCTGGGGTCCTTTGCTGATGCCTATGATAGTGTCAGTCGGATGTTGTTTATGACTGCTGCGCGCGTCATCATGCCGGCGGTCTGCGCAAAGAATGAGAGAGCGAGGCGTAGGTGCGTACTCTGACGGTTTTGAGAGCTTCTTCGAGCTTGGCGGTGCTTCGGGAAACGAGGATGATGCTGGCTCCTTTGGCGCTGAGCTGCTGCGCGACAGAGAGGCCCATGCCTTCGGATCCGCCTGTGATGAGGACCGTCTAGAGAAGGGTTAGGAGTTGGTGGCATCGATAGGGTGGTAGCTGGACGATAGACTTGCCTTTCCCGCGACGGGCATCTTGTTCCCCGAGAAGAGACCCATTGTGAGTGAGAATGCGACTAGGATTGCGAGGGCAGTCGGGATCAGCATCCAAGGGGAAGAAGTGAGCGTTGCGACGTGGTCCATGGAGGGGGGGCTAGCTGGGAGCAGCAGGCACTGGGTGGCCAAGAAACTCCTTTCTATTTGCAAATAATATAGGCTATTTTCGATTTGAAGACATGTCGAGAATCCAGGTCTGGGTGGAGCTGAGGTCGAAAGTGCTCATAATCACATTGAAGCCTTGGTATCTGGTCCCCAGATGGGGTTGCAGAAGTGGGTCTTCGAGCTTGACGTCGCGCCACGACCTCAAAATGCTACCATGATTTAGACAAACATATATCAGCACGTTGGTTAAGGGCTACTCTTTCATGTATATGGCAAAAGCGCAAGCTTTCACCCAGATGCCGCCCCCACAATCGTGGCATTAATAGCCATGTCGGACAGCGAGAGTGGCACAAAACTCGTCGTGCCCAAGTTCTCCTCGTTCAAAGCCAGGGATCCGGCAAGGCCTACAAAGGCCGATGGTGGCAAAGGAAAACAAAGAGAAAGGAGTCAGTCGAGGGACAGGCACCGAGATAAGCGCCATCGCTCTCACCACAGCCAAGATTCTCGCCGAAGAGAGGAGCGGTCCTCCCGACATCGAGAGAGGCAAGCTGCGCCACCGCAAGACCCAGCGCAAGGTCCAAAGGCATTGCTTGAAAAAACCACGTCATCGGCTTTTGTTATCGACACGAAAGGAGACCATTTAATATTAAAGTACGGTCTTGATCGCGCCAAAGTCCCTGCCTACTATCGCTATGGGGGCGGTAGAGTCCTCGGCACCGCTGGTAGACTTGTCATTCATCGCGAGGGCCCGAGGGACCAATTCAGCCTCCGCTTCCCAGGCGATGGGGCGGGATTCTTTGACAAGGATGGATTGCGGTCCAAGTCATTTCGTCTGACGCGTGACCCGATCAGGCTTCGAGCAAGGGCGTCGGAGTCTGATGAGGATGACACATTCCTGGCTGTTGGGAGTTCGAAAAAGAGAAAGCAAGATGAGCGAGATTCGGAATCTGAAGACGATGAAGGTCTGTCGTACAGGTCTATTGAAGGCAAAGCCAAGGCTAAGGCGGCACTCGAGTCTGACCATGACAGCTCGGGGTCTGAGGACGAAGTAGTGGACCTGGAGCATGATAACCCGCTTCGGTGGAAGTCTATTCAGCTGAGCAGGCAGGTCAAAGACCATCCGGGGGATATTGACGCTTGGATGGAATTGGTAGACCATCAGGATGACCTGCAGCGGGCAGGGGAGACAATCGATGAGCGAACGACGGCGAACACGGCACACAGTTTCTCAGAGATTAAAGTCGACATGCTTGAATCGGCTCTCTCTAATGCTATTGTAGCCGAGGGTCGAGAAGTTGTGCTTGTCCGTCTCATGCGCGAAGGGATGAAGATCTGGCCGAGCAAGCTTGCTGCAAAGAAGTGGTCAGAAATTGAGAAAGAAGTGGAAAACAACTTTGAGCTATGGAGGGCGCATTTGGACTTTGCCATGTCTAATATTTCCAGCTTCCAGTACGACGATGTCAAGCAAATGCTACTGGACAGGCTGCGCGCTGTCCTGTCACGGGCCGGCGCACAAGAAAAGCACTGGGAGGAAGCTATATATGTGTTTTTGCGGACAGCAAGATTGATGCATGACTCTGGATACAAGGAGCTAGCTGCGGCAGCGTGGCAAGCTTTGCTGGAGTTCAACTTCTTCAGGGGCGGCTCAGAGATGCCTGGAACTGGTATGGAGGCATTTCGAGATTTCTGGGAGAGCGAAGTCCCACGACTGGGAGAGGAGGATGCCAAAGGCTGGAAATATCATATGTCAACTGGTGGGCAGGTGGAAGCTCCAGAGCCGCGGAAGGACAATCAAGTGGCGGATATTGCGACAAGGGATGCCTACAAGGCGTGGGCACATTACGAGCTAGGCCAGGCTCAAAGTGCCAAATTACCTGCGAGAACAATGGATGATGGAACAGAGGATGACCCGTTCCGAGTAGTCATGATTTCGGATATTGAGCCTCTGCTGTTCATGGTGCCGAATGTGCTGTTGCAGGGCAGGCCTGGAGAGTTACTCCTTGACGCCTTTCTCATATTCTGTGGATTGCCACCGTTGTTTCGATCTACGCCCCTGGCGGAACTTGCCTTTGATGACCAGTTTACTTCGAGCTCTACAGTCACAAGTACAGCATTACGTCAGGCAACTTTGTTGGATGACCCTGAGGAAGTTCGCAGGAAGCCTCCATCATTCTCCAGAGTCCTCAATGCAGCACTATCCCCTAGTCTCCTCTTTGCTGGAGCGGACTGGTTCCAGTATTTCGGCTCATCCCTGACGAACCTTTCCGTGGAGACGGCATTCGTGGGAAATGTGTTGAAGCAATTGGTTCACGAAGCAGAAGTAGAGAGCTTAGCTCTTTATTATCTTGGATTTAGCTTCGCCAGCGAACGGCCATTGGTGAAGAAGTCTGCAAAGGCATTATTGAAGAAGTACCCGAATAATGCTGAGCTCTACAACGCATACGCCCTGGCAGAATTCGCCAACGGTAATGCAGATGTCGGGAAGAAGGTGCTTGTATCAGCCATGGAAGCGCCATCGGTAAGTGCAGCCGTTTCTACGAGTTGGTCATTTACTAAGGTCTTTGTGTCAGCTATCTGTCGGCGCCCCGGGATTCCAGCTTCACAAATCACTTAGCTGGGAGGAGTTGAAAGCAGGGAACAGGACGCAGGCTATTACATGGTTGTGCTCTGCTTTTGACAACTCCCTACGTCAAGCGCAGGCGGACCATGGCAGCATTTCACCGGCAGTCATCCTCAAGGCCAGACAAGAAATTCTTGCACACATTCATCAGTGCATGTATGAAGGAAGAGCCAATGATGCTGCGGTCTTTGTCGAGGGTCTGACCTTATTGTCATACCTGACGGATGGGGGCAATACCGAGCCGACATCAGATGCACAGGGTAATATCTCCGCCGCCATGAATGCCATCGAAGGCATGTCCGCAGAGTTCAAGTCCCGCGGGGACGCGAATACCCGTTCACACGAACGCATGCTCCAATTCGGAGCGCAACTGTTGTACCTGAATGCCACTCGAGGGTAAGTTTAACTCTTCGTCTCGTGTCTCCCCTATCCGGGCTGACAGTGTATAGCCCCTTTCGCCGAATCTACCTCCGTGAGCAGCTGTCAAAGTTCCTCGACTTCTTTCCCCGAAACTCAATCTTTCTCTCGCTCGCAGAGTGGGCCGACTCCAGCTTGCGGGTCATTGACGAAACGCGCCAATTGCTCTATGACAAGATCCTCATCAAGCAACACGACTGTTTGAGCAGTCGGGTTTTTTCCATTGAACATGAGATATCGCGTGGGAATCCAAATACTGCAAAGGCAGCGTTTGAGCACGCCTTGTCGAGCGATGTCTGCAAGACAAACACTAGACTGTGGATAGCGTATCTGCGCTTCAGCTACGCGCACAGGGAATTACGGCCCAAGGTGAAGGACCTATTTTATAGGGGGCTGAGGCACTGTCCGTGGTCAAAGGATATTATGATGGAGGCGTTTTGTAGCCTTATACGGGACATGAAGTCTGATGAGTTGCGGTCCGTGTATAACACCATGACGGGGAAAGGGCTTAGGCTGCATCTGGACATGGACGAGTTTGTGGAGAGGTGGCGGAGAGATAGGCACGGCAGAGATGGGAAATGAAAGGGACTGGCTCGCGAATCAACTTCCCGTTTTGCAATGAATACCTCCTCTTGAGTTCACAAGTCGTCCTATATAAAGATATGATGATTTGGAATAGTGGCTTTTGCATAGATACCCCTTTGGTGGTCTTTGGTAGTATTAGTAAATACCGGGTTCTGTTATTTTGGAAAGTTGTAGCTCCGCTTCCATAAGAACGCCCCGAATCGTCTAGATGCTGTTGAACTTGTCATATTCGATGTTTCGGGACTATGAGGAAAGCGTTGATGGTTATGGCGCCAAAAGTTGAGGGCGCCCCGTCGGATGAAAAGTCCTTTATGCCTTGCACCCCTCCAACAAGGGTGTTGATCTGCATGTTCAATCCTGGGTTACTTTCAGTCTCCTGCTGGGCCACTGTGCCTTTGTCTCCCCAAATCTTATCTTCGTGGCTAATGCTGTAGAGTGGCATAAAATTTGAGCATAAATGCCGCAAGTCAAGTGCAAGATTAACGCAAGCTTTACATCTTCTTCGCCTTTCCCCCGCGGCACATGTCCAAGGGGTTCAGCTATAATCACGTCACCTGCATGGAATTATGGAAGTCGACCAGCACAGCAGCTCGGAGGTGTGGGGCCGAACCGGACTGTGGGGCCGTTCTCGGCGCCGACCGCCCAGTAACACCACCAGCTCAAAAGGCGGCGCCACTATCGCAAAGCTCCATCTTACAGCTTCTCTCTTGACACACTTAATAAACGTCTAGTATACTATGACTGTCATTTTCGTATTTCTGATTCCTCATCTCTGTGTGGAGTTAGCCTTACAACCATTCTACGCCATGCAGAGGCTGCGCGTTGGCGACGGGGATGAAGGAACCGTCAGCCCATGCAGCAGAAAGACGCAGCAATATCGGCCCGAGGTCCAACGTGCCCAATACCTAGCACAACAAGTCCTTTGCCAACATTAACATGGGTCGTTGGCGAAAGCAAAGCCGTAAGCTTCTGGTGGACGTAGATTCTTTTCAGCCGGATTGAACAAAGCTGCTAGTCTTGAAACATGCTGGGAGACAAAGCTCCGTGAAAATGACCAACCTTGAAATAGATGAACAGTAGCAGCCCAAGGTCGTTCTAGATTAATTACCGGAATTTCCGGATATTATTTTGGGATTGTGGTTGCAGAGCTGCGTGGAGCCTCATCAGCACTTCGCACGTCCGCGCCTTGTTGCGCCTTTGGCGCGGCTTTGTTCAGCAAGTATACGCTTTGGGCCCTTGACAGCGTGATTTCGTTTATAAAAGAAGTGATATGTGACAGCACTGAGGTGGCTGTTCAACAGCGGTGCATGCTCTGTTGACCGCAAAACGATGCCTAGTAAATAGTAAGCAGCAATGCGGGATGGAACAACGCACAATCAGGACCGCATCTCTTCTCCAACAGCGAGCTCTCCGAGGATGAGAGCTTCACAGACTTGCATATGCATGCTTCGCGCATGCTTTCATCGGTTTCTGTGAAGGCAATTTCTTTTCTGAACAGACGCAAAACGCAGAATCTGGCATTCGGGGTGTTGTAGCATTGGGCACATGGCCACGAGTATAAACCGTTGAGCTTTGCTCGCCCATCCTGCAGTCCCGGACCTTACCATTCCAACCCGAAAAAAAAAACATCACAACCGTTTTGACTTGTTCAACATTTTCGTTTCAAACCCTTTCAACTGCTCAGCGTCACCATTACAAACATTTTGGCATCTTCAACATTTTCGTTTTAAACCCTTTCAACTGCTCAGCGTCACCATTACAAACTTTTGGACTTGTTCAACTTCTTCGATATGAGCTGGAACGAGACGGATGAGACGGTGGAGCAGCTGGCTCAGAATCGAGAGGCATCTCGACGTATCCCCTACATGGCAGTCCTTGACGACATGGTCACCGAGATATGGAAAATCTTGATGCCAGGGGGCCCGAATCGTCCATATTTTGGAAGGCCTGTTCCACCAGTATCGATAATCACATATGAACAAGCCACGAGCTTAGCATCAGGCTTAAATTGCGACCTCTTTATCTGGGGAAATCTCAACGGGAACGAATCCTCAATTAGCGGAATACAATCAGGCATGTTTATTAACATGCCTCATGCGGCTCAGCACCTGAGAAAACGAGAAGCAATCAAGCCAGGCCAGCCGAAAACACCAGCTGACGCCGTGGCCGAAGCACAGTGGCTATACGCGGCCGAGACAATGCGTGGGGTCCAGACGTATGTCAAGCAGTCAAAAGTGCGGGACATGATAATGAATACCTACGGAGTTCAAAAACGACAGTTTTGCTTATATCTTCAAAAATACGTCTGGACGTTTTTGGGACAAGGCAGTGTGTTGGGGCTCCCATGGAGCGGTCTCCGGCGTTGGCGTCCATCTAGATTGAGAAGTACAACCCACCCGAACTTGACCAAAGCCAAAAATATGTGGTACGAGGGCTTCGATTTATACGAGGTCGTGAAAATACTAGGTCCATCCCCAAGGGACGGGGAGGGAAACGAGGAGGGAAACGAGGAGGAAAACGAGGAGGAAAACGAGGAGGAAAATGAAATCAGCCCGTGATGAGAGCCAATGTCCGTAGGACTAGATGCGTGGCGTGGCACATGTGAGCAGGGCACCTTGGCATTTCATGATACGAACCTCTGTATTATTGATGCAAAGCCTTGATTGAGCTGCAGTCCATCGCAGGATATATTTGCCCACCAACAGGTTTATACTATACATGATATAGTATATACTCATCGGCAAATCCACACTCTTGTGTGTTCCGATACTAGCCATGTGACGGGGCGAGACCGATCGGTACACGAAACAACAAAAACAGCAACAGGATAGTTTGATTCAACATTGACTATTCCATATGGCACTTTATGCTTCATCAGCATTCTGAAATTTTGATTTGCGGCGGTTACAATAGCAGTCGGCAACGCGCCGATGTAAGCGCCACGCGCCTCGTATCTCGGGGCATATCAGCTGGGGCAGCGGTGGTGAAGGGCGAAGCAATTGGTTAGCGACGGGATATGTGTGTCTGGAATTTTGGTCGTTTGTTTTTCTGTATTTCAAGTTTTGATTCATGCGTCAATGTATTGATGTATCAATGGACAACTTTGTGTCTAGACCTGCATGTGCCTCTTGAAAGTGCCATCACATTACATTGTATGAACTGCCAGTACCAAGCTAGGCACCAAATCAGAGTAAGAAATGAACATTCGATTCGGCCGCTGCATGCAACAAAGACAAAGGAATCTTCACGTATGGAATTAAAGAACAGGTGTGACTGGGCAGAAATGAGGCCTTTGTTCCGGCCTCACAGCTGGGTTTGTCACGACGTCCGCCCCATCTGATAAAAGGATTGTCGTATCTGTTTGAGAAGAAGTTGGACAGCGGCTGGCACTTTGACGTATGCAAAGCAGGCATTCACACACTAGAAGCCATCCTCTGTGTTCAAAATGTATCCCAATTTGGTTATTGTTCTTTGCAGATATAAAAGCCCTGTCTCGGAGCAACTTTTGCTGCAGAGTGACAGCGCATTCTAGATGATTCACTTCTCACATCAAACCTTTCTCAACTCCCCCAAGAGCCCAACGGCTGTACTCGCACGCAACCGAGATGGAACCCTCAGAGAACCTACAACTCAAAATCCAAAAGACTACGTCACCGACAGTATATTGGCAAATATCCGGACTGAAGACCGCCAAAAAGAAGGACGGCATCGCGCACGTGATCCCGGAGCAACAGTCAAATCATGAAATCGCCAGCTTTACGATGCGCTACCCCGGAGCCAACTCCAAAATTAAACCGTCTGGGCGTTCGAGAGGTCGTAAAAGTCCCAGGTGCATATTCAGGAGTTCTACGCGGAAGGCAGGGGGCAGGCGCCCAGAATGCAACATCGTCGACATGACAAGAAAAACGACGGGACATTACTCCTGGGAAATGGACTTCAGATTGAGCAAAGATAAATCTGGGCCTCTTGGGTGTCTTGTCAAGGCTCTACGATGCATCCGAAGTAAAAGAGACACCGGAACTGAATACTTTTATTGGCTTCGGGCCAAGTCTGACCCAGACGAATGGAAACTGCTACCTGCGGAGTGTATTGGCAAGATTTTTGGAGGGTACCGCTTTTACGAAAAGCACATAGGTGCAGAGTTTCGTGACTCTACCATGACTGTCGATGGGGATCTCGGAAAAGACAAGGACTTTGTTCGTCGGGCGTGCTTGACTCTGGTGGCGGCGCTGTGGATTGAGGAGCAATCAAGTGACTCGACGGGGACGGAGACGGAGTAGCATTGTATCAATTGTGGCGTCGGAGCAGACTGGTTTCATTAGAAAGAGGAATATGACAAGTTCAGAGTTGTCAAAGCCGTCAATAAATCCCTCCTTTGTTTGGTGGTGAATGACATGCTTTCTGGGACTCTTGTCCCTCGTACATTTTCCCCTTGGAGCCACTCACCTGGCCGGGATGAAGAGAATCGGAGCAAGGGAAAATGCAGCATATGCATAATTTTAAACGAGAGCCAAAGGAACATTGAGGTTCGACTTGGTCTCTTCACACACGGGCTGCCATTGCCATTCACAGCTGCCCCGTCTGTGCCACGGCAGCCCCTCCTCCTTCCCGGTACGCGTGATTCTCTGCAACCAACTGATCGCACCTTCCCGCGCAAACAAGCTCTGGCCGCAATGAATCCGAGCGTGCAGCGGGGTATGGACCGTCTGGTCAGGATGGTGGTCGTTGAGCAAGAAGGAACGGTGACCCGGTGAGTAGCCAGTCATCTAGCAGGGATCCGTCGATCCTGGCAGGGCTGTGCTCAGTGTTGCTTGGTTCCATCAATGGCTTGGGTCCACGTGAAATGTAGCTGAGCGGCGTCAAAGACCCCTGAACAGCGGCGTCTAACATTGACGGCTTTGCTTTCCATTTGGCCCCTTGTGGGTTCCTGAACAACCGCCTTGGAGGCCTGTTGTCTCACCCACAGTGCACACGTCAATCACAGGGCCGTCTGTCCGTCATTCAGCTTCAAAGCGGCCTTGAAAGACGGACGGTGCAGCCCAGCCTCCTGCATGCACCTCCTCGACACCACCGGTTCTTTGATCTTTAAGACAACATACTTGATTGCCAGAGACAAATGCCAGAGACAGAGCCGGCATGGCAGCCCTCCAACAAGCCGGCGGCGGCGCCAGTCAAGCCCAACGAGCGCCCCCGGCGTTGACCAACACCGTCATCTCGTACCTGAAGACCATTTTCGAATCCCACGCGGATGCGGATGGCAGATGGACTCTTGGCCAGATTGCGCGCTTTATTCAGCAAGTCCAGAAAAACAGCGACAAGACCACAGCCGCCGCCAAGTTGCTACAGAGCACAGAAATTGACCTCAGCGCATTCCTGCAGTACATGACTTCTGAAGACAGCAATATAACAGAGCCCTGGAACCAAAGCGACTTGTCCTGGCCTCTTTCCAGCTACTTTATCAGTTCCAGCCACAACACATACTTGTCGGGGAACCAACTGTACAGCGATAGCACAACCGACGCCTACACCAATGTGCTTTTGCGGGGATGTCGCTGCGTTGAGATTGACGTTTGGGATGGCGACGAGTCAGACTTGTCCGCCAGCTCTACCGAGAGTTCAGCTGATGAAAAGGCCGACGATGAGGCTGTGCCAACCAAATCGAAACGCCAGGGCACATTCGACAGGCTGAGGCAGAGGATACCGGATAGCCTGACGTCCAAGCTGGAAAAGACCAGTTTGGCCAAAACCCGCGAACTAAAACACACTGGAAAACACAACACGGACACAGCGAACGGTGCACCGCCCGATGGCGACTCCAAGATTGTGCCAGAAGTCGCCCTTGTCGAGCCTCGTGTACTGCATGGCTATACCCTGACCAAGGAAGTTTCCTTTCGGGATGTGTGCAATGCCATTCGGGACAGCGCCTTCACAGTGTCAGACCTGCCGCTGATTATCAGTCTCGAAGTCCACTGCGGTGCCGAGCAACAGCTCATGATGGCCAACATCATGAAGGAAGTCTGGAGCGGCATGCTAGTCACCGAGGATGAGATCAAACCAGGCCTGCTGCCAAGCCCCGAGGACTTGAAGCGAAAGATCCTCATCAAGGTCAAATACGCACCGCCGGACACGCCTGCAGCAGAGCCCGACAGCAGCGCCGAGGACGACAGCTCGCCGGCTGAAGCAGCGCCACCCAAGAAGCCATCCAAAGTGGTACAAGCACTGAGCAAGTTGGGCATCTACACCCGAGCCGTTTCGTTCAAGACGTGGACACAGCCCGAGGCCAGCATGCCGACACACATCTTCTCCCTGGCCGAAAAGAAGTTCATCGAACATCGCGAGAAGCACGCCCAAGCGCTCTTTGACCACAACAGAGACTACCTTCTGCGGGCTTACCCTTCTGGCCTCCGCATCACGTCATCAAACATGATGCCCACTGTGTTCTGGGGATCAGGAGCCCAAGTCGTCGCTTTGAACTGGCAGCAAACGGATGAGGGCATGATGCTCAACGAGGGCATGTTTGCTGGGACGTGCGGATACGTGCTCAAGCCCGAAGGTAAACCACATCAACCCCCCCTTTTTCTATCCTCCCCAGCTCTGCTAACACCCACACAAGGCTACCGTCCCAACTTAAAGTCCAAACCCACCCTTAACAAAATCACATACAAGACGCTAAATCTATCACTCACCTTCCTCGCCGCCCAGTCCATCCCCCTCCCCCACGGCGACAAATCCGACAAGAAATTCCACCCCTACGTCAAGACGGAGCTGCACGTCGATGCGTGTAACGCCCCGGCCCACGGCCGCCCAGGTTCGTCCGAAAGCCTGGACACTGATGTCCGGCACAAGGCTCGCACAAAGACCCACAAGGGGACCGACGTTGATCTCGGCAGGCAGCAAGTCTCGTTCAACGGCATTGACGGGCTAGTCGAGGAGTTGACGTTTGTGCGCTTCACGGTGCGAGATGATGAGCTGGGGAGAGATGATCTTGCGGCTTGGGCGTGCGTACGGCTGGACCGTCTGGGACAGGGGTATAGGTTCATCCATTTGATAGATTCCAAGGGGCACTTGACGAATGGTACGATTCTCGTCAAGGTGGAAAAGACGCTGGTGGAGGAGAAGCCTGATGGGAAAGAAGGTGCATGAATGACGTATCTGCATTGGCGTGGGCGTAGCATGTTTTTTCTTTTCTTTTTCCTCTACGGCGTGGTGCCGGGTTTCATGTCGGGCATTGTCGGGACAATGAATAGCAATTATGATAGCACGCTGATATATTTCTTGTTCAAAGCTCACCGTGTGTCAGGCGGCGATTGATTTATTGCCAAGGAGAACAATGGCGCAACCTGGCTGTTTACTATAGTCGGCTTGGAATCGCTCCGAATCAGCAAAGTTGCCGTGCGTGCGAGCATGCGTGTCGATGGAAGGCTGACTCGGAATACGGCTGTTCATGTAGCACCGGGCGTCACGTCACGTCACTGCAGGCCCGCCAGACGGCACAAGTAACAAGTGTCAATTTAGAGCCGTAGCATTGAGTCACCAATCTCCGAAAAAAAAAAACCATTGAACAAATTCCACAAGTCTCTCATTCTCGAGACGGAAAAAAGAAATCATCAATTGATTCTCAGTCGCTGCATAATCACCAAAGTTCCACCTTGACCCCAGAGTCCCTTCTTATAAAATGGCCTAGTAGTCGTCGTCACGACCCTGGTTGGAACGGCCCTTGTTGCCGCCGCCAAGGACATCACTGGCCTTCTCGAGGAACTGGCCGACCTTGCTGCCGGAGCTGCTGCTGTTGTCACGGCCGCTGGAGCCGTAGCTGTCGGTGTTGTCGCTGGAGCCATAGGACGACGACTTGTTGCCGGAGCCGTAGCTGTCATTGCCGGAGGAGCCGTAGCTGTCGCTGCCTCCGGTACGGCCAGACGAGCCGTAGCTGTCGTTTCCGGAGGAGCCGTAGGACGAAGACTTGTTGCCAGAGGAGCCGTACGAGTCACTGCCTCCAGTGCGGCCAGAGGAGCCATAGCTGTCATCGTTATCACGGCCACTGCGGCCGGACGAACCGTAGCTATCGTTTCCAGAGGAGCCATATGAGTCGCTACCTCCAGTACGGCCAGAAGAGCCATAGCTGTCATTTCCAGAGGAACCGTAAGACGAAGACTTATTGCCGGAGGAACCATACGAGTCACTGCCTCCGGTACGTCCAGACGAGCCGTAGCTGTCATTGCCGGATGAGCCAAAGCTGTTGTCGTTGTCACGGCCGCTGCTGCCGGATGAGCCATAGCTGTTATCATTGTCGCGACCACTGCGGCCAGATGAACCATAGCTATCGTTTCCAGATGAGCCATAGCTATTGTCATTGTCACGGCCACTGCGGCCAGAGGAGCCATAGCTATCGGTGTTGCCGCTAGAGCCGTAGCTGTCATTGTCACGGCGGTTAGACGAGCCCTATGGATGACTTGTTAGCAATGACTGCAGAGCTTGCGTTCGACTGCGAGGGGGTGTTCTTTTTTATTGTTCTCTTGACTTACGTAGCTGTCGTTGTTGCCGCCGTAGCTGGACTGAGAGAATTTCCCATGTTAGTATGACCGAGTGAAGCGGGGTACCTTTGAGGTAAAGGCCAGAGTGAGCCCTTTTCACGAGAGCCGGAGATGGGAACTTACATTGTCGTTGTCGCGGTAAGACATGATGAAAGTGACGTATAAGTTGTTTGTATGTGTAGGTTAGCTACGAATTGTGGGGTATACAGTTGGTGAGGAGCGAGGGTTTTCAGGATGGTCATAAAGAGCGAGCTGCTGGGTATTAGACTTTATATACGGGGACATGTGAGAGAGACACCCACGTCTTGCATCATATCCGCCTCTTCTCACTCATCCACATCTCCAGGCATGCAATGTGAATGCAAGCTAGCTCGAGTCCGATCTCGAGCTCCTGGATCGACGAATGCGCAACTCTCCACGGCCCCATGTTGCTACGCCACACCCACAGATCCCCTCCCTCGGGACCCTTTCGGGCTCACAGCCACCATGGGCACCGAAACAAGTAACCATGGCCTGGTTCAGCTGAATGGTGCTTCAGCTTGTCCACGGCAAAGCCGTAGTCATGGACCAGTCCCACAAATGAGCAGACCCCCGCCTGCAGCCAGGAGCTTTGGAAATCGAAGCCGGCATAGCTATCCGTGTATTTAGTGACTTGGCGGTACCTTTCACCCCAAGGAGATTAGAGGCATGTTTATGGTACTTCTTACTTCATATCAGGGACAGCCTCTACGATTTTGGGTATTTGAACCCAAATTTTCTCCGTGGCAGGGCCTGCCATGCCACGAAATGTACTCCTATCGTCGTTTCTTCATGCAAGATTCATTATGGCATGTCGCCTCGGAAGTCCGTAGAACTCGTGCAGTAAAGAAAAAAGGATGTCAGGCTTGTGATGGCGGGCAGATCAGCGGCTAGAACTTGGATGAGGGGGTTTGGGAAGACGCCATGGCTCGTCATCACGACAGAGAAAGATGTTCCATGTGCTAATTACTCCCTGCTCCTTATCCGAAGCTGTGGAAAAGAGGAAGGAGCTACCCTGCCTTGGCGGGGTAACCATTGGTTGGTTCGTAGGTGGGGAGTTTCGGAAGGAACCAGTTTGTTGAACTCAGAAAAGGCCTCCAAATACGTATCTCTCATCGGCCAACCATCAAGCAACAATCAACCAAGGACATGTCGACACCATCATGCCCCTTACCACGTCATCCCCCGTGTTTCCGGAAATCCGGGACTCTGGAAGCTGGCCGAGGCCAAATATCCCAGATTGCGGCGACAATTGGAGCATGCTACACAGGAAGTTTGTGGCGGTACACTGGTGCCACCGATGAATATACCAAGCAGCATCAGCAACCAACAAACGTGGCATGTTGCAGGACAAAACTACTGCGCCTTGACAAGGTCCAGTGTGGAATGCCTCACAGGCGCCTATGCATGGTCCGTTTTACTGCATGAACGGCTCCTGTTGATGGCGATACATGGCACTCTAGTACCAATGGGACACAAATGCTAACTTGCCAAGTACATACATATTACCTTGGTACCTGCTCACCAAGCGCGAACCCCCTCTGTGGTCCACTTGATTGGCGTCGCTGGGCCCCTTCGCCGGCTAAACCGGGAGTATGTCCTTTACTTATTGGTCTGTTTTTGATAGCGAGGGGTCCAAAACAAGCCGCAGAAAGAAAAAGGAAATCTGTGGTTGGAATGAAATGATGTAGCTTTGCCAAAAGTCAGAGGAGGGGTTTGAGGGGTGTCCTCCCCGCTTCTAGCTTCAAGTTGCAGGGAAGAGACGAGACGAGAGGATGCAAATAACCCGCTGCTGCCGCTGTTACACTTCCAGGAGCTCTCGTGAACCTGGATCAAGTGGTCAGGCGTGTAACAATGAGCACGTACGTATAGACAAGCGAGCGGGGCATGACTCGAGATCAAGCTGGGCAGCTGGGACACGAAGCATCAACCACCAACCATCAAGGTACAGCGTCTTCAGCGATTCAACGCCGTGCTTGCCAATATCTTATCATGGTGTGGTGGGTGGAAGCTTGACGCCAATATCGATGGATGCCGTGTCAGCACAACGAGGCCGCGATGATGATGTAACACGTCCACTGGCACTACTTGTCGCAAACTCAACGCGCGCCATGGAAATTGAGCGTGGTGCGACAGCCTAGATCGGAAATTGCCGGCGAATTCGGCCATGACGATTTCAGGTGCGAGGGTGGATGTCGTGATACATCTCTCGGACACACATGCTGAGCTTGCTGGGCAAAGACTAGCCACCCTGAAGTCGTGCAGTTTTGACATGAACACATCAAAAAACACCAGTACCCGCAAATATACAACGACTTCTGCATTTCTGCTTGAATTATCGACCATATTTAGTTGGGGGAGGGGGCAATGATGCGCCTGAATAGCGAGAAAAAGTGCGAGGCGGGCAATTCCAATCCGTGGAGATGGTGACCGACACCAAGCTGAAGCCGCACGACGCAACCTAATCCCTTTATGAGAAACCGCATTGAAAAAGTATTTGCTGACCAAGCCCCTTGTACAGTGAATTTTTGGAGTATTTTTCTGCATATTGAAGTAGGAAAGATTCCCCAGAATGCTCTCGCTATTGGACTTTTTCGGTAACCGACGGGTCACTATCGTGCATGAAGGCAGCTTTTCGCGACCACTGCGAGCTTGCGTCAATTGATGGCAAAACAAAATAAAAGAAGGGTTGGTGATGATAGGTTTATCTTCGACAAGTATGTCGTGGTAATTCCAAGCTCATGGCCGGCGAAGTCTGTTTGCCAGCTGGCGAAGCTGTCAGCTGGCAATAATGCGATGGCTGTTTAAACATATCCCTTTAACGCCTGTTTCTCTTCACGCTTCCATCTTCTCGGGGCACCCTGCTCAATAAACCAGCAATGCAAAATCAAGCCAACCGAGGACTTCAAAGAGAGGCTATCAGTGCCCCTGGCGCAAAGAAGATGGCAATGTCCCCTCCATGGTCGCCTGACCAGGATGAAGTCGGCCGGTCGTGGAAGGAGTCTGTCAAGTGTCGTGACCACTACTTTTCCGGTAACCTGGATGATGTTGATGGTAGTTTGACGGTCTCTAGGCGGCCCATGATGGATGCTTATTGCCTCTTCTTTCTTGGAATCGGAGGGCGAAACACGGTACAGGAATTGCGCAAGGCCGCAGAGAAGCGCACCGGCGACATGTATATCCGCCGCGGATTTAATGCCGTATATCATGAGGAGTTTGAGTTTTTCGTGGACAAACTCACTTGGGAAAAATATTGTCAGTACTATTTGTACTTTGAAAGAGCGTCATGCGCTTTCTTGACGCGGCTAACTTTGAACTTGTAGTTGGACGTTGGGGTGAAACAAGAAAGGTTCGGTGGCCGTGGCCAACGACTGTGAACAGTCTGAAAGCTGGAGGACTCTCACTCACTTACGACCGACTGCTAGAGGCCAGCCGACAAGACAACCCGAGTGTATCATTGTCAACACCTATGGAACAAAGCATAGCTTCGGAGAAGGCCAATACCCCCCAAATTGAGACTCAACCCAAAAGGCATCGTCTTTCATCCCGTAAAAGACACAGGGTTCCAACTTCGTCGGAAGAAGCCGGTAGCAGCAACACAGGCAGTGGACAGATTGCTCCAGCTGATGATCTTCTCGCGCAAGTATCATACCAAAAGCTCGAAGAGAGTCTCGCCAGTATAAATGCTCGACTACTTCAAATCGAGGCATACCCCAAAGACAGCAGACCGTCTTCATCCAGACATACGATTCCATCTGCCCCTGAGGATGTACGAAGAATCATGTGTGATGAAGGTTATCCCGAGCTTATAGAGTACCTTGTTGAGGTCGAGAAGCGACGAAAGAAACCGGCAAAGTAGAACAAGTCTCGCCCTATCCCCCAAAACCTGAGCAAAGAAGACATTTTTTTTATGACCTGGATAGTTTGGAGTCGAAGAATCAAGGAGAAGAGTCCAGTTCAAACGAACGCGGAGGGGCTGATACGAGACGATGGTGTTTCAAGTATCGTCATTTCATTCTACGAGACGTTCGATTCGTCAGATTACTTGATTGATTTCAAGCTCTGACGATCTATTTGGTCCGTCGACCGAATATTCTCACAACCACCGGATTTGAGTGGTTTTCTTTATCACAGAAAGCATACAGGAGGATGCAGGCCTTTCAATACATCAACACACACACATACACAAAAAGAAAAAAACAAAGCCCTTTAGAAGGCCATCGACACCATACCACTTATGCTCACATTCACAATCTTGGCCTTTGCGAACTTCTACTGTTAACAGCCGATAAAACAGTTGCATACGAGCGATCACGGTAGCATTGTGAAGTTTATTTGGACAAAAAGCTCTAGGGTAAATGGAAAAGGAGGTGAGATAAAGAATGGATACCGTTAAAAGATAGATCAGTCAGACGGCACTTTATATTGTAGGAACTTACCATTTACTTGTACGGATTCAACTAGACAGATAAACATCCCAGGACGCATTCTACTCATGCCGAAAAAAAAAAGTGACCATCCCCCTTCAGGCTAGAAGTGATTCCAAAGAAAACAAAGGCCTGCCAGATGTTAGCCTGACCAGCATCAACACATCTCAAGATGGTACCTGCGAACGTATCCTCGAGTAGTCATCAAGCTTGGCCACGAAACCATGCCCCGCTACAACTGACTGCGACATCTGACGCCGCGCATGTCAGATTCTCTACTACGGCTGGGGATGGGGAGAAAACAAACAACGTAGAATAACCCGCAGTGTTTCATAACGCAACGTGCGACTCGCCCATTCGCAGCAATACGTTTCGACAGAGGTATCTACCCAACAGCAGTTTGCCACAAAGCACATCATCTAGAACAGTTCCATAAGCACCGTTCACCAGCCCAGAATCTAACCATCTGTACATGAGAAACCGAGCCCTGATTGGGAACCAGCAGAGGAATATTGACGCCGTGCTACCTAACGACCGCATGAGACACGCTAAAACTAGGATCAATATTCACGCTACTTTCGGAAGAACTTAAGGAGAGTAAACTTGCTACTCATCCGAGTATACAACAATTAATAAGTGTCGTTACATACATGATCCTAGTAGTGGTGCGTTGTGCGTCCACCAAGTGATGTACGCAGAGTGAGGGTTGTCACGAAAGATCCCATTAGCTCCAGCATTAGCCTATACAATACACAATTTGGCTGCTTTGCCGATATCCTCCACAACGTGACTGGTATTCTGACACGGTCTATGGGGAGAGTGTAAGGCCTGCATAGGCTTCGCAGGGACAGCTATTTGACGTCAACGCTGCACGTGGCCTACAATACATGAAATCAGGCCTGATTTAATCCTGTAATATACGTAAATTCTTTCCAATACCATCTACAACCGACTCGTCGTGTCCTTGCCCAACGCACCGCTCATCAAGGGCGGTTCAGGAGCGCCCCCAAACAACACCAACTCCCTGCCTCCCTTTGTCCCCCACCACGCCACCCCAATCGTTGATCTCTCCACGTCCATTTCTCCGTTCACGAGCACATCCCAGAATCTCTTCTTAACCGGCAGTCTCAGCCGAGGATCCTCAATCTCGTTCATGGCCTGGGCAGTTATTGCCAACCACTCCTCTACCAGTGGCAGAGGCAGGAACGGCAAAGAATCCACAAGCGTCATAACAAGGGCGCTTTGCTCTGAAAGCGGCTCCTCCCTGGTCTCCTCGAGTGCGCGTGACACAGCGTCCGGGGAGGCGGGTAGCAGCGTCGTGCTGGCGGTCTTGGTGTTTGTACGGAGCATATCCAACAGCGTTTCCGACATGTGTGGTTCCATGGCAGCGATGGGGAAAGGCGGGGAGACGATTTCCATGACGGTCTTGAAGGCTACTCTAAACTGACGGGGCGATATATGCTGAGGGAAGGAGTCGAAGACTTTGACAATGTAAAAAGGCGTAATCTTGATGGTGAGTGCGCTATGTTGGGGACACGAGAGGACGGACAGAATAGCGCTGTGGGCGGATTCGAAGATTTCCGTCTTGGATGCAGACATGGGCCCTTCTTGGGAGAGGTATGCGATTGCGGGCTTGACGATGAGCAGCTCGCATGCCTCGGTGGGGAGGGAGAGAGGCAGGTGTTCTGCCACGTTGAGATAGAATAAATCGAGATTCATTTGAAGGTTCGCCGAGGGATTGAGAATTGCGTCGGCAGGTCGAATCTCTCGAAGAAATGCCTCGGTAGCTAGGCCATCTCGGCTCAGCACGTCGATAGAAGTCATATATGAGAATGTGTATACTTGGAACGAGCTATTTCCATTGCGGCTGGAGATGAAGAAGAGGTTCCGCAAGATTTGCAACGACCTGGAGGCGATGCTGGCAGCCAAGCCGGGCACCAACATGTGCGGATCCAGCAAACTGCGAGCAACAATGGCCTGCAGAACAGCCGTCGTGCCGAACATGAGCTTCCTGAAGACTTGCCATAGCAATGGCCAGGTGGTTTGCGCCGTCTCAGGACTCAAATAAGAGCTTTCAAAGGAGGCATCAATCTCGCTAAGGCGATTCTTTTGCCATGCATCGAAAACTCTGGTGGTGAAGACCAACAGCGCATCATGCGCCTGCATCACCACGGTTGTGTCGGTTGCATGCTGCACAGCAAAGGCTGCCAGCTTGGAGAGCGGGCCCATGTTCGCCATTAAAGGTTGCTTCTCCATCTGTCGCAACAGCTGGCATGAAGAGGATCGTTCGGGCCAGGAGAAGACGTGGCCGGGCTGCAATGTGGTGTCTTGACTCACTGTTCTGAGAAACTGCGCATCGCAAAAGCCTTCCTCTCCAGTAATGGCCCAAACAGCGATCGGCAGCAACGCATCACAGTTGATCTGAGCTCGGTGAAACTCAGATAATATAGGAAACGCAAAGTTCAGCGCCGTGACAACGGACACGGCAGCCGCAGGGCCATCTTGGACATTTTCCTCTAGAGCGAGATTGGCCGCCATAACAATGGCCTGCTCCAATGTGTTGCGCAATGCTCTCGACAAAGAGTGTCGATCATATCCCTCCATGCCCATAAGGACGCCAGTCAAGACAAGCAGGTGCTGCCATCGCCTTGACCTCTCATCGGCCCCCTTGACTACGGCTCGCGTCCATTCGTCGCATCGGAGACCTCCACCGTCAGAACGGCCTTCTGGTTTGGAGCCCTCGAGTTGGTTATCGCGTACACGAACAGCCGCGGTGTGATAGACGCTGATTATTCGTATTGCGGTTTTCGCTCCGTCGTTTCGGTGCCAGATGGCTGGGGCTGTGAGAAGCTGGGAGGTAAGGACCCCGAGGTTGAGCGGGTTGGAGAGCTGGGTGAGCAGATGGGTGGTGCTGCCAATGATTTGGTCCGTCTTGGCAGCATCGTGGACGTCCTGGTAATACTGCAGGACGGTATTGAGGAGTCTATCGGCCGGCATAATGACGCAGTGGGTTGGGACTTGCCACCGCAACTCGAATCCAATGGATGGCCTGAGGGATGTGCAGAGGAGAGAGGTTGCAGATGGACGCGGCGGCCGCAGCCGAGTGGTGACAGTTGACGAGCTTTTGCCGAGGCTGAAATGACGTCCATGTCTGGGGCCGCACCTCAGGCCCGCAGTTCAAGCTCAGGAGTCAGGACCCCCTTGTTTACCCGTTCAAGCTTCATCGACGACGACTTCGCGACATCCCTTTGTCGAAACCGGGCATTCCAACCGCAATGGCCGTCTTCCAACGGCGGTAGCCGCATCGTTGTCCTCGGCAGTGTGCGCCTCGGCCTTGCGGCTGTCAACATGTCTTTTCTGGGAAACCCGCCGCCCAACTACCACACGCCGCCCTTTCCGTCCCTCAACGTCAACACGCTCCAAGACCGCACACCCAATCGCACCTACACGCTCTATCGTATTACAGATGTCTGGAAGTTTACCGTACTCTGGACTTTGATCACCTATATATTTTTCCACCTCGGGGCGGTGCTAGTGGCCGTGTTTAGTCATGGGCTCAACAAAGGGTCGTGGCGGTTTCTCTGGGCTGTTCCCATCATATACCTATTGATAGCAGGCATTGAGGCTATTATAGCTGGGAGCATTGTCGGTCTTGTGTAAGCTCCATGTCCAAGCTCAAACAAGCATTTGTTAACAGGCTGTAGGCTCGGAGCGGTATATAAAGCCGGATACTACGAAATGAATACCTGGATCCCGTGTACATGGGGATTTATCAACGTTCTCGTATTGATAATATCATCATTTTCGGTACAAGGCGGACTTTGAAGAAGGAAAAAAAGAAGAATGCAACCCATGGCATAGTATTCGACGCGCCAAAATGCGTTATCCGAACCGATGCAGCGGCAAATATGCATTATCACGCTCCGCTCTATGAGTCCGTACCGCTGGAGCCGAGACAGCTCAGAACAAAGTTGTGCAGCGCAACACTACACTCTGCACAATCTGTTCGTAAATGGAACTTGGACTACAAACATTGCGGCTGAGTGGCACTCAATGGCTCCTGCGCAGGACAGTCTCATTTGGGAACTTGCCCCGAAGCCTTGGTCGCCGTAAACTCGAGAAGAGAACGAAGAAAGAGATACGGGCTCACGTTCATCCAAAGGTACCAGACCTTGAAGGGCAGAATGAACTGCGCACGCAGAGTAACTTAGACAATCCCTTCTGGCCCTTCCAAGATGCCACCGTGGCACGGGGGGTCTGCACTGCGCTGTTTGGGTGCCTCACGCCCGTTTGGATTCCCGAGTAGTCACCTGTAACTTTGAGATTCAAGCTCAAAAGGGAGTGAAGTTGTTGGGACAAGGAAGTACATGCACAGCCAAGTTGCAAGCTACTGACGTGCATCTGTCCTGGCAAACACGTTGTAACTACCACCAACTGTAACTAGCAGACCACCACAGCACACAGAGTAAAGTCGCATGCACACGCCTAAGATTTTGGTGTTTAACCCAATTGCTCAACGATAAAGTAATCCCAAAAAAAAAGTGATATTCTAAATTCTCCTGTCATTGAATCTCATCCCCCAAGTCGGGCGCAACTAACTATGTTAAGCAACAACATTCGAACATTCAAGTCAAGCAGCCCGCCCCACAACCCGAAGCCCCTAGCGCCCAGTCAGGCGAAACTCAGACACCCGCGTCCAATGTCCGTCCAACATGCGCCTCCAAGCCGCATAAACTATTGTATTGTTTCTTGCAGACAATCCCATCCTTCACAAGCATCCCTATCACCCCAACTCCGAAAAATCAATCATCCATCCCTTTATAAACGCAAACTCTACCCCTCCAAAAAAGATAAAAGAACAGAAAACTCGCCTCTCCCACTCCAACCTCTCTGCAAAAAACACCATGGCGATATAAAAACCACACGTAAACCCGCCCATCACCAAACCCAAACAAAAAAATGTCCACCCAATGGAGCAAAACGCTCAGCTTCGAGGACCGCCACACCCTCTCGGCCCCCTCGCCCTCATCAACCCCCGATGAGCCAGCAACTCACACATGGAGCCGGCCGCCCCTCAAGAACCTCACCCCCGGCCAGCCCATGTCCCTCGCGGGCATATCCCTCCGCGCCTTCGCCCTCGGCCTCACCGCCTCCCTCGGCCTCGTGTCCACGGCGCTCGTCCTGGCGCTCACGTCCTCGCCGCTCTGGCGCGTGCCCCTGTTCCTCTGCGCCCTGTCCACCTTCCACTTCCTCGAGTTCTGGACCACCGCCGCCGCCAACACCCCCGAGGCCACGGTCCACGCCTTCCTCCTGACGGCCAACTGGCCCGCGTACCCCGTCGCCCACGCCGTCGCCTGCGCAGAGTGCGTGCTGACCGAGGTGGTGTTTCCGGGCCGGAGATGGGCGCCGCCCGGGCTGGGCACGGCCCTGACGCTCGTGGGCCTCGTCATGGTCGTGGGCGGCCAGGTGGTCAGGAGCGTGGCCATGCTGACGGCCGGGCAGAGCTTCAACCACACGGTGCAGACGAGGAAGGCGGACTCGCACACGCTCGTCACCACGGGCGTGTACGGGCTCTGGAGGCATCCCAGTTACTTTGGTTTCTTTTACTGGGGGCTGGGCACGCAGCTGGTCCTGGGCAACGTGTTTTGCTTCGTGGCGTATGCCTATGTCCTGTGGAAGTTTTTCAGCAGTAGGGTGAGGGTGGAGGAGAAAGGACTGGTCAAGTTTTTTGGCGATGATTATGTACAGTATAGAAGGAGGGTTGGAACTATGATTCCGTTTGTCGGCTAGTGTTTGCCGTGTGTGTCTATTTTTCATGAAATTTTGTTTCAGTTAACGACTGGTCTTGGAGTAGATTTGAGATTTGGCTACGATGGTTTGAACTGGAGGAAAGACTGAGACTGGGCCAAGGCCAAAGACTGCGTTACATGAGAGGCACAACGTGTAGAATATCGTGTATAATATTTATCCAAAGATGGTCACTATCCAAGCCGTAATGCAGTCCAAGTTTTCCAACCTCATGTCTGCAATGCAAGCATCGGTTGTCTACTGACGCTACCATACTTGGCCTGCCATGCGTAAAAGTACATCAATGCCGCAAATGGCTGACCGAAAATGGTAAAGGACACCCAAAAGATCACGTTTCCCATTACTTTGCCGGTGTGCCCCCATTTCATCTTCTCTAGAGGGGCTGTGATGGCGATGAGAGGGAGCTGCAAGAACATGCCTAGAAAAGCAACGCCTGAATATAGGTTAGGAACGAGGGTCAAGAGGATGGATAAGACGGAGAATACCGTACCGATAATGTTGTGGGTGGGAACACCAACAAGAACCTCGTGTAGCACGGCAGACACAAAAAAGACGGCGCAACTTGCAGCCCACGGGCTCCATCCACGTCCAATCATGGGTACATATACATGACGCTTAAAGTACGTGTACACGGGCCTGTTCCACGTTCTCCAGTATGCTCCAAGACTCTCGCTATTCCACCAGTCGTCGTAAAATGAACGGTCGCCGAATCGCAGCACTTCGGCCAGTGCGTTTAAGAAGGACTGGAACAGGGCAAAGAATCCTGCGAGCCAAATAACCAGAGAAATGGTTGACAGCTTCAGCAGCCGCTCTAGGATCATGAGGAAGTCCAACGAAGCAATCTTGTCGAGCGAGTTCTGCAGAACCGGTGCGGCGTATTGGAAGCTGGCGAACCAGATGAATGCGCTTAAACAGCATACTTCGCCCAGCCTCTTAAAAACAAAAACCCATCTGATCTTGTTGGTGCGCGGGTACACGGGCTGATAGACCAGCGTCGGCGCCCACCAAAAGTAGGCGAGGTTGCCGAAAGTGATATTATTCGGGTAGGGGCATTTCGAGTAGAGTTCAGGGATATGCTCTCCTTTGACGGGGTGCAGGTAAGCATGGCGAAGATCTCGGTTGGTGAATGCGTACGAGGCTGTCTTCAGCGACACAATGACGGCATGCATCTCGGTCAAGGTCCCAACGAGCGGGTGGTGGATGTAGAAGTAAACCACAAAGGTTGTGAGGGTCAAAGCAAGCGTCATATTGATACCATGAGCCCAGGCCACCAGTACCCATGTTGAATGAAACTTGGACTTGTCTTGCTCCGACGGTCCGGTAGAGCCAGGTTTGAGGCGCTTACGGGATCCTCGCGCCTGCTTTGCGGCGGCTAATTCGATCAAGTAGGCGACTAATAGATGGCAGGGAATGAGAAAGTAGAGAAGTCCGCCGATCAGGACATCTTCATTCTTGTAGGAATGACATCGAAGGCATATCAAAACACCATACTGAGAGGGCGGTTAGGAATGAGCACACACGACACGCATGACTAGGGGTGCGGTGCATTGTAGCATGCCTTTTTCAAATTTTCAATCATCAATCGTAAATTACCCACAACTACATCGAGGTCAGTAAGCGGCAGCAGTTGTTTGCAGTGAATCGGGATTGCTTGCGTACCCAAGACAATGACCATGAGATTTCGAAACCCGATAAAGCTTGGCGTGGCATCGGAGTCGTGGCTTAAACACGAAGGGCGGCTCTTGGAATGCACTGCTGCTACGTGACGATACTTCTTCTGGGCGACGGCGGCTCTGGGCTTCTCGGCTGCAGTTGCGTCTTCGGATTCCCCTTCGACCGGGCCGGGAGATGCATTGCGGTTGCGACGCCTGGTGGCATTTCCCTTGCTCACGGTGCCATTCGCCGGGCTGACACTGGTGGTGGTGGCCGTGCTCATCGTGGAGCTATGCTGGTGATGCCAGTCGGCAGATAAGGGCTGCGAGAGGGCAGACGACCAACAACTGTGGCAGCCGCGAAGAGCGAAGCTAAAGCTCACAATAGCAGGATAAGGGAAGAAGGAAAAGAAGGGATGAGGATGATGGCGGGATGACGAGCACGTCAATTGGAAGCTCAAGCTTAAATGGAGGGGCAGACAGAGTCGCGGTCTCCAGATATAGAATGGAGCTTGTTCTTGGTTGGAGCTCCCCTGTTCTGCCCGCCTCCTCTTGTCTCTCTCGTTTCTCGTCTCTCGGCGCGCAATGCCTGCACCCAAGACTCTGCGGCGTTGCCGGCCGACCAACCAGGGACAATCCAGACCACCGAGCAAAAGCCTTCAACTCCCACAAGCCGGTATTTTTTAGTGCAGGGCAAATCCAACCGGCGTGTCTCTTGGCCATGGCATCGAATCAGCCGCTGTCCCTTCAGCCACAAACCGCCTCGTCCAGAGGAGGAGGTTGAGGGAAAACAGGCGCGACGATCCCATCAGGGCCGGATAGCGCCCCAACAACCAATCTACCGAATTGAAGCTATCGAGGCCATCACTTCACCTACAAGCTCTGGTCGCGATTGCCATGATGCCAAGGTCATGTACATGGATGCCCGGCTCCGGCGTCACGATTCGTCAACCACCTCAAGGTGGCGACCAGCACGGCAGACAGCGGGGGCTTGGCGGGTCGTTTCTAGTCCTTCTCGGTCCTCAGCTGTCAATCGTGGCGTTAGATTGCCATCGTCGTCGACGGTTCGCTGCGGCTCGCGAACAGGGTCTGGCCAAGACAGGAGCAGGGGTCAGCTCATGAAGACCTGGCGAAAGCATGTGAAAGCCCATTTCGACTGCTCTGCTTGCATGCTCATCAATTGAAATGGGGCCGTATTTATTATGGCGAGGTCCAAGCCAGAGAAAATGTCATGATCTACTAGCCTGGCTTCGAAAAATTCCTGAACCGCGGACCCTGGCAACCTTGGTCCAAATTTTTCTGGAAGCTCGGCCGAGGGTGACAGACAACTCAGCTTTGGACTTTTGCCACCTCTTCCGGGTCTGTTGCCACCGCTGCTTGCGTCTCTTTCATCAAGGCCTTTCACATGCCGCGTTTCCTCTGCCATCGCTGAGTCGTGATGTATTTCAAATTGACACGACCTTGGTACTTGACAGGAAGGCAGCTGGTCAATTGCCTTTCATTCCGTACTTCCGTGGCCAAACAACCCCAACCCACCACTTTCGCTTGAGGACGCCAGGAACCATCACATGACCGGCTCGACCTCGCAGGAACAATGAGACAAACAGCAAGGTTAAAGTTTGAGCGGATGCGGGCATTGAACCAGTGGCGCCCAATGCCATGTGAGCCGTACACACGTATGTAGTACAGTAATACAGTCACAGACGAAAAGAGCTTGACCCGACAAGAGACCGAGCTACCTGGCAGAACCGCATTATCATGTACACTATAGAGTGTTATTCTATGCACAATAGGCAATCGATATACCTTGCCAGAGACGATTCTTGTTTCATTCTATACAAAGTTGCGATTTTTAGAGACAAAAAGTCGCATAAGCCCAACATGACTGGAGGTGTATTATGCCAAGATCTCTCCCCTCGTCGAGGAGCCAAGGCTGGTTACTAAGCATGTGGAATTGCATTGTTGCCGTTGTGGGAGCCGGCGCTCCAGATTAAGCAGCTACCCGATGATATCTTCTTATGCCCAAGTTACCGTGAAGATCCGTGCTTTCTCCCAGCTATCCGTATCGATATTCCTAGACTTGTTCCTACGGCTCCAGCGGTCGTCACGCCTCACATCGTCATGCCCCCCGCTCCCCTCTCCCAGACGAAGCAGAAGATGCTTCGCGGGGAGATGTACCACGCCTTCATCCCAGAACTCGTGGCAGACCGTGGCAGAGCTAAGGCAGCCATGAGGCGCTACAACGCTGCCGTAGGAGAGGTATCGCGGCGAGAGGAAGTTCGCCTCTGGAGAGAGTAAGTCCCTTGTGGATGGTGTGTAGTCTGAATATCGGCGACTCAATTGGTACACAGACAGACCCTTTACTTACTGGCCTTGAATTCAGAGTAGTAGGCGACACCACACCTCTACCCCCAGAGCTACCTGATGCTGCAGAAGACGAGGCACAATTTGAAGATGACCCAATAGTAGACGTCCCTGTGTTGGTGGACTATGGCACACAGGTCAAGCTGGGCAAAGGAGTCTTTATCAACTGCAACTCGACCTGGATTGATACCTGCCCCATCACCGTCGGTGACCGCACCATGTTCGGCCCCAACGTCTCATTGTATAGTGGCAAACATCCGCTCGAGCCAGAGATCCGCAACGGCATCAAGGGTCCAGAATCTGGCGCACCAATTACTATTGGAGAGGACTGTTGGATTGGCGGAAGCGCCATCATTTTGCCAGGAGTGACCATTGGTCGAGGTTCGACTGTGGGCGCTGGAAGTGTGGTCACCAAGGTCCGTTTTGCTTGCATGGAGATGTTGGGACGCATCGAAGCTGATATTTTCACAGGACGTGCCACCGTTTCACGTGGTTGCAGGCAATCCTGCACGCATTATACGCAAGATAAAGTCCACATTGGATCCGGAGCAGAACGAGTCGTAGAACGAGTCAAGGTGGGAGACATGAAAGCTCATGTCACAATCGCACACTGTGTGGATATACTGACGAGAAAAAGGTAGCCCAGGTTAACATTGAAAGTTAAGGCTGCTAAACCTCCACGCTTAGCATTTGAAAACCATGAACAAAACTTTGTGCATATAGAAGTAGATGAAATATCGCTTGCATATGCAATTAGAACATGAAAGAATGAGCCTGCATTTTGTTTGACTTTGAGGTCAATACGCGCTATCTTTGAAACAATTCACAGTCTTTGGCGTCACATGACTTGGTGAAAGACCCACGGCAAAATGCCGCTTAAACTGCCTGGGCTTTCCTTGTGGCGCAAAACTAAACTCACGCGCTCAGTCACGTCGCCCAACCACAGGCATCCCACTTGACGACGGACTTCGTCCAGCTGATCCTTGATCACAATAATCAGCAATCTTTCTTTCCGACTCATTCCGTATTGTCTGCCTAAACTTGTTATTGAGCTTTCTCCTGGGACCTGCATGCGTGAATTTGCTGCTCACTAGCCGCAGCAATGGCTTACGAGCCACGCGGTGAACATGGGGGAGGTGGCCAGGATGGCACATCCATGAAGGCAAGAGGTCGAAGTAAGTATTTGCACAGCCTACCCTTTATTGACAATCCTGTTTCGTGCATACGGATATTGGACAGCTTTGTGAGGCGTTCCGGCGTTCGGAGGGTTACTGTTGGGCTCGAGGTCATACGACGTCAAGTGAAGAATTGGGCGCTTCTCAAGATGAGCCTTGGGTATCAACCGTGGACTGGATATATCCCAGTAGGAAGCCTGTATTTGTGATTGGCGATGAATCAATCCTGATTCGTTCCATAATCTTGCTCGCCCAGAGGACGAGCCCCAAATCAACACTCTTGTCGTGAACTCTGGTGATATGCGAAGATATCAACAGTCGTATCCGTCTACACACAATTTTTTGGAGGCGTTATGTGTTGATGGCCCGTGATAAAGCTGACAATTCCTTGAAAGGGCCCGTTACCGATTACAGTTCTACTGTCACGCACTGGCTGCGGAATAGAGTCCCCAACTACAAGGGCTCGTACAATGGCGAGGCGGAACGGCCAAGCGCAAGCTATATCGTCGACGTAAGGGACATTAGGTTCAAATTTATAGCCCATTCAATCTTTTGCTGACTGTTTTTCTCAAGATGCTGCCACCTGCTGCGCGACCAACAAATGCCGCAGACACAATTCCAATCAAACATCTTCATTCTTCACTAAACAAAATCAAGCATCCCATTAACGTGGTCCGATGGACCCCAGAGGGCCGCAGGTTATTAACAGCCTCGACAAGCGGCGAATTTACGCTCTGGAACGGTACGGGGTTCAACTTTGAAACGATTATGCAGGCTCACGATTCAGCAATTCGAGCACTGGAGTACTCCCATAGCGACGACTGGCTGATATCTGGTGACCATGACGGACTTATTAAATATTGGCAGCCCAACTTCAACAATGTTCAAAGTATAAATGCACACTCCGATCCAATTCGGGATCTGGCATTCAGCCCGAATGATTCTAAATTCGTCAGCGCCTCTGACGATTCAACACTCAAGATATTCGACTTTGCACTGGGACAGATGGAATCGAAGTTGGAAGGACACGGTTGGGATGCCAAAAGCGTTGATTGGCACCCCACCAAGGGATTGCTGGTGTCAGGATCAAAGGATCATTTGGTTAAGCTGTGGGATCCCAGGACCACTCGTTGTCTCACCACCCTCCACGGCCACAAGAGCACAATCACCAAAGTCATGTTTGAACGCGTGCGGGGAGCTTGCCTGGCAACATCAGCACGGGACCAAACGGCGCGTGTCTTTGACCTCAGGATGATGCGAGACATTTGCCTCCTCAAGGGCCACGAAAAGGACATCTCGACACTGACGTTTCACCCCGTGCATGCCAACCTTCTCACCACGGGAGGCATGGATGGCGCTCTCTTCCACTACCTCCTCGATTCGCCAAATCCTCCTGCAGGTCAGCCCTTAACTGTGGCCCCCTATGACAGCATGGATCCGTCCACCACACCGGCCCAGTCCGTCTGGCCGATGCACAGAGTCCCATTTGCGCACGACTACGCCGTGTGGTCATTAGATTGGCACCCGCTTGGACATATCCTCGCATCTGGTTCCAATGACCGTATCACACGTTTCTGGACCCGAGCCCGCCCAGGGGATGCCGACGTTTCTCAGGACAGATACCACATTGGCGAAGCGGCCGCTGAGGCACAAGGAACCTGGGATCGTCGCGGAAACCGCCGCCAGAGACAGGAAGAAGAACAGCAAGAAATGGAAGATGAGATGGACGCGCTCGTGGACCAAGACGCCACCAAACTCCCTGCGCCGTCTTCCCTCCCAGGCATTCCTGGTCTCCCTCTGGGAGGCGGTTCGGCACTGCCCGGTCTCACAGCCGGCCTGCCACCTCCTCCCCCCATCCCAGGCGTTGGATCAAGCGGCCCTCCACCACCGCCGTTCCCATTACCAGGGCTCAACGGCGCTCCTCCACCACCTCTACCTGGCCTCGACCCAAATCATCCCCCAGACCCGGCACAACTCCTCGAAATGATGAAGAAGGCGGGCGTCCCCCTTCCACCGCCCGGTGCCTTGCCTCCAGGTCTCATCCCACCGATGGGGGCTATCCCCCCGCCAGGAAACTTTCCCTTTCCTGTTCCGCCTCCTCCAATGCACACGGAGGAGAATGACACGAGACGACGGGCGCCGTTACCGAGTCAGGAGGAGAGTTTACGCCAGGAGCAGCGACAGGGGAAGTACACTAGGGCACGATAGACTCGCGACCCAGGTTCGCTTAGCCGTCCACAGGCTGTACATTCGAGCATCTGATAAAAAAGCATGTACCGGCACCTGACATGGGCAAAGTTTTGATGACAAGTATTGCGCGTGGTTAAGGGGTTGTATTCTATGGATCTGTATGTGTAGAGATGTGCCGGGTTCACGGATACCCTTGGCGTTGGGACAATATATCGTTACATTTTAGTCGAATCTGCGATGGCGCTGAGTGCGGCACACATGACATGGCGTCAAATCACACACAAGTTTCAAACGAAGCACGGACAGTGACGAGGGCTCAACGGCTTGATATCTATCTACCAAATGATGATGTACATGATTAAAAATGCCCGCCGCGAAATGGCAAGGGCCGAGCTCAAATAAACGTATGGGAACTGACAAAATGCCACCCTTTCCCCCCCTCCTCCAATGCAAAAAGAGTATCGCTACGGCGGATACCTAGGGTACCCGATGCTGTGACAGGAAAAAGAAATTATGCATGTATGCAAGCAAGCAAGATGAACCGCGCCTTATAAAGAACCCCCTTACCCCCTTTATACATCCCTCCTCTTGCAGATGAATTATCTTGGTGACGTGACGGCTCTGACAGCATGAACCCTGTAAGGAGACAGTATGCACAAGGGCGCCAAAAGAGAGAGAAAAGAAGAAGAAGAAAAATCGTAAGAATCATAAGAATCATGACGAAGGAGAAGGAGGAGGGGAAGGAGGAGGAGAAATAGCACGCTGGCCGCCCTTTCCAAACGCCTTCTGACGGTCGGCGTAATCCCTAATGACCAAAGCGCAGGTGGTTTCGGCGCACAGCCTCTTGCGCCGCGTAACAGGCAGCTTGTTGGCAAACTCGAGGCCCGAGGCGCGCTCGACAGCCTCGATGGGGACCTCAAAGTCGGTGATGGGCTTCTCGTTGGGGATGGCGGCGTTGGGCAGGACAAAGGCGCCAATGGCGACGTTTCCGCCGGCGCGGCCGTCCTCGGCAAAGATGACCTTGTAGAAGTGCGTGGGGACGGCGACGGAGGGCGGCGCCCCAATCATCTCATAGCGGACGTACCACTTGCCGTCGACGGGGTCCCTGCGAGGCAGATACAGCGGGCCGGTGACGATGCGGACGCTGGGGTAGCGGCCGGTGAGGCGGCGGCAAAAGTCCTCAAAGTGCGCCCAGTAGTCGCGGTTGAAGCCGTCGCCGACCTGGGGGCTGATGTTTGTCAGGTAGAAGGTGTCGTTCATGGCCTTTTGGGACCACTTTGCGTCGGCGGCGGGCACCTGGTGGCCGCGGTCGTAGCCGCTGCGGAAGTAGTCCTTGAGGAGGGCGCGGAACTGCACGGGCACCGCCGTGTCCTCGAGGAAGACGCTGTGCTTGCGGTCGCCGTCGCGGCTGCAGAGGGACTCGGGCGTGATGTGCTCGACGACCCAGTGCGGGTTGCGCGTTCGCCGGTCGTAGCTTGATATCAGGGCCGCGCGGCTGGCGATGTCTGAGACGGGGCCGGGGAAGCCGTACTCGAAGAGGCCGGCTGGGTTGACGGGAGCCCCCAGCACGGCCGGGGGCGTGGAATAGACGTGCTGCGAGGGGATGGCGAGGGCTGTTGTGGTGGAGGCAGCGCCGTTTGGTCTGGCGGTTGGAGGTGTCGCGATGGGAAGCTCGGGCTTCTTGTTCTCGGGAGATGTGCGGAGCGCAAAAGCGGCGGCCGTGAGAGCAGCACCGCCTCCAGCTCCGAGAGCAGCAAACATTGCGAGAGTTGATTTGGACATCCTGACGGCGGCAGCGGAAGCGTGTGAGGCTTGGCGTGGCATTTATATATTTGATGGGCGGCGTCGTGTCGAGGACGCAGGGAAAGACAACAGATGAAAGAGTCTGCTGAACTCGAGGTGATCAGGCTGGAGAGCAGAGGAATGAATCGATGCAAAGGCGGCAAGTCATGTGAGAAGTGACGAGAGCGGAGCGCGATTGAGAGAACTTGGGACGAAAAGGCAGCTCACGAGGAAACTAGCTCCAGAGGCATGTGGCTCGGGGCCCGTAGTGCCTGTGTCTTGGGAATCTGTGAATGTTGGCGTGATGGAGCCTAGTATGAGGAAAGTTGACGATGCCCTCTCTCTCTTTTATTTTTTTCCCTTTTCCCCTACTAACAAGTCGGCACATGCAAGACATTCACCGTCCCCTAGCTTTAGCGGCGGGAAGCTTGCCGGGGCTTTACCGCAGGGGCCTCATGCGTGGGTCAGGGGACCTCCAGGGTCTGCAGGGCACCACTCTTGGGAGCCAGCTGGGCCAGTCAGAAGGTGCCGTTGGGCGGGAAAGGTGGTGAGTGGCTGAGGGGCATCGCTTTTCGACGCCGATGCGCAAACCAACATCGATGCTGTGCAACCTCCAAACCAAAGAGCCGCATCCGCGCACGTTCTTCACGCCGCCGAGCTTCATCTACCAGCGCAAGAATCCCACGAAATACTCTCTATCGCTGCTCCGCCTATTCATCGTTACACAAACAAGAGTCCCACCACGGCTCGGTCACGGGATGCTTTTTACCCCAGAGTTGGTGTCACCAGTTCATCGGATGTCGAAACCGTTCCGTTCATAAGAGTACGACGACGGGCCGCATCACCTGCAGCGGCCAGTGAATCAGCTCCCCCCCGACGGTGTCCTGTCCGAGTTCTGCTGGCCGATGCCCTGGGTATTACTCACTTGCTGTTCACCGAGTGACAGATTCATTGCCATCTCGTGGTTTTTTTTGGGGAAGGGAATTTGCCACTGGCATTACGGAGTACGACGACGCATTCACTGACACAAGACAATGCTATTTGTCATATGACACATCATTTTCACATGCTCTGAAAATGTCATTCTTTTGACTACTTTACATTCTGTGTTCGTGTAAAGCTACATGAAGGTAAATACATATTTCGAGTCGGTCCCAAGACCTGGTGTTTCCTCCCGCGAGCGCTGGGGCCGCTTTCTGCCCACAGCCGGATTACAGCCCTACGGCATGAGAGCCGCCACTCTTTTCTCTTTTCGGCTTCGCAGCGCTTCCCAGCAGTGAGAATTGCATTACGCCATGATGGCCGCGACCAAGACGGCGCCGACGAGGGACGCAGCCCCCAACACGGCGTTGGCACGACCGGCACCGGCAGTGGCAGTTGTGGAGGTTGCGCTGGCAGCGCTGCCGGAAGCCGTGCCCGAGGGAGCCCTGGTCGTGGACCTGGTCGAGACAGCAGTAGGAGGGTACGTGGGCGAAGAGACGCCCGACGGGCAGTGCCAGTGGTCGTTGTGAGGCGTACACTCCTTGCCGTCGCCGTGATCATGGTCGTCATGGTCGTGCCCGCCGGTTGAACTGGCCGAGGCACTGCTTTGGGTCTGAGCAGGAGGCGTAGCCGGCTTGGAGACGCCAGATGGACAGTGCCAGTGGTCGTTGTGAGGTGTGCACGTCCCTGCTGCTGACTGCGTGCTGACAACCGCAGCCGTTGATGTAGGCTCGCAGTGCCCTTGGGGGTTTGCTATCAGCATACAGTCCGAACTCGTCAAGAGATGGGACATCGTCCGGTCTGAAAGGTCTCCCGGTACTAGACTTGCTGAAGAGTCGACTTACAGTGATCACCATGAGGGTGGCAGATGGAACCAGTAGGTGAAGGCGGCAACGTCTGAGAGCTCGAAGGCTGGGACTCGGTAGTAGCCTGGGCTACGGCCTGGCCAAGAAGGCACAGTGAGATCAACGCCTTGAACTGCATGTTGGCCGAGTGTGCAAGGTCCCAGTTACAGCAATGGAAAGAAAAAGGGCAGTCTCACAACCAGGGCCAGCAATGCAAAGGGCTACATATATATATGTGTGCGTCTTCTCTTGGCCGCCAATCAACAGCTCCTCCTCACGGGCCAGCATCGGCCCCCAATAGGCAAAATGGAATGCAAGGATACAGCCGTCACATTATTGGCAATCTTGTTGGTCGTGTTGATCAGTTCATCCCGGCTAGTCGACCGAATGCCAAGACATGGCTGAGAACCTCTTTGGGTTACAGACGTCGACTAGTCGGCCTATGAGGCTGTCCTTGTTGCGGTGGTTTGTATGCCGTCGTCTGTTTTCCACTGCGTGCTGTGCGACCAATCCTCGCTGAATTATCTGCATTTTTCTTTTCCATTTCTTTCTTGTAAAGTCTTGCCTACTCGTGGTAAGGCCAGCAATAATAAAAATTTTCCTGGTCACCGAAACCTGCACTACAAAAACATCAACGCCTGTTTCAAGCAGTGTTGGGAACACGACGAGCTGTCAGCCCAAATCAAACTCGAATCTGGTCTGCAAAAGCTCCACAGTCTGATTCGGGATGCATGAGAAACCCCATGGCAGTACAGATAAGGCCGTGAGGGTTCTGTTCTTCCCTCGTGGCAAGATTACAAAATGCATTCAAGCTTATTTCTATCCGAAACACGAGTGGCATGTCCCCCCTTGTTTGGAGATCATTTCGTCTGATGCCAGGTAGATTTGTGGCGGGCGTACAATACGAAGAGAAGGTTAAGCATGTTTTTCGTTTAAATTAAGCTTACATACCTTGATGGACAGGTTGTGGTTTTATTCGTGCGGATGGGGAAGACGTTTGTTTTCAGCTTGAGTGGTTTGTGTGATGCGAGAACCTTGATGTCTTCAGCTGATGGGTCAAAGGTTCCGCCAAGACTTGATTTTGGATGCGTTGTTTTTGGACGGAATTGGCTTGGACCGCATGAACCGGATTATGTGAATTGCTATTGGAGCAATGCAGCATGCCACCAGAGGAGTAGGGGGGTTGCATGGACGCAGTCCGCCGGTGAGATATAACTACGTATCGCCACTTGCATCAATAGTATGTTGTTGCAGCGTCCCATCCAACGTAATACATTGCCATATTAATGCGATGTATCCCCGCGGCTGGATGAGGAGCATGCGCCGTTGAGTGGTGGCTTCTATTTATGAGGAAGGTCATTCATGGCAGTCTAGCTCACCAATTATTGCACCCTCTTTTCCGTCGTTTTGGCATCACGGGCTACTTACCATAAAGGCTTGCAATGCTGGGAAAACCATCCTCATTGTCCGGAAACATCGACACAGGGTGCTTGGCGGCTTCAATTTTCACCTACACTCACGCCGCTGATTGCTGATCCAAGCACACACCGACTTCCCGTCATCCATGATGCTGGGCAGAAACGCACAAGGGGTGCCGCAATAGTTGGTTATTGTTCAAGTTGGGATGAGAGTCGAATTCAACTCGAGGCATACGATCCCCTCTCATATCCATCAAACTCTGGCCGACGGTTTATGGTGCGACTCAAAGTTCCGTGCTTGGTCGATGAACACGAGAGTTACGACAACTTACGAGTACGTTCTGATTGCGAATTCCATCTCACAAGAATTCGTGTGTATGTGCCTCACGTACTCGGAGGATGGCAAACACGCACAAATGCTCTAGCCCAAATTTCATTGTCCTTGGGCGCCAGGACATCAATGACTGCGGCTTCGCCCACATCTGCCTACGTAGCGGTTGCATTCAGTCGAGTCCTCAACTCACTCGCCTTTCTCCAGAACAGTGCCTCCCTATGCCTCCTTGAGCCATGGAAGGAATTCAAAGTTGGGTTTTCGGAGCGAGGAAGACCGATGCGATATATTCCCTCAGGATTTGATTCACAAGTAAGTCGCGGCTTACACCTAATACCCACAAATCTGCAAATCCCATGGTTAGCTTGAATTCATCTGTAGCCGTACTGGCCAAACTGAAGCTACAAAGACAAGCGAGTGGCCAGATCAACCCGGAAAATGTCTTCCGCCATGGGGCCCTTCAACCACGCACCAATTATTCCTGGTTGGTTTCGAGGTCTGGCTGAGGAGCCAACGAGAACATGTGATGACTTGGCAAGTTGAATCGGAAGCATCACCAGGGTCCCTTGGTTTTAATGAGTCTGTTTGAGACTTGGCCGTCCCAAACTACCTAGGTACCTATCTTAGGTAGGTAGGTGGTGGTTGAGCATATTCGTCCTCTCAAAGCAAAAGTCAGTAGCGGTACATCACCTGCCTATGTGGCAGGCTCGTCTCGAATGAGGCTCACGATGTGTCGCGAGATGCTGCATTTCCGTAGGAACCATTGTCAGATCATAGAAGGCGCGGGATCATCTTCCTCGTGACGGTGTAGAAGGTGGAGCTGATGCTCCCATGGATGTCCCATCTGCAAGGGCCCCCGGGTATCCAATCAACCTTGATGGTTGTCATTTTCCTATCGCGGTGTTTTTGTGGAGAATATGCCCGTCATAGCCCAATGACACATCCTGCATTACGCAGTCACGTGTAATGCATAAGTCAGAAGGACCAGTGCTGCGACTGTAGTACTAACATCCAGCAGGATTTTGACCCTGTTCAGGCTCCCGCTAATGGCGTAGTGAATTCTTGCAGGCATTGTCTTGCACTAAATCAAGTAGCGTCTACACTACTCCGTACTCTGAACTTGGTGGACAAACATTAAAGCAATGCATGTTGGTGCATGGGTCATGTGTTATTGCTGCTGGCCTGGGCTGGCAAAGGATCGATTGATGCGTCTCGGTCATCTTGCATCTGGATGCACGGCCACATGTACATATGTGACAACTGACGGCCTCGAGAAAAACATAGATATATTACTGCCCCGTGCCCAGATATCCGTATATTTGATATGCATAGATGCAGATGTGTTTATCGAGGCCGCAATGATAAGCTCGCTTGTGTCAGTGAACAGCCAGCCAGCCAAGAAATCCTGTGTCACATTGGCAATGACGCGGATCGGCGAGAACCTTTATGGCCAACAAAGCTCAACATGTGCCTCCGTCCTTGTGGACTTGAGGACGATGGATACCTTATTGCCGCCCACTCAAGCAGATCCTCTGGCCTTGTCGTTTATTTTTATCGCAGTACTACTGGTCTCGTGCTGACAAAGGAAGGGACGGATCCGAGTCTGAGATCAAAACGTCAGGCATTATCAGTCGGCAGCGTCGCCTTCTCTTTGTCATCCCATCCATCTGCTCCGTATCTCCGTATTGTTTTCCTTCCCATTTCCCTTTACTTCCTTTCCCTCCCCTCCCCTGCCTTGCCTTGGCTTCCTGCGATCGATCCGAGGTCTCGAGTGCTACTAAAGGGAGGTCCTGCCTACTTCGTCAATTTCGTCAACAGCGGTCCACCATCTTTGCAAAATCCCGCTGGGCCCTCCAACTTCCCCGGTCTTCCAGCTAAAATCCCAGTTGCCCCCCTGGCTTGGGCCATAATCCCTGTTGTTGTTCCGTTCTATTTTTTCCTCGTCTCATAAGTCCATAACAAACATTGTACATCTTTTGCCGTCGCTTAAGAGCTTGAGCTGGCTGTGCTCCCATACGCACCGACTACGCCGTCAAAACGACTCCATACACCAGCGACGCCACCAAACCTCTGGTCTACTGGATCCAGCTATCAACGTTGCCAAGTAGAAAAACTTTGACTTTTGCCCAACTCTAGTCCTATATTGACCGCTAAGACGATACGTTTCTCCATCATCATCATCCTTCGCTTGCACCGAGTCCCCTTATATGGCCGCCTGAGCAAGTCCCAAGAGCTGTCATATCCCTGGAGGCCGAAGCTTGGAGCAGTCGCTAGCCATGGAGCTGGCTGCGGGAGGATTTGACAATGACACCCGAGGGTGGATTATGAGCGTGGTCAGTGGCATAGGTACGTCGAGAAGATGCATCATGGCATCAGCTATGTTCTCGAGATGATTGCTCACCCTACCGTATAGCATGCATCTTCGGCGCCTCCATCGTGTGCGTCGACTTCATCGTCCGTCAGTTCCCAGGAAAGCGCAGCTTTCGCATCCAGGAGAGCAACATCTTCCTGGCGTGCTCGCTTTCCCTGAGCTTCGGAGTCATGGTACGATTCATCACCGCCGCTCCCGATTACATGAGCATATGTCAGCTAACTCGTCCAGATGTTTTCCGCACTGTACAGTATGCTGCCCGAATCAAGGGACTATCTGAGGAAGGACGCCTGGGCCGATCAACCTGCCGGCTTTGTTGTCATGGCTTGCTTCATTGGAGGCTTCATTGGTATCCAAGCCGTGTCCCGCCTCCTACACAGGCACATGCCGTCGCATGTTGTTGATTGCGACCACACCCACGATAACGCAACCCCACAAGACAGCTTCTCGTGTAACCACAGTCGCAGACAGTCCAGAGTCAGCCGAGCACGAAGACGGCTCTCCCGTCCCCGGTCCTCCCATAGCCACGCGAAGTTGGATGCCGGTCATGACGCGGAGAACGGAGTGGCGCTCGCAGGCGAGACAACACCTTTATTACCGTCGTCCATCGAGACGGACAGCAATGGCCACCGAAATCCATTGAAGCGACACGCATCCACTAGAGCTGATGGAATGTCGCAACGCCCGACCAGCCCATTATTGGCCTCGAGAGGCCATGCAACAACTACTGACTTGGAAGCAGCAGCTCGTCGGCCGTCCATGTACGAGGTACAGAAGCGCGTCATGTCCTTTGTCAGAGACACCAAGTGCAACTGTGAGGAGGAGGGGTCATGCTATGGTTACACAGATCCATGCGGACAAGAATGTTTCAAGCACCTCTCTACACGCTCGCAAAGCGGCCCTAAACATGCTGCTTCACTTCGAACCACCACCGGACCCTTCTATCTACACTCGGGCTCTATCTTTCATGCCGGTCATGGTCACGATGATCCCGACGCATCTATAAGCCCCCTGTACCGCATAAGCAGAGCTACTTCTCGCGAACCTCTTTTCTACCCAACAGATGAAGAAACCCCTGACCAGGAGGAGCATGGTTCATACTGCTCCTCTACGGAAGAAGGTGATCTCGAAATCAGCCAACATCACCACCATGTTCCCACAAACGCCTTCCTTTCTATTGGTCTTCAAACATCCATTGCTATAGCTCTTCACAAGTTCCCGGAAGGCTTCATCACATACGCAACCAACCACGCCAATCCTACCCTCGGCTTCAACGTCTTCATGGCGCTCTTTGTACACAACATCTCGGAAGGATTTGCCATGTGCTTGCCCTTATATATGGCTCTCGGATCCCGCTGGCGCGCCATAGCATGGTCCGCTGTCCTCGGCGGCCTGTCTCAGCCCATGGGAGCCGGCGCAGCAGCATTATGGTTCAAACTGGCGCAAAGGTCGAACATCACCCCGAATGCATTGGTATATGCCTGTTTATTCGCTATTACAAGTGGAATTATGGTGAGCGTAGCGTTGCAATTATTTGTAGAGGCATTAAGCTTGAATCACAACCGAAATTTGTGCATCTTTTTCGGGTTCCTAGGCATGGCTATTTTAGGGTTGAGCAATGCGTTATTTGCGGCACATTGAGGACTAACCACTTGGAGTGGCTGACGAACGAAATTCATGGCAGTAAACGGATTATGAGTATGATTGGCATAGAGGAGTTTTGGTATAATCACAAAGGAGGCGGATTTACGGCCTCTTGTCTGCTGGGCATTGTTACTTCTTTTTTTTTTTGGAGTAGAGTATTTTATTAGCCTACTATGATAGAATGTCAAATCTTATGGTTCAAAGCAATGAGTGCTAAATGTAGGCGCAGTGCAGTCACAGCCGAACAGCTTACAAGGTGTGTTATTTTCTCAATGTTTCTATGTATCATTAGTTCATTATCATGTACTATTTCTGGAGCCAACGCCATATTTTTCTTCATGAGACGACAAACAAATCCATCCCGGGGAGCCCTACAGGGGTATCAGCGACCAGCTATTTTTCGCGTTGAAGGCAAGACGCCATGTTCAACATCAGCTAAACAAAAGTCTATAATCTAGCAAGATTAGGATCAATGTGCTCCTCGTGCGATGAGTCACGCGCCAACAGCATAATGTTGGCCTCATCCTCAAGCCACTCGTCCTTTGGGGGGCCGTAGTCCATCTGGGCGGCAAAAATTTCATCCTGCGCCGTGTCCTCGGGCCACGAGGCGTGGAACTCCTCTCTCCCTAAGGATAATTCATCGTCCCCGTCATCCAGGTGCAGGAAGGGGGCAGAGTGACTTGGCGGGTCGGGCTGCTGGTGGCCATGAGACAGGTGGACTTGGAGATCGTGGTAGCGTTTGAACCCCTCGTTGCAGTCGGGGCAAAACACAGTGTGCTTGGCTTGGTTTGCGAGGCCGGAAATCTCGTCGATGAAGGCGGTCGGGCTCTCGCTGGGGCTGCCTGGCTTGGGCAACTTGGGGCGCTCGTGGCCGAGGTGGATGAAGCGGATGTGGTCGTCGAGGCGGACCTTGGTGCTAAACTTGGCGCCGCAGCCTTGGTCGTTGGTCCAGGCTGCGAACTCTGGCCCCGAGGGCGTCACGTCGCCGCATACGAAGCGGAAGCCTTCGTGGGCTGAGCGGACGTGGGCCTTGAGGTTGGACTTTTTGGTGAATTTCTTGTTGCAGCCCTCGTGGGTGCAGGCGTGTGTCTGGCGGTCCTTGACGGTCTTTCCGGAGTGGTACATGTCTACGTGCTGGTCAAGCTCCCAGCGTGATGAGGGCTTGAAGTCGCAGAAGAGACAGTTTTGGTGTTCCTTCTTCAGGTGGGCGTGGAGGAGCAGTTCAGTCGTGAATCCCACGCGGGTTTGTGTGCCGTCTTCTTCTGCTTTCAGGCCGCACTCTCCACACCAGTATTTGATTTCTCCGTGTATCTTCTCCCGGTGGCGTTTCAACGCCGGCTTCGAGTCGAATGACTCTGTGCAGTCTTGCTCAGAACAGGCGTATGCCCGGATGTGTAGGTGTTCTTTGCGCACATGCTTTGTGAGAGTTTCTCTTTTTCGGAAGCTCTGTCCACAGTCTTTGCAGCGGAATCGTTCGGCGCCTTCGTGAACGGCCTGGTGGCGCTTCAATCTGGTGCCTGTAACGAAGCTTTTGCCGCAGCCCGGGACTTGGCAGGCGTATTTGCGTTCGTTTGTGTGTGCTGCTTTAATGTGCTGCTTCAGGTGTTTATCCTCTATGTAGTCCTTATCACAGTCATCATAGGGGCACTTGAATGGGCGGGAATTGGTGTGTGAGTTGAGGTGGTCTCGGAGTCTGGCTGGCCGGTTGAATGCCTTGGTACACCCTGGCCATGTGCAGGCTAGAGTTTTGAGGTCTGACGGGAACTTGGCTCTTGGCGTAGTTGCTACGGTTGCAGGTGACTCGGCGTCTGCCATTGAGCTCGGTGATTCGGACGGTGTAAAGTCGTCATCACCATCGTCGTCTCATTTGATTGTTAGAATTGGTGCGTGCGTTTGCATGGACGGGGAGGAATGCATTTTTACTCACACTGAGGAGCACAGTCTATGTGCAGTTTCTTTACTGGGGAAGCTTCAATAGCCTCCTCTACGGGCCTTCGCTTGCTCATTTTTGTAAGAAATTGCCTGAGCAAGTCAATATCGACATTGTCATATTGCAAGGTGCCATGTTGAGAAGAAGCGGCAGAATGCATGCAAGTTAGACCAGGCGGTGACAAGAAATTTTGTGGTGGGTGACGACCGATAAGCCAAGGTGAGCTTCGGTCAGCCTATCAGGCCCCCCACTAATGGACGTGAGTGCGTCGGGGAAGCTACGGCAAAACTTGCCCAAATCTTTCAAGTGGAAGGCTGCAATTTTTACAAGGCTGATTTGCAGGAACAAATAATAAGAACCACAACGCTACGTTTGCGGCCTGTTTCCGTTTCCCACATTATACGCGCGCGCAAAATTCCAAAGGTTTTCACATCATGTCTGACTTTGGCGATGACGATGTTGGCGTCGGCGGGTAGGTTTCTTCGCAAAATTTCACGGCAATATTGAGGGTTGCCTAGAAGCGCAGCGAGCTAATAGCACGCGAAACAGAGACGAGCCCATGCTTGAGGAGGAGGAGGTTACCGAGTACTACGACCCCGAGGTTCTAGACAATGAGGACGGCGAGCGTGGTGAAAATGGCGACGATGCGGATAATGTTGTCGTTTCCGGCGACCCTTCGGCAGCTGCCAATGCCGTCAAGGCTGGCGAAAAGTCCTTGAAAGATAAGAAGATTCCCGAGGCAGATCGGACAACAACTCCCTACATGACCAAGTACGAAAGAGCACGTATTCTTGGCACTCGCGCTCTGCAGATTAGGTAGGATGATGGTTGTGAAGTCTAGCCAGGATACGCAGGCTAATGAGCGATGTGTAGCATGAATGCGCCAGTGTTGGTGGATCTCGAAGGCGAGACCGACCCCCTTCAGATTGCCATCAAGGAACTTCGCGAGAAGAAGATTCCCCTAATTGTCAGGCGATATATGCCTGATGGCTAGTGAGTGCTAACTTGAATGGAGGCTCGTGCTGGAATTCAGACTAATAGCGTGCGAACAGCTACGAGGATTGGACATGCGAGGAATTGCTGCAATAGTATGAACACGCCGGGCAAGCAAACGGTAATTCGGTCAAGGGCGAAAAGGGAACAATTCACCAAAATTTGCGTCAAGCTGCTGCCATACCAGACGATCACTTCAGCATTCTCCCTAATCCAAGCCAAGCAGGCAGGTCTCTCGGGCGTCATTTATGATTCATGAGCGCGGCGTTTTGAAATTTGGTCGAACGATCACAAATAGGCATTAGATAAAACCCAGAAGAACGGGCGCTTTGGTTATTGGGCTGTGCCGTCTGTTGCAGGAACGAGCCGTTATGGGACGTGTTGACAAAAACAGAGGAATAGGGTAGGCATCTGTGGCAACATGCCGTCATGGATCAGCCAACATCACACAGCGAGAAGGTAGTAAATGGAACTTTGAAAGAGAACAATGCAACATGTCGCGCCCAACGATGATGATTGTATCGTGTGTGCGCAAGCCTCAAGTTGGAGAGGTTTGCAAGATGTTATTCAAGATTTTACTGATATTCAATGTTAGAAGTCTTGGCTGCGGGAATACCAGGCGTTGGCATAATAACTACAGGCTAAATCAAGGAAAATATATTACTTTGGAAATTTTGTCCATAATATATGAATATATACTGTCAGATATCATGGGCTACGAAGTTTCAAGGCAGAGCCGCAATCATGCAAGAAATCCAAGAACACAGACAGGCAGGTACTTTGTAGATACATGCTGGCCTGGCCAACAGCAAGAGCTTTGTTTACTGCCTTTCCGACGAGCTGGCGCTCCCAACCTCCCATTGGCCAAGAGCAGAAACTTGCATCACAAAAAGCAAGGCGGTGCGGCAGACACGAGGTTTCCAGCAGGACGCAACATCGTACAACCTGCAACATGCAATGCGTAACAGGGAGGGGCCTTATCATCGGGAAGATTAGCCGACGCTGAAGTCTGAATTAGGGAATCCTGCTTGCGTTGGCGGGCAGCGGCAAGCGGCAACAATTGACGTGAAGACTGTTTACTCTGTAGGAACCAGGCGCAGAAGATGAAACGCCGTGACATCAGCCAAGTGCCACAAGATGGGCTGGCCAGAATGACTAACTGCGTGCCGCAAACGCAAGAAAAAACCAGCTGCCGTGGGATGATGATCAATTGCCAAGAACGCAGACGCCCTAGATTAGGGGGTCTGGGGGTTTGATGATTGTGCCGAAATCACGTCGAGTTCGTGTTTAAGCCATGATCGACGTGGTTGGCCTCGGTGAGGCTTAGGGGCCAGGCTCACTCTGAGTGGATGGAGCAGCTTTGGCCCCATGGCGGAGACATGACGTCGTTGCTGGGGGCGGCATTCGGATGCCGTTCCAGGCAGGCAGGCAGGGTCCATGCCCACTGCTTGCCCTTGATGTTGACGTTATTCCAGGCGGACGTTTGGACACGGCTAGCGTGCCAGTGGGGCAGTTTCCCGCTAAGCCCCTCAAGGACGATCCTGCTTGGCCAGATGCAGCAAACAACAGACTGAATAGACCAACTTGACGGCCGTTGCATCTTGCTCTGCTGGTGGCTCTGGCATAAAACAGCCCAGGAATAGAAGTCCGGTAGGCTGGATTGCCTTTCATCTCATCGTCTCCATGAAACAAAGCTGGCTGCCAAGTGCCCTGTACTCACTGCCCTTTGTGCTATATAAGAGGCTGGGCGCCTCAGTGTGTAAAGCGTCTGGTTCGTCTGATCGATGGCGGCTTTGACTCCCTTGCACCCCTGGCTTTTGCAGCTGCACCCGCCTGCGTTTCTGATACACCAATTGGCCGCTCGACCAGACCCAAGATTTCGATTGGCAAGTCACACATCAAGGGTTCTCGGCTGCTCCTGCCTCCAGCACTCCGGCCATCTGATTTCTTGAAACATAAATATTTGACAGCTGCCTTCAAATTTATCCATTGCGATTCACACACCTATCCTCCAATCCTTCCTCGTCTACGGTACACCATTTAACAACGTCAAGATGAAGTATTCCGCTGTCGCTGCTATCGTCTCTTCGGCGGTTGCCGTTTCTGCCTCTCCCGTTGAAAAGCGTGCCATTGGAGGTGTAAGTAATTGCCCTTGCTGCCCAGTCGACTTCTTTTCTTCTTTGCACCAACTCGCTGCAAAAGCGTTCTTGCAAGACCTCAAAACAGCACTCTTTTTTTTCTTACTTATCCCCTCATATACTAACACCCTTCAGGTCTTGCTTTGCACCGGCGCCAACTCCACCGGCACTTGCAAGTATTCTGTGTACGAGCTCAACAAGTGCCATCAACTCACGGAGCCATTTTACCAGAACACCAATACCTTTGCCGTCGATGGTGAAAATTTCTACTGCTTCCCCAAGCTCGTCAACTGCACCGACATCTGTACGAGCCCTACTGGCTGCACATTTGGAGCCGTCGACTACAGTTACGAACACAAGTACAACCTGAGCGCCATTTCTTGGGACAAGTACATTACCAGTTTTCAGTGCGGCATGAAGCAGGACCCGCAAACAAATAACAACGGCTCCTCGTCCAAGCGGTTCCTGTCATGATTCTTTTGCGCATACCACACCGGACGCTTAATACTTGATGGGTTTGGCGGCAGCAAACCCCACAAACATGGGATGTTTGCGGGGGAAGCTCGGCATCGCGTGGCATGTATGCACAACAGAGAGCACATATCGGTAATGGGGCCAGCGGAAAACGTCTGGCGTAATGGTATTATTATACCCTGCATTGTAATGGGCAGCATGTAGATTAATCAATTGGGACATATTTATTTTCATCATTGACAACCTGACGGTTTCTTCAGAGCATTTTGATATAACATTCAGGTTTATGACGACATGGACATTGTTCGGAGAGATGCAGCGAAATCGGCGGGGTCGGAATCTCAACCCCTCCATTGAAGCTCCCAAGGTGGGAGGAGGTTTCAACCAAGCTCTATAAAACCAGGCCCAATTGTCAGTCCAACAACATCCATCCCAGCCTGCAGCCTGTGTAACAATCAAATCCAATACTAGTATATCTTTTCATCACCTGCAAATATCCCCAAAATGGCCTTCACAACAAACGCCACAATCGCCTCCTTCAACGGTCGCATCCTCAAACTCACCCACCAGTCCAGCAGCACCTCGACGCCCATGAACCTCAACCTCTTCCTGCCCAACACGGCATCGTCATCCAAACCGGCCCCCCTCCTCATCTACCTCTCCGGCCTGACGTGCACGCCGGACAACGTCACCGAGAAGGGCTTCCTCCACGCCCACGCCTCGCCGCTCAACCTCGCCCTCCTCTACCCAGACACGTCGCCGCGCGGCACCAACCTCCCCGGCGAGCACGACGCCTACGACTTTGGCAGCGCGGCGTCCTTCTACATCGACGCCACCAAGGACCCCTGGGACACCAACTACCGCATGGAGTCGTACCTCACCACGGAGCTGCCGGAGCTCCTCTTCGCCAACTTCAAGGAGCTGGACGCCCAGCGCGTCTCCATCACCGGTCACTCCATGGGCGGCCACGGCGCCCTCACCCTCTTCCTCAAGAACCCCGGCAAGTACAAGAGCGTGAGCGCCTTTGCGCCCATCTGCAACCCCAGCCAGTGCCCGTGGGGGCAGAAGGCCTTCGCGGGGTACCTGGGCGACGACAAGGCCGAGTGGGCAAAGCACGATGCCACCGAGCTGGTGAGGCGCTGGAAGGGAAATCTAAACTGCCTGATTGACGTGGTGAGTTTCTTTCTTTCGTCCCGAATCTTTGCCGCGGCGCTAAGCACAGGGTGTAGGGCACCGGGGACAATTTCTACAACAGCGGCCAGCTGTTGCCGGAGAACTTTGTCGAGGCCGTCAAGGGCGCGGGCGTGGATGGGGTCAATGTCCGCTATCACAAGGTAAGTCGGCGCTGCTACCTGTTGTCTGGCGTGTTGACGCGCATGTTGTGCTAAACTTGGGGGGACGGGGCAGGCCTATGATCACTCGTATTTCTTTATTTCGACGTTTGCCGAGGACCATGTTCGGCACGCTGCCAAGGCGCTCGGGTTGCTGTGAAGGGGGAATATGACGGGACATTTTGAGGTTTTTGTGCTCGCTGTTTCGCAGGGTTTGGCTCTGGGCTCCGTATTACTGGAAATACATGTCGTACTTCTCGCGCATGTGGTGTCAAGTATTATAACGTGGGCTCATAATGCCAGGCCAGGGAACCCGTGTGCCCACGAGGCGGCTTCCCAAGAAGGGGAGCCCAAGGCTATTTCCACACGGAGTAATATCCAAACGTAATTTGTGTCTTCCCCAAGTAGAAAAAGTTCTTTGACTCTACTTTGTACACCGCCAAGCCAGTAGGATTCGCCTGTGCACAGGAACATCGCGTGGTCTTTCATTTAATGTCGGCCCTACAATGGAGCACCGGACTGCCTGGCAGGAAGCCTGCTGCTCGGCTGCTACAAATACGCTCGACAGCGCGCACTAGCACTTGACGTTTGCGAACAAAACCATGACGTGGTCAAACCATGTATCCTGCTTTACCAACTAGACACATTAGCTCTATTCTGACCCATCCAAAGCTGAAGCCTACAAGATAGCATAGCCCCATGCCAACCCATCAAGTCATAACCCGTGCCGTATTGGAATCCCATTAAAACCTTCCCCATCAATAGCAATTAAATGTAAAAATTGAAACCGTGACAAACGCCGCCCATGTGGTGATCTGGCTGTGAATCAAACGCACCCATGCAATGCCACCCAAAAACACAAATTTCCCACCCCTGCCCATACCACGATATTTTCCGTTTCTTTAGCTAATTCTCCGTTCGTAACTGGGACTGAGTCCTTCCTTCTCTAGCTTTGCGCGCATTTCCAAATTGATTTCCCTGCGAATGCGCTCGTAGGCCAGCTTCTCGAAGCGGCTAAGGCCCTTCCACCAGTGTTGGCCGGCTTCGTGCTCCGCAATACGACTGAGGAGCTCGCTCGTCTTTAGACGCACCTCGCGATCTTGGTGGAACAATCCGAGGGCGAGATAGAAGAGGCCGGCGTGTGACTCGGGTGCCACGTTTAGCAGCAGGCAGATCTCGTCGTAGGAATGTATACACTTTGAAAGCGTGAGGTAAATATCTTTGCTCTGGCTGGGAGATAGCCGTTGCATTCGGAGCCGGTCGTGCATGTGTGCCAGGTCAAGACCCTTCAATGGCCGAACCGTATATACCTGCGCGAGGTCCTGTTTACCGTCAATTGATGTACTTGACCATTGATTGGGGTGAAAAGATTCCTACCTGGATGTAGCTGTAGTAGCTCCGCGTGTTTCGCCAGCCCTCGATTCTGGTCACATTCCCGGCGAGTTCCTTATTCTTCGCCGCGTCATCTGGCCAGACATAACCGTGGCCGCTGGCCCCCGGAAGGCTTATATCTTGGTCCTCACTGCCAATATACAAGGCGCTTGCGCCATACACGCTCTCTTCAAACTGGGCTGCGATACGGGTGAATTTCGTGACCCAGTCTCTCCATTTGGCGCGAATCACTCTTTCGCCGTGGCGCACAGCAATGCTCTTCAGAATATCTATCATGAAAGCTCCATCGCCCGTCAGATCTTGGTTGTTATTTGCATTGCCGCTGGCCACGGTCGCCAATGGTGGATTCTGTTGCTGAAAGTACAACAACCCCTCCGTAACAGCGGCTGGCTCAATCTTGCTGCTAATCTTGATGCGGCCGCTCGGCAGATCGCAGAGAATGTCCCACCATTCGGGATGCATCTCAAAAGTAGGGTTGGTGACACCGGCAATAAAGCCAGGGACGTTTAAGAGATCGTCAATCTTGGTCAGGTCGGTGTAGGGGAAAGCGTGTCGAGTGAAGCCTCGCAACAGCCCACCAGACGCAAGAGCACATGCAGCCAGGACAGCCTCGGCAACCTCACCTGAAGGCATGTTGTGACCCAAGAAGATGATTCGCTTTTGTGTCAGTAACGCATTGACCAGGACAATAATGGGATGCGTGCCAGCTCCATTGGTTGTCAGGTGGGGATGAAGGGTAAATGCCTGCGGCGACTTCGCGTGTGGTTCGGAAAAGTTTTGAATGAGCTTGATCAGGGAGAAGTCGCCAACTGTCTCTGGCATGACGGCCGTAGGAACCTTGATTGGAATCGGAATTCCTTTGTACATGACTTTGCTCTCAAATTCGTGCGTATCCCTTGGGACTGAGTACAAGGCTTGGCTTCCACCCTCGACGTGAGCTTTCGTGCCGGCGCGAGATATCCCGCCCGATTTGACAGGACTTCTTGAATCCTCTACTTGTCCGTCTATCAATCCATCGGCTTTGTCCTCGGCCATTCGTATTTGAATCATTTGCTCAAACTTCTCGACAAATAGATCACGATTCTCACTAGCCAACAAGAGGTGCCTTTCGAGGATGCTGAGCCGGGGCATAAGAGACAAATCCATGGCATTGACGGCATCATAGAGCATGGAGAGGGTTTCGGGAACGGGAGACTTGAAATACTCTTCCAAGGCAAGTAAGAGCAGAGGCTGTGGGCCGCAACGGTTTATTGTTAGCTTCATGTGTAGCTGGAAAATAGTTGTCGCTCGACTCACCTTGTAAATGTGTAAAAAGGGATGCCTCGTACAAATGGCCATGGCTTTGACGACGGCACCACGCTTTACAGACTTGTCATGTTTGGTGTTGACAAGGTTCAATACATGAATCAATGGCGGGCCTTCTCCGCCCTCGGGTTCGCTGTCGGTGGATTCGTCGTCTACATCTTCATCATCATCGTCCTCGTCGTCAAATTCCTCCTCATCATCCTCGGATATGACCCCAGCCGCTCTATTTCGCCTCCTCCTGCGCATTTGTCTCCTCCTCTCCTTCACTTGTCTCTCGGCATCCTCTTCCTCTTGGCTGGTATCTTTGTGCAGGAAAAATATGGTCCAGTCTTGGTTTCGAGCGTGTGCCTGATCAGGGAGCATAAGCTCCGCCAGCATGTTTTCATCTCCGGTAATGGCGACTGGATATTGGTGTTCCATAACAGGACCTCTGTCAATGTCGAACGAGGCCACCAGGATATACTCGACATGGTTATCGGCTGACCCACGGGGATACTGCGACCTGAGCCTTCTCGACGACCGGGCATCGGCGTTCAATCGATAAGGTGCCGACAAGGACGAGTGCTGAGATGATGGAGCCAATGATGGCGTCTTGGACTTGGAACTCGGATCCGAGGTGCGGTCTGTCTCGGCCACAGGAAACTGGGGTGACTTGGCCTGACGGGAATTTTGGGACATCTGCGATGGCGATCGTGATGACGGGAATGAGGAGAGAGAGGCTCGTCGATTGGACAGGGACCCATTCGATCGATTGTTCATGGCGTTTTGCCGGTTCATGTACGGAAGGGCGGTGGTCATCATGATGAGTAACGGACGGACGTCCTATGCCAGCCAGATGATGGATGGGCGAATACCACCAGAACGAGCAATGGTGATGGCGATGGCAGTAGCCGTCTCGAGGAGTCCTCGAAATGACCGTCTCGTCTACCTGGGTATTCGACAAACAGTTGGCATGCGGAGATGGCCGACCACAACGCCCATATGCCGCCTCCCCCTCTGGCGCCAGTGGTGTGAACCAGAGGTTCGCGAGGACCTTGATGTTTCTACTTGTCGTTCGCTCTCGGCTCTGTGGCTATCCGACCCGAAACGTTTCCTAGGCAAGGCCAATGAGGGGAGCAGCGGGAAGTCAAAAAAGACGACAGCGGCCAGCAGCAAGAGGGCTTGGCTGTATGGAGCTGGTTGAGCTGGTTGAGCTGGTTGAGCCCGCAACGCCGTCAAGGCACGCAGTGTCTGCCCGCAGAAACACCGTCAATGTCAGGGAAGCCGACGATCTTGGAGATTGATGCGACAGGAACAGGTTCGGGGTGCCGAACAGGGGGAGAGGACCGGATGGCGACTGGCGAAGTGATGCTGGCGAGGGGGCAGTCACGGAGCAACACCGACACATGATCCGGAGACTATTGACGACGTCGACGTCGGGACTCGATGCACATCAGACGGCAAAAGTCGAACTCCTGAAATGCGGCCCAGGGGTCGCAGGGGTTGCAGGCAAACGGCGCCACTTGGCAGGTGAGGAGCGTCACTGGGCCAGTCGACCGACGACGACTGGAGTTGATGGCGGCCAACAAGCACCGCTTGCATCCAATGTTCAGGGCCCAGTCGTGTGCAGTCAATCGCTAGTCGACGACGCCGGGCCAGGGCTCGTGCGCTGAGTGGACGGGCAATTGGAGGCGGGCGGGGCGCGGATGGCTTGAGGCGCCACGCAGGACAGGCCAACGTGGAAAGCCATGAATTGACTCGGTGAAACTCACACAGACGTCGGATGATCATTCTCTTCTCTTCTTCTTCTTTTTCTTTTCTTTGGGTGCTGCTTTGCGGTTGGTGGCGGCTGGTGGTGTATGGCCGGCGTCTCAGGGCGGGTTTGAAACGTCGATTCTGCGCCCGCAGCCATCAGTCAATTGAGCTTCTGCAGTGTGTGTCTGTGACCGCTCTTTGTGCGGAGCGCACGCAGGCTTGGATAAGATATTGACCAAGTACATACGCAAGCAAGTACTCCGTAGCGGGTGCGGAGTACAGTCGGAGTACCAGACCAGACTTGACCTGAGAATCGTGCCAAAGCGGCACCTGATGCTAGGCTCATGCAACATCGGGCCAGGCAGCGCGCCGCGCCGCCGACCTTCACCCTCAACATTTAAGTGCTGTCTACCGACACCTCTGTATCAGAGTATCGAATGTTGCCGCACTCTGTAATACAATGTCGCATGTGCGGTCGGGTCTGTGTCTTATGTCAGTTTGAGGGTTCGAGGCTTGAATGTGCCCCTGGCGCCCGCCCCTGCAAAGAGAGGGTGACAAGAAGGTTGGCCATGCGCCGCCATTGGGTGCCCTTCCGCCAGGGACCTTTTCAGGGACCAGATGGGAGACGACATGGAGAGGCAAAAAGGGTCAATGTGGCCCACACCCGCCAACGATTCAAGAACCTCTGGCCCATTGGTGGGCGGAACCCCACACCACCAGTGATCTGACGAGCCTCCAAGTACTTAAGTACATACGTAGCAACCAAGATCAAGGGCTAAAACAGCACAGAAGGCAAATCTTGCAAGAAGCAGCACCGACAATACAGCGGGGAAATGCAAAGCCCACGCGCTTCTTGCAGTCGGGTTGCATGCCACATGGCAAATGGAACGTCACAAATAAACAAACAAACAAACAAACAAACAAGAAAAAAAAACAATCCGCTGCAGATGCAAACAGGGACGATGTGGCCGTTTTGCGCTTCTTTACGAGACACATGGCCGGCAGGGATCACCCACAGCATGGCAAAGGCTGGCAAGTGCTAGTATGTATTTGCGCGTATTTCCCCCAGGATACTCGGAGTGGCTTCATCAACGACGAAATTGTGTATGAGCGGGAGGCTACTTGCTCTTCCCAAAGGTCGACTGATTAACACCTAAGTACATAAAGTTACCTAGGCATGTACATATGTACATTGTACGGAGTAGGCCTCTTTTTTTTAAGTGGCTTGCCCACTTTTTTTCGCCAACGGGTGAAAAATACAGATTGCCGACTTAAGCCTCAGGACCCAAGTAGTACTCCGCGCTACTGAGCTACTCTGTCCAGTGCCTTCATTGGCCATGTAAGCTTGTGGCTAGTTACAGCACCGCGCATGGATGCTCTCTGCGCCACTTGTGCCAGCCACATATGCCCCGCTGGGCCTGCAAGGCTGCCGTTGTTATGGCTCTTAATTGTTTACATTGGGAACGCAGACCACCGGCCGTCGGCGAATCGCCTCGCTTCGCTTGTTTCGCTCAGGCATTTTGATCACTGTCCTTCTCGCCAATACTCGAAACCGCATGCCACAAGGAACCAAAGATTGCAAAACTAGAGCTTCTCAAAGTTATTTCCCTCCTCTTTCCTATCGTTCATCGACTCCAATTCAACGTCCGCCGTTCCTTGAAACCTTGATCTCCACATAGATCAACACGTTCCTTGGCCAACCAACATCCTATCCTGGACAAAATCGCCGCGGTCAGCATGGTAAGAGCTACGCATGAAGCCGTTGAGGCGCCCCCAAATATACTGCCTTTTAACACCTCTCTCATCATCACCAGTCTGTTTCAACATCGTACAAGCCATCTCCATTGGGGTACGGCTCGCCTCCATCACGCAACTCACCCTTCCGCCGGCCAGAATCTCCAGCATCACCATCGCCGTTACGACATACAACACCCACCAGTTCTCCAACTAAGACTGCTTCACTCGCTACGCCGTCTCGTTTTGCACGGCCGACTACGCCTACAACTCCGACGAATAGTTGGACGCCGCGGGCACAATCGCCGGACACCATGACGCCTTCATCACCACATAGGTCATCTCAGCAGACGAGCGTGTCTGTATCACAGCCCCTTGCAAGCGGAAACGCATTATCACAACTACAGCCAGCACAGGTCAGAACGCTGAGGGACGGATTCCAGATTTTAGATCGAGACTGTGATGGCATGGTGAATCGCGAAGACGTCGCTGACATGTTGAGCCAGTTGGGTGCGTTTTGCGATGATGATGGACTCGGGGACGTCAAGATCTGTCAGTTGAGCTAATCTTGCCGGTGTAGGTCTTCCCAATAGCGCGTCTGATGTTTCACAATTTTTTCCTCCATCAAAATCACAGACCATTGCATTGGCGGCATTCTTGAACTCGTTAGCAGAAACATTATGTCAACTTTCGCCCAGCGCGGAGCTGCTTTCGGCATTCTCCGCTTTTGATGACGATGACAGTGGTCAGGTAGACTGGGCCGAGCTCAGAGACGCGCTGCTCAACACGGCGCCGGAACCTGGCGAGCGACCTCTGGCTGCGGCTGAGGTTGAGCGTGTCGTCAATGGCTTCACCGGCCGACGAGCCTTCAATCGAAACATCAATGCGCAGTTGGGTGCCAAGAAGGGTGAGGTGTTCAAGTATAACGAGTTTGTCAACTCCATCATGGGATCTAATGGGGCGTCGGAAGGATCGTCGCAAGAGAACTCGGAGGAGCAATAATGTCAGGGTGTGCGTAGAAGTCGAGAAGCCACCGTCTCTGAGAGGTATTGATCGTTTTGATTTGCGCGCTTTGCGCTCGTGCGTTGGGATAAGCGATTGCACAGGACTAGTCCGTACGGAGTACTAGATGTATTTATGATAGGCATACGGAGCACACACATTGTCGTAAACTTGCATCAAAAAGGGTCGTTGGACACGCAGTCTTGGCAACGTTATTGATGTTTGGTGAAATGAGCGGGATGCCTTAGTCCCCATGACTTTGCTCTCTGAAATGAATGAACAGCCGCTGGGGTGTTGAGCCTGTTTGATGAGCGAGGGTGTTGACGAAATTAAGGACAAGGATTGGATCAGGGCCTGGAGCACTCGAGTGGGCAGAGGGGAGCTGGTCAAGGGCGCGGCGGGCAGGCTCACAATGGGACCTCCCGCATTGTTTGGGGAAGGCACAACCGGAGGGTGGTGTATTGGTGCAACCTGCGCGGCATAAAATTACAGGTTGAGAGACGAAGGAAATTAGACGAACCCTCTAGTCCGTAATCGGTCGTCTGCACAGCTTAGAAAAGCCATCCAACAGATGCTACAGACGACCTTGTCTAAGTCGGGGCATTTGAAAGAGAAAAAGGAGACGGGGCTACGAGCGGTTGCCTAGCATACACTGTACGTAGCACGGCGTAATCGGTGCTTGGGTTGGCGGTGCGGTACGGAGTATGTATGGTGTTCTGGTACTCCGTACATTGCGTGCGGCTATCAACGTACCAAGCTCCCGCTGTCACAGTCTGCGCAGGTGCGAGTCGGGGCCGGCTGCAAGGCCGATCCGCCCCTCCATGTCCTAAAGTTTTCTCCAGCCCACGTCACTAAGGAACTTTGCCGCGCCGGCCGGGCGCAATCTGAGCAACTCCTAGGTCGCGGCCCCACTGAACCTTCTAGAAACCTTGCTGGCTACGTGCAAAACCCCGTTAAGCAACTGCAGACTCGGCTCTGGCCCCCCCTGTAGGTCGCATGCACAAGTGAGGACCAGCCGCCGCCAAGGGCCACATGGGCACTGTGTTCCACCAGCTCGGCGTCACATCACCGTGATAGGATGGTGCTTGCTTGGGCAGCTGGGAGACGGGCAGGACGGGATGCAGGCAGAGTGGTTGCTGATACAACAATGCGGGTGACTGGCTGAGGCGTCATTCTACAGTGCCATCATTGGCAGGCAGAAGAAGGGGACCAAAAGGCAAAGGCTGGGGGAGGACCCAGAGGGACGGCCGACTCAGCGGGATGCAGCACCGTGAGGCGACATGGAGGCAGACATGGACCAACAGATGCTGACTTGTGCAGTGGTCAAGTTGACGGTACGGAGTACAATACGGAGTACACCTTTGTGTTTCGCGGCCAAAAAAAGAGAGAGAGAGAGAGAGACGTTGCCCCTGTCTTGCGGGGGTTGGTTGATACCCCTGACCAGACTTCACGATATTGGTATTTCGAGTACAGTGGTTGTCGATGCGAATGACCAAGGTCCTCGAGCATGCGAGACATTCAAATGTTACCGGCGCTCCGGGGCTCGTTAATAACTTGCGGAGCATGGAAACGAACAAAAGGATAACACGTAGCCATGTCCACCAGCGCAGTGAATCGCTGCTCTCGCAATTTTCGATTCAACCGCCCAAGTGAGGTGACGGAGCTCATGCTGCCACCCCTTGTCCGTCAGCCTCCATTTGCCTCAATCAATCCATCTCTCTCCAGTCTGCAGCTCTGCCTCGCCTCCATCCTCCGTCCAGTTGCCAGGTCACAGGTTGGTTGCGGCCCAGTCAAACCCGTCAAACGTGGCCCATCACTTCTGAGCATTTGATAAATCGCGGGCTGGGATTTTCTCGTCCCTCTTCCTTTTGCCGTCTCTTTTGCTCCTTTGCGCCGCCTACGTTGCTCTTGCTAACCTTGCGCACTGCGACGTCAGTTCTGGTCAGGGCTTTTTTTTTTTCCTTTTCTCTGCCAAGTTTTCTTTCTGCTTCTTTTGCTCTCTTTGCATCCTTGGACCTCCCGTTCTCCGTCGACAAGAAACATCCTGCCCCAACCACGACCTCCGTTTTTGCACCGAACCATCTTCGATCGGCCATTTCCCAGAAACAATCAATCAATAGCTTGCTGGATCTCCTCGGGACGGGCCTACCGCCTCCTGAAGCACCGCGCCACTGTGCTGACTGTGCCTCGTCCTGCTGGGCTGCCCACGTTACGTACCTTTTGGACTTGGGCCCCCTTAGGCTCTTGGTGCTCGGTTACAGTGCCACCCACCCCCATCCGAGTCCTTTATCCGGTATATCCTTGTGTCGAGGCTCGGGACCGCCCTGCTCCATCAGGTTTGGCCGTCCCGCTCTAATACCGCAGAGCCCGTTTTGGAGCTGGCTAGAAGATGAAGTTCTTTGGCGGGAGCAAAAAGCAATCGTCCACCTCGACCTCGTCGTCAAGGAAGCATACGCCTAGTTCTAGCGTTGACGACCGCGACTTCTTGCAGCACCAGACGCACCCACACTCGGAGCCTGCGTCGCCCACAAAGGGCTCGTCCAACAATAAGTCCCCCTCCAAAAGAAGCTCACGGCCAGTCTCGTACCGGGAACCCAAGGACCCTGCTCCTGAAAAGTCGTCGTCCTCCTCCTCCTCTACACCCCGCCACGCGAGACTTTCTCGACACTCTACTGAGCCGTCGTCTACTTCGTCCTCGCGGCGCAGTAAATTTGACCCCGACACGCATCCTCTCAACTTGCCACCCGAGGAGCGGCGTCGCCTGTCCAAGTTGTCCAATTCCACCATGAGCGATCACATGGACATTGACCGGGAGCCGGTCAACGGCGCCTCGTCGCCTGCCTCGCAGCCGCAGAGTAACCCTTCGGCCCAGGCGAACTTCTCGGTTCCTATCCCAAATGGAACCCATCACAATGATGCTCCTGCGCCGCCACCACACAGATCTAACCCTTCCAGTCCGGTACCGACGGCTCTAGACGACGCCGAAGCCTACAAGGCTGCGGGCAACAGGTTTTTCAAGGACAAGAATTACACAAAGGCTATTGAACAATACTCCAAAGGTATGACCATGCGTGACGGCGAGATGTCTGCGCCATGCTCATCTATCCTCCCTTGTACAATTTTTTTTTTTTTTTTGCTGACTTGTTTTCTATTCACTAGCCGTCGATCTGTTCCCTGACTCACCCACTTATCTGAGCAATCGTGCCGCCGCTCGCATGTCCAATGGCCAGTATGCGGCTGCCCTCGAAGACTGTAGTCGCGCTGCCGACCTCGACCCCCAAAACTCCAAGATTCTGCTACGGCTTGCTCGTATCTACACTTTTCTGGGTCGCCCCGAGGAGGCCATGACAACCTTTGGTCGCATCACGCCCGCGCCATCCGCCAAGGACATGGCTCCGACCAAAGAGATGATGTACCACGTTGACACAGCCAAGCACATTCTAAAGCAAGGTACTGGTGTTACAATGGCTCTCCATGCTATAGACCAGGCGGAGCGCGGGCTGGGACCTGGTGTCCTGAAGCCTCGCAAGTGGCAGCTCCTTCGCGGCGATGCCCATTTGCTTGTTGGCCGCGAGAATAATTTGGGTGAAGCACAAGGCATCGCGATGGCTCTGTTACGAAACAATGCTCAAGACCCTGAGGCTCTAGTACTCCGCGGCCGAGTTTTCTATGGCCAGGGCGACAACACCAAGGCCATTCAGTCATTCCGGATGGCCCTCACCTGCGACCCAGATTATCGTGATGCCGTCAAGTGGCTCAAAACAGTGCAGAGGCTAGACCGTATGAAGGAGGAAGGTAATGTCGAGTTCAAGGCTGGTCGATTCCAAGCCGCCATCGAAAAGTACAGCGAAGCTCTTCAGGTTGATCCCAACAACCACAGCATTAATGCCAAGCTTCTCCAGAACCGCGCTCAGTGCAAGATTAAGCTCAAGCAATACAACGAGGCAATCGCCGATGCTGAAAAGGCCGTCAGCCTTGACCCGAGTTACCTCAAAGCCAAAAAGACCAAGGCCAACGCACTTGGTCAGGCTGGAAACTGGGAGGAGTCTGTTCGGGAGTGGAAGGCGATTCAGGAGGCTGACCCTGAAGACCGCACTATTCCCAAAGAGATTCGCAGAGCCGAACTTGAGCTGAAGAAGAGCCTACGGAAGGACTACTACAAGATTTTGGGTGTAGAAAAGGACTGCGGGCCGGATGATGTCAAAAAGGCCTACCGTAAGATGGCCATCAAGCTCCACCCTGACAAGAACCTGGACGATCCAGATGCCGAGGCCAAGTTCAAGGACCTGTCAGAAGCCTATGAAACCTTGAGTGATCCTCAGTAAGTTCAACCTAAAGATGTGTCATCCAAGATCAAGCATATACTAACCCTCGCATAGGAAAAAAGCTGCCTATGACAATGGCGACGATCTCATGGACCCTGCAGACATGTTCGGTGGCGGCGGCATGGGTGGAATTGACCCCGAGATTCTGTTTAGTATGATGGGCAACCAGGGAGGTTTTGGTGGAGGCGGCTTCCGATCCGCCGGAGGGTTCCCTGGAGCTGCAGGAGGCTTCCCAGGTGGTGCTCAGTTCAACTTTGCCAACGCCGGCGGTGGCCGATCCCGGGGCGGTCAGTTTCCCTTCCAGTGACCACCAGCTCAAGACGCGCCAGAGAGTGAGGAGGAGGAGGAAGAGCAGGAGGCAGTTCAGTGGGACACAGACGCCAGCGATTCTCGGGACGCGAATGTCCCTGAGGATCATGCCACAGCCAAAGAAGAGCTTATGCATGAGTATCAGCAACGCCGCGACGCCCGCAACAATCTAGTTGATACACTACGTCAGTATGGCATGCTGGTTCTGGCGGCCGTGGTTTTGTTGCCGCCACACCTTGCCGTTGCCGCTGTTTTCTGCATGTTACTGGTGTATATGTTGATGAGATATGTTCGGCCAAGTAGCCGCACGGCGACGAAACCAACTGGATAGACCATGTTTTTTTTGGGGGGGAAGGCCAATACGCAGGGACGCTCGTCGCATGTGAACATCTACAAGGCGTTATAGACCATTGTCAAAGTGATTTTATTAATTATTTGCTCCCTGTTGTTCAATTCTTTTTTGTTTATCTGGAAACACAACAAGACAACAGCAGTCTCAGCTGCGGTTGAGGAAGCACATGACTCACGGGTTTCACAAGGACGGGTTATTTCCAACGGTGGATAGAAACGCGCTTAAACAATGACGTGTGTATATTACACCAGTTTATGTCATGCTAAAAGACAGTCCAAGTCAAATTCATTCATCGCGGGGTATCATAGTGTCTGTCTACTCTTGCTCCTTTTGCCGTCTGCGTCACAACCGCCCATTCATCCTGTTCGCTCGTAGCCCGCCCTCATCTCGTGCCGTTCCCCGGCGCGCCTGTAGACGAAGACGCCGCGGCGGCAGCAGCACCAGCACCATTCACCTCGGGCAGCGGCCGGCCGCCTGTCTCGCGCACAACCCGCTCCACGTCGGGCCTGAGCTCGGGCAGCGCCGTCGCCATCTCGCGCGCCAGCACGTCCCTGAACTCCCCGAAGGCGTGCATCTTGCCGCGCATGAGCTGGTTCCCGCGGCGCACGAGCTCCACGAACTCGCGCGTGTAAATGTCCGGGTTGCGGCCGTTCTCGACGTACTCGAGGAGTTCGGGCGGGACGGACGGCAGCGACGCGTTGCTCGACGTCGTTGCGTGGAGGGCTTGTAGGCTTGCCGAGAGGGTTTTCCTGCACGCTGTCAGACTGAGCGTTTTCTTTGAGGGGGGAGGGGACGAGGGCAGCCAGGGCATGTCACATTTCGTTGGAGAGGACGTCGCGGCTGGGGCGGCCGGTGGTGTCGTAGGTCGAGACTTGGACCATGATTTGGTACAGGTCTTGGATTACGTCCTTGAGCTGCTCTGCTCGAGGTTAGAGGGGGGGCCGGGTGTGGGATGTATCGGGGTTTGCGTACGCTCTAGGACGTCTTGGTCTAGGCGGTCGACTGGTGCCATGGTGGTTTGTCGGGTTGGGAGAGGTGGTTATGGGAGTTGAGGTGCGAGATGGCGGGCAACATGTTGGTTCTGGAGGTTTTGGAGGTTGAAGGGGTGGGGCGGCGGAGTGGGCACTTGGCGGAGACAAGACAAGAGAGACGGGACCGGTTTGCCTGCGGTGTAAGTGAGCGTTGGAACGGGCGATTTATGAGTGCCATGATGCAAGTTTCTCTTGTGGGTTAAGAGGGAAATTGGGCGGAGCTTCATCAAGTTTCGGATATAGCAAGGATAATAGGCGGCAAGCACGTTCACTAGTAAGAGAGATAGACACGGCCAATGTGTTCATGAGCATCTGCTGCATTTGATACTTATTAACCGTATCCCCATACGCCGTATTTCCCTTGTCAACTACCCTGTTGATACATGATACTGCATATTACCAATTACCTAGTAGTGTAGCCACCGTTAGCAAACAATGTCTGGCCTGTGATCCAGCCACCCTCCGTGACGAGGAAACGGATAATCGGTGCTATGTCCTCGGTCTTGGTGAGGCGACCGCCGAGAGCTTGGCTCTTGTGGAAAGCAACAGCCTCGGGAGACTCTTGTGGGTAAAAGAAGGCTGCGTGTACAATTGATCAGTTTTTGTCTTGTTTGTCTAACAATCGGCTGGTTTTTCAAAAGCAAGAAAGCGACTCACGAGTATCCATGGGGCCGGGAGCAACTGCGTTGACACTGATTCCGCGGGGCTGAAGCTCCTTTGCGACGCCACGGGTGAAGTGTTCAACTGGAGCCTTGGATCCGGCGTACGAAGTGTAAAAGCCGGTAAAGGCAGCGAGGAGGGCCGTGACAATGGTAATCAGCTTGCCACCGTCCTCGACGTTTTTAGCGCCGGCCTTGAGAATGAAGAATGCAGATTTGGAATTGACCCTATGCCACGTTAGTCTCGCCAAGAGCTGCATATAGGATTGAGGGAAACATAGGAATAGTTGGGATTCGCGTACGCAAACATCTCATCGTACTCGGCTTCCGTAACATCTTGAATTGGCTTCTTGAGCACCTTGCCGACCGTGTTGATAACAATATCAATCCTCCCAAAGTCCTTCTTCACAGAGTCAAACAGCTTGTTGACGGCAGCCTCGGTGGTGAGGTCGGCTTGGTAGAACTGGAACTTGATGCCAGGGTACTTCTGCTTGAGCACAGCTTCGAACTTTGTGGCATCTTCCTTCGACTTGGTAGAGTTGTAATGCAAGGCCAGGTTGGCTCCAAGGGCAGCGAGCTCTTTGGCAATATCGGCGCCAAGATTCTTAGCTCCTCCGGTGATGATGGCAGTCTTTCCCTTGAGAGACATTGTGCAGAAGGTGTATCGAAGTGAAAAACCAGGATAGTGTAAGATTTGTTGAGTTGAGGGCTGTCTAGTGAGTTTCGAGCTTTCCTAAGCTTTCCCCTCAAAAGAATTCAGACAGCTCTCCTCTGGCCTTTTATACGCCGTTCCATGGCTGTCAACTTGCCTGCCTGCGGGCCGTTTTCAGTTTCCAAATGGCATCAGAGTTTATCGGATTTCAATCCTCCGAATGACAGGCTTAGCTCCGTGACGTGCTTCAGAGCCCCGACCAGGAAAGCATGAGTCGGGAAACCAAGTCCACAAGGCAAGGCATAATACCTGCTCGAGGAGACATCTCAGAATTTAACTTCACTAGATGCGCCTGTTGCAGACACCTCTTTAGGAAAGGAGCCGCATTGAGGATGCTGGTCGGAGCGTTTGAGTTCAAAGGTGGCGCATGAAATCAAGTCTTGATTTGTTCCGGCCAATCCATATCCACAGGCCCTCTGCGGCGGTTGCTTCAAGATGCATTGCCTCGATTTGGTTAGAGCGCGACATTATTTGTCCCGCCAAAAGATGGATTGGCCTTGTGGCAATTCAACCCATTGAACGATCGTCTTGGGCCCATGGTACGAACCCAGCAGCCTCGGGCTTGCACGTCAAGCTACCTAGGTAGCTAAGGTCCGTTTGGGGATGTGACACTGATTGGATGGAGCATAATATCCAGTGGCAGGTACAACGTGTCGTTCGTGCCTAGTACCTCAGGTACCTGCATGTCGCTCCCGATGGCATTCTAGGTTACGTGTTACTATATGTTAGTGGTGTGTATAATCAAATGCTTGACGGGAGGCGACACATCCTTGTCAAAGACTGCAGCCCTTCTCGTCCTGTCCTCTCTTGCGGGCTTGAATCCAGCCTTCTCCATTGAACCCCTCACCGTCGTAACGCCACCACTTCGCGGCAGTGCTGATTCCCGAAGGAAACACAAACCATAACATATAGCTTGCAACAGGTACGGAGGACACGATGTGAACAAAAGAAAGCACTCGCTTGGTGTTGCACACCTTGCAATGTAGTGGAACGAAGAAGAGACATTGCTCGTGACTTGGCCGGGTTTCCGGCAGGAACTGACTGTGTTGTGTCCTTGCCTCCTTCCCTCTTTCCTAGACTTCCGCAACCCCCCCTCTCTAACATTCGACGTCAAGCAACGGGCTGCTCCCCATTTGACTTCAACCTCGCGACGGTCTACACTCTCCATCCAATACAACCTTCTCCAGCCTTGACCCTTGCCATCACTTTGCCCACAGAAACTCTCTTCAGGCCTTGCACAAACACATCCAAAACTCCAATCAGAGGTCCCGTTTCAGTTGGCGCTAACGGCAAACTAATCTATTTGCAATCCGGGGGCTCGGCATCCTCAACTGCTGCAGCATTTTGGTTTTATAGAGTTATAAACAAGCTAGCCTACGGAGTACCTCGTGGATACGGCTTTACACTGAGTCTAGGGCTCTTGTATCCGACAATTTCCTAATTAGGTTTCTGCATGTTGCCTGTCATCGTCCAAGACTTCTGCGTGTTTCGTCATCGTCAACATCAGCCACCAATCCAGCCATGCAGGCAGCAAAGGCTGCGCATCCTACGGAGTTCGAATTTGTCATTGGCAGTCGGCCGCAGGAGCTGAAAGTCGACACCAGTCGCAGACTTCGATCGTTCCTGTCCAAGCGGGCCTGGAGGGAACACCGCGCGCAGTACGAGCAGCGGTCACAGAGCTCGTCCGAGTCTTCGCCATCAAACTCGTCCTCTTCTGGGTCCAAAAGCGAGGCCCAGAGTTCGAGTAGCAGCATCCGAGATGGCAATGCCAACCCTGACAGGAAACCAGTCGCCACAAAGGCGAGTCGCCGCAGGAGAAACAAGCTTCAAACCGTCACGTTTGAATATATTGGAGCCGGCCCAATTGCACCACCATCCGCCTTAACACCGGGGACCGTCCAAGATGCGGCGGGATTGGAGGAGCTCTATGGCTTGCCTGGAGACAGGCTGCTTCAGTTATTTGCACAGAGCCTCGCCAGGTTCCCTCCCATGGATACGCATTTTGGGGGTGGTCGTGTAGATCCATTCAGATCATATCCGGGGCCATGGGAGCCTTATATCCCAGCATTGGCAGACCACTGTAAGTCCATCCCTATTTCCGACCAATGATGCAATATTTCGTGGCTTTATACAACGAAAAGCGCCATCGAGACGCAGCATGTCCCACGGCTCGCTTTGAATATATGCTGACCATCACATCACATAGATATTGTCCAAATGGCCAGAGATATCCCTGAACTGGACCAGCCGGGCAACAAGGGCCTTCTCAGGTCCAGGTGGTTCCCTCTTGTTCTCTCGGACAACGCCCCATTCCAAGTGGTCATGCTCCTTGCCGCAGCCAACTACGCCTCCGTCAACAACATCAGCACCCTGGGGTGTCACCTCCTCCGGATGAAGCACGACGCCATCACGGCCATCAACAACACCTTCAAGGACGACAAGACGCTAGCAAGCGACTGTCTCATCGGAGCCGTCGCCAAGATGGCCAGCTTCGAGGCCATGCACGGCGACGTGCTCTCCTACCAAACGCACATGGAGGGCCTAGTGCGCATGCTAGAACTGAGAGGCGGGCTGGACTCGTTGGGGCTGGGCGGCCTGCTTCGCCGAATGGTGGTGTGGATTGACCTCAACTCTTCATTCCTGCTCAACATCCCGCGGTACTTTCCCGGGACGACCTTTACGGGCGTTGAGAGGGAAGTCACGGAGGTTGTGGAGCCCAACCCAGAACGGTTCATCGCCGTGTAGGATCATGACAAATGTTGGAAATGTGCCTGGTTGCTTGATTTATTGATTTAGTTGAATTGGATTATTTGGCATCTCACACCTACACGAGTGAGTACGCGCATCGCGGTGCGTCAGAAGCTAGCAAGATGGAGTCAAGTTATACACACAATGAAAAATCAGCAAGGGTTTGCTTCTTCAGGTCGCATCTTGTTCATATTCAAGCACGTGTCATTAAATATATATATTAGACCTACTTTTCCTCGTCATTACTCAAGCAGGGAACGTGGCCCCTTGTACCCTTGTACCGCCCCCTCTACAGATGAGCCGCTACCAAAAGAGGGGAGGAAATAAAAAAAACAACACCCATAGACGGCGTCAAAAAGAATCATCACTTCATCCAAGCATGTACTCTCCCCGCCAAAAAAAAAAGGGGGGCACTACTATGTCACTATCCATCCCCGTACTCCTAGTTACTCCCGTAATTATACTCGGGATAAAAGAAGAAGAAAAAAATGCCTACGTGTCCACTGTTGAATGGAATGTGCAGCAGCGGATGGAAGGGGGGTCCCAATCACGTAGTCAAGAAGAAAAAAAGAGGCAAGACGAAGCGAAGAGGGAAGAAGAGAAGAAAAAAAGAAACCTTGGGCGCAACACCTTTTTTTTTTGTTTTCATTCGCCCCTTACAACAGGGCCATGGCACCCATCACGCCGGCAAAGAGGTACCCGACAGCCGGGGCATGGGCCTGGGCGGCGGCGGTGACGACGGGAGCCGACGTCTGGGTGACGACGAGGGTGGACGACGGGGCGCTCTGGTGGACCGTGTTTGTGCTCTGGATGACGACCGGGGTGCCGGGACCGCCGGGGACGGTGACGGTCTGGGTGGCGAGGCCGCCGCCCAGGGTCTCGGTGACGGTGAGGACGTGGACCGAGGAGAGGGTCTGGCCGGGGGCGGTGACGGTCTGGAAGATGACGCTCGAGTGGGCGACCTTGACGACCTCGGTGCGGGTGTTGACGACGGTGACCTTTTCGCCGCCGACGGTGACGACCTCGGTGACGGGTACGAGGTTGGTGACGGTCTGGTAGGCGACGTTGGTCAGGGTCTCGGTGGTGGCCTCGCCGTGGATGGTCTTGGTGACGGTGACGGGGACCTGGGTCTCGATGAGGCTGGTGGCCGTGGTGGTGATGGTCTCCTGCTTGCCGTTGATGGTGGTGACGAGGGTGACGGGGTGGACGCTGGTGATGGTGGACTTGACCACGTCGGTGGCGGTGATTGTCTGGCCTGGCTGGGTGACGGTCTGCTGGAGCGTCGTGGGGACGACCGTCTCGATGAGGCTCGTGGTGGTGAAGGTGATGGTCTGCTCCTTGCCGCCAATGGTGGTGACTTGGGTAACGGGGCAGAGGGAGGTGATGATCGAGGTGACGCCGTGGACCTCGGTCTTGGTGCGGTCGGGCTGCACCACGGTCTTCTGCTCGGTGACGGGGACGAGCGTGGTGATGAGGCTGGTGGTGGTGAAGGTGACTGTCTGCTCCTTGCCGCCGATGGTGGTGACCTGGGTGACGGGGCAGAGCGAGGTGATTGTCGAGAGGACCACGTCGGTGGCGGTCTTGGTGCGGTCGGGCTGCACCACGGTCTTGTGCTCGGTGACGGGGACGAGCGTGGTGATGAGGCTGGTGGTGGTGAAGGTGACTGTCTGCTCCTTGCCGCCGATGGTGGTGACCTGGGTGACGGGGCAGAGCGAGGTGATTGTCGAGAGGACCACGTCGGTGGCGGTCTTGGTGACGCCGGGCTGCACCACGGTGTTGTAGATGGTGGTGAGCACCTTGGTGACGACGCTGCTGGTGACCGTCTTGGTGGTGAGGTAGGTTGATCCGGGGGCCGTGATGGTCTCCGTGACGGGGCACACGGTCGTGTAGGTGATGTCGACCAGCGTCGTGGTGCCTTGGGTGACGGTTGGTCCGGGGACCGTCACCGTGGCTCCTTCGCAGCCTCTGCAGCTGGTGAGGGTTACGGTCGACAGCGTGGATTTGGTGACGACGACGGTTCTATATCCCAGGGTTAGCAACGGCATCGACCATGGTGATGTTGTATTGATATCGAGTCACAGCAGCAGCAGCAACATGGGCGAGAGTGTCCCAACTTACGTTCCACCATGTGTCACCGTCGTGGTATACGGACAAACAGTAACCGTCGTGTAAGTCACAATCGTCGTCGTCCTAGTCGGCTCATTCCATCGCGCGTCAAGCTCATCAGCGCCGCCGGCCGCCCACGCCACGGCAGCACACGCCAGTCCAACAATAAAAGACCTCATATCGAACCCCCTGGTAAGCCAACTGTAGCGACAGTAAGGATTGCAGTGTATCCAATCTCCAACCGCTGGGAAAACAAAAACGAAAGAAAAGAGAGAGGTTGAGGGACAACTAGGTCAGGGGGGGGTGGGAGGCGGGCGATTGTGCGAAGAAAGACGGCAAGGAACAAGGTCCCTAATAAGTATTTCTCTCACAAAGCAAGCCGTGTACACTCCCGACGAAGGCTGGGGCCGTAATGATGAGAGAGAGGTTGGTGAGATTCAAAAGAAAGAGGGCAGCGTGTGTGTCGGTCCAGTCGAGTGGGAAGAAGTGGTTGGGACGAAAGAGTTTATACGTCCAGAGAAGCAACCTCCCGTCTTGTCCGTCCCTCCTCGTCGCATTCGTGTAATAGACTCTCAAACGGAACAACAACAAAAAAAAACGAACATGATGGCATCATTCGTTTCTCTTCCCCATATGGACTCGAGGCGGCCAGCCTCCCCTGTCGGTGGCATGGGGAGCGGAGGGACCAGCGCAGCTCCGCAGGAGACTGGGCTTTTCTCCCGAGATGCACAGACGCATTTTTGTTCTTCCCAGCAAGGAAATTCCTTGAAAAAATTAGGAAGAAAAAAATACGAATGGAAATTCCCCGTAGCTTGGAGGAGGGGTGGGAAAAGAGATGGTTTGTAGCTTGTAGGCCGGCAGAAAGGGCCGTTGGAGCCACCTCGGCAGCCCTCATGCACCATGATGTATGATCATGTATCTCGATCCGACGAACTGCTGAGACAAAATGTACAAGACTCACTTGTAGTCTTTTGGAAGTCCGGCTGCATGAGGAAGTACGTTTCTCTTTTTTTCCTCTTTTTTTTTTGTCCCTTTTTTTTTTGTTGTTGTTGTTGTCTGCCCAGCCATTTGAAACACCCCGAGAAAGCTTAAATAAACCTCCGCAAAAATGGAAACCCTCTTTTGTTCGCGCACAATGCCCGTTTGTTGTTGCCAGAAAAGACGAGACATCAGGAGCTGCCACACCTTTTTTTCCTGCGGTGACATCTCTCTCTCTCTCTCTTTTTCTTTTCTTTTTTCTTTTTTTCTTGCAATAATTTATTCCCGTCGTCGTAGAGACAAAGTCGGACGGCCAGGCCACCACCCCTCCCCCACCTCCTCCTCAAGTGCTCCTTCCCGGACCACGCCGCACGGCCTTGCATATGTATGGACGTCCATGTCGGGGACACGAGGTTTCTGATACATGACGTGCCACCTCCAAGTAGGCACGGGCAGACGCTTGGATGACGAGCAGGGCGCGAGTACGCATGTACCGTGTTCGGCTGCATCGGGACCTTGTCGATTGTCTGCACAGGAACACAAATGCCTGTTGCATCGCCGGCGGGCCGGCCGATCTTGGGCATAAATCAGCCCTACCTGCGTGCTGCACCGCTCAGCCCACGTATCCCCGTCGATACGTGATTTCTGGGCCGCAGCCGCCTCTCCAAAACGGCACATACGATAAGCGCGCCCACGTACGGAGTAGTACCACTGAGTAGTTCGTACGGAGTAGTCAGTCCATCCATCACGGCCCCAGTGGCGGGCGCTCGAGTGTTTGAGCGCGTGGCTGGGCAGCAAAAATAACCAGACCAGACAAACAAACTTTGGCCCTCTGCTTCCTTCATTTCATCAGTCTCGAGGCCACGAAACAACGAACCCAACCTAAAAAAAGGCTGCGCTCCCGTCCCTGCCCGTCCCTGCCGCGCGGGCGGGCCAACAATGGAAAACCAGCAGACAAAACAAAACAATGCCGCAAATCGCCAAGATCCACGACCACCAGCGTCATTGCAACCATCACACCAGCACCATCCTACTCCGTACTTCCCATCCATCAATCCGGCTTCCCGCATGTTACGCCACGCATGCGCAAGTAGCCAACCTCGTATTTTTGACCGCCTTCCACCACCATCACGGAACGGTTGGCCGGCCGAGAAGCTCTCATTGTTTCATCACCACCACCACCAAGCTTTGTTCTCCCCTCTCTCTCGCCCGCCCGCCCCAACCACGTAGTATGACCATGTACGGAGTACCGTACCCAACCAAGGACGACTGATTGTGTGTGGTTTATGATTGGAAATTTCCATCTTGACATTTGTTTTATTTTATTTGTTTCATTTTATTTCTTTTGATTGTTTTTTTTTTTTTTCCTTTTTTCGTTCATGTCGTGCTTCATAAAAGTTACCTACAGAGTACAGAGTACCCAGTCACCCAATTCACTCAGTGAGCGTCTCCATGTATGTCGTCAATGGCTTGCTTGGTCTTGTGCCATGCGTGCGAGGGCAAATCGCTCCGCTTCTGCCTTTGGGGTATGACCTGTGCCAACCACCCCCCTTCGTGCAAGTATGTATGCGGCATTAGTCGAGCACAGCATCACCGCCAGTCATCATCTTGCTAACCCCGTCTGCCGTCTGAAATCCGCAATCACGGTGCAGAAGCAGGAGCAGAAGCAGCAATTGAGAGGCCGTCCGACGCCAAGTCTTATGCGCCATCGGGACACTCCCGGTCGGCTCCACCGCATCGTGGCGCCACAAAATAATCGACCAACATCATCGACCACGGCGGCCGGACGCCATGGCGAGGAAGGCTGGATGGACATGTGGCTCCCAAGTTGTAGATTGAACATCAGCCGTGTGTACAGTACGCAGTATACAGACCAACACGTCCGTGTCCCGTCAACAGTGGTGGCATAATGATGCTGTATTGCTGTATAGCTGTATAGATGATCGTGATTCGTTAGCCTAATGTCCCCGTCCCTGGTTTGCCGTCGCAAACGCCTGCGAGGCGTCCATACACAAGCTAGCCACCAATAAGGCCCCGTTGAATATAGCCATCATGTAAAACGGCGCTCCCCTCGACACCGAGTCGAACAACACGCCTCCGAGCTTTGTTAAAAGCAGAATCGCCGCCCCGCCGCACAGTGAGTACACGCCTGCAATAGATCCCTTCAGTCTCACCCGTGAAGCAGAGTCCTCGTTGGTCGACCTGCGCATCAGTGGCTCTGATTCTGCCGATTCGTCTTCGCCTGGTGCAATTGACGGCTCGCGTCGTACTGACCGGGGCAGCTCGACTGCAATCACGCCTTGGCCTAGAGAGCCCAAGCTGCACACTATGGCTCCGATCTGGCTGACTCCAATAAGTGCCACCACTAGGAAGATGAAAGGTGTTCCCCCTCTATCGTCTACATCCTTGAACTCTGGACTCGGCAGCTGCGGTAGCATCAGATATCCAATCATGCCGAATACTGTGGCCACAACAACTGGATAGTTTACTCGACCGGCTCGCCCAGACAGATATCCAAACACTGGCGCACACACCAGTCCCATTAGCTGTGCCACTCCGGTAAGAATTGATGACAGTACGTAAGCTGCACGACACTCCTTCTTCAGCTCCGGTGATGGGTCGTTGGGCGAGCCTTGGCAGAAGCCATTGCTGATGAAGAAGGTGTTGATGTACAGCGGGATGAAGAGTGAGATAGCTACCGTCGACGCCCTGGCAACAAATCCACCAATGTACCCGAGCGCAATTCTGGAGTCCGCAAATCCCAATAGCACCGAATCCTTCATCAAATGTAGATACGGAATCGTTTTCTGGTGGCCGTTAGTCCAAGCTTGAAGCTTCAAAGATTTCCCTATAGCGTGTTGTAGCATGCATACCTGTCGCTGTGTTCTATCCTCGCCATTCTCCCCCAATCTTGCATAAGCATCTCGCTCCGAAATACCGAATAATACCGTCCATCCTTTGCCCTCCTCGCCCTTTAAATTCCGCAAACCTATAAAAACAAACAAAGCAACGACCAACGACACCGCACCAACCACGTAAAAACTATATGATACTGCCTGACCAGGCGTGACGCCGTCAATATCTCCAAACCTCGCGGGTAGCGGCAGAAACAAGGACAGCGCTACAAGCGCACCACATCCTGTAAATAAGCCAACGAGGCCGGCCAGAGCAGACGGCTTCGCAGACTTGGCCACAGCATCCTGTTGTTGACGAGAATCTCGCGAGTCGTTGGATAATGATCGAGTATAACGTTCCGGGGTAATGGTAGCCTCCGACTCCACAGAAAATGCAACGCTCAATCGCTGGTTGGGCTTGTACCTCGATGGACTCCTACCATCGCTCAAATCTCCCTCATCCGTCAGTGACGGCAAAATAGCCGTAACCATGGTCGCCCTGCATTTCCACCAATAGCCAACCGTTAGCAGGTGTCCAAACCAAAGAAGAGAGGGAGAAAGTCTCGGCTCGGCCCATTTATCTCCGACAAGACGCCGAGATGGGGGCCAGGGGGGGGGAGGAGGGTGTTGAACTTACGCCGCCGAGGCTCCTACCGCAAAGAAAATCCGCGCAAGCAGTAGTTGCGGGTAGACATTCTTCGCCTGGACAAACAACACCAGTGCGAGCGCGATAACTGCGTACCCCATGACAGCGACCCATCGGACTCCAAGGCGGTCTGATATCAGTCCCCATGCCGGGCATGCCACCAGGGCAACAATCTCGTCGGCGAAACCCAAGGTGCCCACGACATCGCCGACGTTCTTCTTCTGGCCTATGAGATCGGTAATGACAAACGACACGGAGCTGTTGAGAAAGACGAGAAACGATATGGAAAAGAGTGAGATGCCAAGAAGGTACGTGACGGCTTGCGCTGTGGTTGCGGATGGTGCAAAGGGCAAGTATCGGGATATCAACGCCATGATTCAGAAAGGCTGTTCTGGATAAACCTCTAGTCGAGAGGCAATGAGAAGAATCACATGGCGTGGGGGGTGGGAATGATGATGCTGGATGAAACTTGTTGTGGGAGGGAGGCCTAGTTGAAGATTATGACGCGCCGAGCATTGTTTGGACGAATGAACCGAGTAATTCTCCGTAATTACAAAAGTACACAGACCCGGAGTCACTAGTTCCGAAGGTGGTCTTGAGCGGTTGATTACATAATCCCAGCAGTTGAACTGGCATGTCCGCCACACATGTCGTCAAAAGCAACGAGATCGAAATGGTAAAAGTGAAATCAACCGGTTGTCTTGGCTGTGATGCGCATCACTCGCTCGGAGAGTATTGTGATATTTACGGAGTAGTCGCTATCAGTCTGACACCGCCGATATGCGTCGATTCGGCAAAAGACCCGGTCGCCCGGCTTGAACGAGAACGAGGACGAGGACCCGGGGCCGTACTGGACAACGGTGCCCGACATGTCCTGCCCCGGCACGGGCTCCTTGTCGGGTGGGAAGAACCGCGGGTTCTGGCTGACCCAGGTAAGCTCGCTGTAGCACAGCGCCGTGGCTGCAACCTCGACCAGCACGTCGGCGGGCTGAGAGGGCACTGGAACCGGGGCCTGGGTGAGGGCGAGCTCCGGTGTCAGCTTGTCCCGCTGGCGAACTGTGCGCATGGATGCGGGCAGGTTGGGCTGAGCCATGGTGATATGGATGTGAGTGGCTGTGAGGTGTTTGGTAGTTGGACGTGGTCTTGGATCTTGCTTCTTCCATCAACATTGAAATGAGGACTCCGTAGACCAAGGTCATATCAATATCTATAGCTGTCGAGCCATACATGGCTGGGTGTAGTCGTCTCCGTAGTAATCAAACGTGAATGTCAATATCAACAAACAGAATTAGAAGAGCGAGTGGCGCTCCTGGAAATAAGCCAACCTTACACTGAAGCATCTTGGGTCCGTGTATAATCGGATGCGCTGACAAGACCGAGGTCCGATAGATGGGAAAACAGCAACCCCGGCTCAATCGCTTGACGATTCTTCTATCCGCCCCTGCTTGAGGGTAAGTTACAGCATGTTACACCCTAAAGTGCTGTTTTGCACCGTGTAGCAAATCAAGTATTGTATGGAGTTATATAGACCGGATGGGAAACCCTCCTCTATCTAAGCAACTGCAATCGTGTTAAGCATCCCTATTTGAACGCTGCCTCATATACCTACCTGGTTTATTCAATGTTCCGAATTATTCATAGTTCCTGAACTCCCAAAAGCCGACTTTTCCTCATCCCAGTCGCAAAACAGTACATTTGCCCCAGCCTACCAAGCCCAGAGTACCTTGTGGTGAAGGGTCCTTGCACCCAATCGCTCGAATTCAAAGGGAGTGATCCACGAGTCGTTCGTCGAAAGCTTGGCAAATACACTGGCTCCCTTCCAAGCGACGACTTGCTCATCCATATCCCTGGCACTTCTGCTCACCAAGATCCTGTCGTACAAATCTGGCCGTCTGGCCTTGATTTTCTCTTCCAAGACCACCGTGAATTGGGGAATCTTTGAACCGCCTCCAATAACCATGATGCTGCCCAACAAGTCACGAAGTTTCTTATCATCGCCCTTGGCTGCGTTTTGGATACTGGTCAGAATGGCAATATCGAGAGGGGCCATGGGAAGAACGCCATCTCTTTCAACAGCGATGTCAGTCGCGCTCCGCGCATTAGAGTCCACAAATATGCCAGACGGCGCTTGTGAGTACTGAGACTGTTGTCCAGGGACCGGCGTACCCGTAGCGCGAGAGCCACTTGGAGCAGGGCTGTCTACGTTTAGGGCTTCCTTTCCAGCTCCAAAGATGTAGGGCGCTGGGGTCCCATTTCCCTCGGGAGCTGGAGAGCCAGCATGAGAGCCAGCCGGCGTACCATTTACTCCATTCTCACCCTTGCCGAGAAAGTTGAATGGCTGAGATCGTTCTTTGCTGGGCGTCGAAACTTCTAGTTGCGACTGTGACTGTGAATGCGACGGGCCGTTGGCAGCTGACATGATCGAGGGTTTCACCAAGGCCAAGACGGCAAGCTGGGCAGCTGAGGTCGGATCGTCAGGGATTTCGACATCATACGCATTATATGAGCGCTCAACCAGTTTCCGTCGTCCTCGAAGCTTGGCGCTATTGTCAAATATTGAGGGGTCAAACACACCCATAGCCGACAGAATGACTTCGTCATAAGTCTTGAAGGTATATTTCCGAGTCGACTGGTTGGGGGCTCGGACGTGAAAGTTGTAAAGCTGCACAGAAATGTCGGCTTGAGACATGGTACAGTGTTTGATCTTCAGCTCCTCGGCCAAGAGGAAGTCGTATCGTCTTTGTAGATTGATGTCCTGATAGGGGAAGTTGTCGTAAAGCATCATCTTGATAAAAGTCTCGGTGATGTCGTACCCGCCATATTTCATGTTAATTCTAGAGTCCTCGATGCAGAGACCGTCTTCCACACAAGTGACCGACGTCTTCTGTGCGCCAACATCTACAACGCAAGCCTGGGTATACCCGGCACCAAACGTAGCCGCAATGCCCTCCTGAACGAAACAAACCTTGTTGAATTCGAACCAAGTCATACAAGATCGCAAAATTTGCTCGACATACTTCTTGTCGTAAAGATCCGGGATGACAAACACACAACTGTATTGTTGCCACTCGCTGTTGGTAGTCAAGCCGAGTTCTTGACGAAGTGCCTTGTCCAGTAACGTCTCAAAGTCATCGTACAGGTGCTCCTGGCTGGAATACTCGTCCTCGTTCCACCACCCATAACGTAACGGCCACCAGAGTTTGAACTTGGGATCGGAGTCATCCGGCACACGCAGGGCATCGTTTCCAATGAAGCAAGAGGCCAGCGAATCGGGGTCTTCGAGCGTCTTAACGTCGGTCCACTCTATCTCCAAGGGGTCGTTGTGTTTCTCGATAATTTCTGGCTCCGTGCGCCGATTAAAAGTTTGGACCAATTCCTTAGAATTTGGCAAAACTTTTCTCTTGTTGGCGCGCATCTCAGACTTCAATTCGCTGCACATTTTTGAATACTTTTTGGACCACTCTTCGCCGTACTGCTGATCGGTCGTCTTGGCCTCGAACTGACGTCGTGGCAGGGCCTCGTACATCTCAGCCTCTGTCTGCGGAAATTTCGTTGCCAATGTGGTTGGAATCGTCCTGGGAAGAGCATCGCCGGCGAAACCTATCCGAAGGTTCTGGCTGCCGGGATGGATGACGATGATGCGCGATGGATCAACACCACCAGATGGTGTCGCAGCGCCATCTTCCTCTGTCAGATCGGGAACAGGCAGGGGGAGCTCGCCATTTGCAGGCTTGGACAAGAGGCGATCGCGGTCTCTGGCGCCTTGGACAAGTCGGTCGCGGGTCGCATCGTTCTGAAGGCGCAGGGCTAGAACTTGATCATCCCGCTTCATGTAGTCGCTAATGAATGTGAGCACGGGCTGTTTTCGATATAGAGACTCGAGTCAGACTAACGTATAGTAGTTCTTCTGGTTAATTGGGGCGACATCCGGCCAGGTTGTGAGCTTCATGCCATTATCAGTTCTCTCCAACCCTTGCATAGAAAGTCAGTAAACCAACCCGTCGCCGCAGGTACACACAGGTATGCATGCTTCTTGAGAAAGGACTTACCCTCCCTGAGGAGAACTCTCTCGGACACCTTTCCGACCATTTTAATATCTTTGCCCTTGCCGAGGCACACCAGCCAGTTGGTGGGGTTGTATTGATGCGATGAAGAGGCAATCGAGATCAATGGTTAGACCAAGACTCGAGGCTCAAAGGGTTCGAATGGCCGCGAATTTCCCGACGCGCACTTGAAGACTTCATGTTGGTGGTGCCAATGTCACAGCGTTGACACCACTGGCGGGTGGGTCCTACTGCTGCCCCCCAAGTGCTGGCAGTGTGTTCTGTGTTCTCCATGTACCCCGGCCAAATGTTTATCCGGCGGTTGGCGTGTGCTAATTGCAGTCTGGTGCGCCTCTAAACCTTCCCCAGCTTCTCCAAAAAGTCAACCCTGAGGTCGAGGAAGAGTCAGAAAGACAACAGAAGCATCACGTTTCCTAATAAACAAGGCAATATTGCCCCCTATCATCTGAACCCTACATAAATTGATCTATTTTTTAACCGCCATCTCTCGTCAACGGGACCGTGGAGTGAATCGGCCCCGTTTTGCCCGATTTTGTAGTTCTACTTCATATATATTCTTCCTACGCAGGTCAATGATTGTGCGCCAATCGTGAATCCACTACCTTCAGCGTAATCTTACGATGATGGCATTCAATTTGACCGTCTCAAGCCTCTACCGTCAAGTTGCTGACCATGGGTCTTTTCGTGTTCTTTCATGGGGCCAAATCTCGCTAATCGCATTTGTGTCCTACGTCTCACTCTGCTCATTTCTTCGTTTTCGGCGCGTCAACAAGCTACGCCAACGATATCCGTACCCGGATCGTGCATCCCTAGCGCAAATGACGAACGAGGAAGCCCAGGTCATTGTGCAAAATATCTGTTCATACGAGTTTCCCTACTTTTTTGACCTTTCGCAGCAATATGCGTTATTCAGGGTAGGTCAAACCTCTGCCCCTGCAGGCGATGTTACATCGCAGTATTGTCTAATGAATTGGGCAGACCTACGCAGTGGAAAATATAGCCAAGCTGCTTGTTTCCGTAAGTGACCTGAGCAAGTCTGACCAATCTCCAAAGAGGTAAGTTTCTATTTTGACCGACCCATTCATCGCATTGTCATCTGGCATTCTGACGATGCTGACTGTTGGTAGATACGAAGACACTGAAATCATATTTGTTTGGTACGGTATTTACACCCGATACTCTGTCTCATGTTCATGTTAACTAACAAATCCTCACGTCAATTTATTGCAGCTTTGCCCACTATGCTCCAACTTCGTCGATGCTGCGGAAGGCGGTAGCACGCATGAACTACCTACATGCTCCATATATTAAGTCAGGAAGGATTCTGAATAAAGACCTCCTCTACGTTCTTTCTACTGCCATGTCGGAACCCGAGAGGTTCATGCGTCTATACGAATGGAGACCGCTTTTGGAAATGGAAGTTGCCGCAGTCGCCTCAGTCTGGAAATACGTAGGAGACTTGATGGAGATTGACTATGAAGCAGAGCTCGGTAAAAACCAGTGGAGAGATGCAATCGAGTTCCTGGACGACGTTTCACAATGGGCGAGCAAATACGAAGAGCAGTACATGCGGCCGATGGACGAGGTTGCGCAACTGGGATCTGTTCTCATGGACTTGCTGTTGTCTGCTTACCCTAGAGCTTTACGGCCCCTAGGATATCAGATCGTGATGGTGTTGATGGGCGCGAGGATGCGATATGCTTTCCGGCAAGTCAGCAACCACAAAGCTTCTCAGACTTATTATTATACGTCCAAGATCTACATTCTAACTTGTTTTCTTGACCCAGTTTCCCCGAGCCTGGTGTCGCCGTGTGCGCGCTCACTTACACACTTCTCCTGCTACGGAAACTTTTCCTCCGATATCTCTCGCTGCCCAGATTCTGTCGTGTAGTTTTTGTTACCGAACCGGATCCGACAAGCAAACGAATGAAGCACCTCCATTACTTGAAGGAGCCGTGGTATACACCGGCGACTTTCTGGTGGCGCTGGGGACCAACTGCCTGGGCCAGGTGGGCGGCGGGAGGCATGGTCCCCGGTGATAATGAGGAGATGAAGCCTGAAGGATTTTTGTGGGAAGATATCGGGCCTCGAAGTACGATGGGAAAGGGTTCTGAAGAGACGGCAAAGCTTGAGGAAGTCGTGCAACAGCGGGCAACGGGGAAGTGCCCATTTGCTGTTCCGTCAAAGACTTGAATAATATTGACTCTGTATAGAGTAAGGGATTTCTTTGTATATCCAACATGTGGTTTATGAATTCCATGTCATATCTGTCTGCACTGAATATGTTTTGTTGCTATTTTTGCGCGCTCAGCACTTTGGAGTAGTTCCCGGCTGCATATTACTCTACGCAGTCAAAAGGGTTCGGGTCTTATAATAGTTACGGGCCAACTGTGCCGCCAATTCCATCAGCCTCTGCAGAATTGAGTTTTTTTCAAGAGCTACCCCCAATAACCGCAGCAACTACATTTTCATGGCAAAACGGCCAATGCTCGATACACGCGTGTTCAGGCACCCGTTTGTCGAGGGAGGTGTCACCTGACGTCACCACCTCCAATGACGACGCCACGTTCCTGTGGCCGGATTCTGTCTCGGTGCGTGGCGTGAAAAGTTACACTTGTCAACTTTTCTCTGTGACAACGCCTGATTGAAAAAGGTTCCCGCAAATCCTCTGAATCTACGTGGCATACCGGCCTGACACGACGCTCCGATCTGGCCCTGATGCCGGTTCCCTTTTCTCGCTCACTCACAACTTTGCCAGGGTGACACGACGACGCAGCTTCATACGGCAAACCGCGGTTCTGCACACGGCGCCCTTGCATCTGCACACGCAACGTCAACTCGGCTGATTTCGTCCCCAACTGGCTGCAGCAAAACAAAGGAAAATCCCGGAGAAAAAATCTGGACAATTCTACCGAGTGATCTTTGCCACGATATTTCCTTCTATTTTCTTCCAACATGGCGCCGATCCCAGTATATAGCTCTAGCCCTATTAACGCTGCTAAACCTGCGGGTGTGACTCCCAAGACGGCGGATTCAAACAAAGGCGGCCAAGCGCAGCTGGAGCCCCCCCAAACTAGTGGCGAACAAGCCTTCTCGCCAGCTCAACCTGGAGCCAGGCCGATGCTGCCCAAGGCGACTGGCGCACCACAACCTGGAGGCCATGTCCTGGCTACACCAACACGAACCAGCTCAGTGGGCAACAACCCCCCTCCACCGCAGCCTGGCGCTGTTCCTGTCCCTCCAGGCGGTGGCAGTGGAACGGGAAGCAATATCCCTCCTCCGCCAAGGGCCGGTGAATCACTCCAGAATCACCAGTCGCCACCAGTGACGACCATGCCTCCACAGATGGGCTATCAACCGCCTCGAGCACCTCTCCCTGTCCAGGCACGATCATCGACCACCGCCTCGACAGTAGGACCTCCGCCTCACTCTGGGCCACCGCCTCACTCTGGACCAGCCGGTGTCTCCGCACCTCTGCAGGGAAACTACCCGACGGCGGGAATCTCACTGCCGGCAGGAGGCTACCAGCAAGATGTCAACGCGGCAGGGTACAACAGCTATCAAAGAGCAGAAAGGGCATATGAAGACGAAAGTGAGGCGAGCGTCTGGGACACGGCAAGGAAGTGGGCGGCGTCTGCGGGAGAGTCTCTGGCGGCCGCGGAAAGCGAAGTCTGGAAGAGAATCAACAAGGACTAATAAATGGGGGAACCACACCCAAAGGTGGCACAAATGAGTGGTGTAAACTATGGGCAAGGCAGTGGTGAATAGCTGACTCTCTCTAGTGTTCACAGAGCTGGCTGTTGGGAAGGGGAGGCAACAGGGTGCCGAAGAGCCCGCGGCCTCTGCAGGTCAACTACCGGGTGTCGTGGAGATGGACGAGTTGAACGCGCCGTTTGTGTTGTATGTACATACATGGATGCTGGACACTTTGGAAAAAGGCAAGGACAAGGTCGGTATCTACGACACTAGTTTCGGCGGTTTCGACCATACAGGTGGGGAAGACATCGTGGAAGACGAGGCAGATCAAACACTCGCAGCATCGTGAGGGGGGTGACAGGGCCATGGAAGAGACCCTGCCCAATCCATAGAGAGGCAAGGACATGAGGCCATTGTGGAGTATAAGCAACCCAATCTGTATTACTACGGGCAAAAAGCCCTGTGAGGGGGACCGGATTCTCGCGGAAGATGGTGTGCAGAGAAAATGGGCCTTGCCAGGATGGATTCGCCTGTGAGACATTTGGAATAGTACATGTAGACACTTTCTTGATGAGCGCAAGGCATATCATATCTTGTTTGTACCGTTTCCCTCGTGGCAAGGCAACGTTGCAGTGTAGTCAGTTGAGGAAATATCAAGAAGAGGGCTTTTTTTGAATATCCCGCCCGCGGCTTCATCTGGGTCCTGATGGGTATTTGGGACATCTCTGTGCCGTGGTTCGTCCAGAAAGTCGGGATGATGCGGCTTGGAACCCCCAGCTTTCCCCAAAGCAGACGCGAATCTTGTGCATGACTTACTCCACCAGCTGGACATGTCAGTGTCAGTGTCATCCGAAGCAACGGCGTTGACGACTCTCGTTAGTGAAGAAGAGATACGTAGTAGTACGGACGCTTTCATGGGCGTCTGGTTGATCCTTGTAGCGAGCACATTCTCTATCCAGCTGGAGCCAAGTATCAGCAATATACAATATATACAATACGTAGGCTTTGTAATCTAGAACCACCCACCGGCATGACAGTCGATACTATGGACAATATCGAGCTTCATGGGCAATATGAAATTACGCTTTGTACGGAACAGCCGCTGCGTCAAGCGTATCCTCCGCCTGGACCGCCACACGGTAGTTGCTGCGTGCTTTCCCACCTCCACGATGCAGGCACATCGATCAACGGGCCTGGCGTGGAGTCAGGAACAGCAGATTCAGGTTGGCAGGCTGAGTCGCGCGGGACAACACAACACACCACCGCTGCGCTCCAAAAGTGGGAGCGAACGAGATACTCGGCAGAATCGCGTGACGATGTAAGTTTGTTTGAGGAGAGCCTGGGATGCCCGGCAACGAGGATTTGCCCCCGGCTCGTAGATCCCGACGGTACGTACGGATGTACCGCTGTTCTTTTGTTCTTTTGTTCTTCCTGGCTTCACACACATACACACACTTGAGATGGATCTGAATCGTGCGCGTTTCTGATACGGGACGGCTGAGTGTCGTCAGATCTAGTACGTACATGGAGTGAGTGGGTGGCGGTGCAGAGGGAGGTGGTGGGTGCTGTTTGTGTCGTTGGAGGGGGCGGCATGAAGTTCTTGACGATGTGCGCGATCGCCCTCTCCCCCCCTCCATCGCCCCGGCGGAGTGTTTTGTATGCAGTGCATGCCTACAGCTGGGGGGAGGGGCCGATGTGTTTGGTTGAGTATTTCCGAACAACACGATCTTGGATGGCTGTATGTATCTTGGTGTTGCGTGGCTCGTGCCTGCCTGTTTAGGAATGAGTATCTGGGACATGGCATGCGTACCTAGGTACAGAGGTATGTACAATAACAACGCATGTCCCTCTCTCTCGTTTTTAATTGGGGTTTATTTCTTATGGGCTGAATCTGGATTTGCTCTTTTTTTTCTTCTTCGTCATGTTCATCAAATAAGATTGTACATTTGTAATCGTGCCCCCAGTCCCACGGCGCCAAGCTGTTCCCCAGTCCCCGTCCCCCCCCGAGGAGAACAGAAAAGATGCAGGCCTCGATACGGCGCACAGCACAGGCCAGTCTTGGTGTTTGCCAAGGCGCGACTCAAATTAAAGAAGAGGGAGGGAAAACCTGCTCTCGATATTGGTTCATCGCCCTCAGCGGACTCCATACTCTCCATTCGCCATGACTCTCTCCCACCATCGGATAATCTCCGTGTGTCTGGTCGTCGGAAAGCTGTTCCGAACTCACATTGACACCACCTCCCCCACATATGCAGACATCGATGTGCGCATGCAACAAGCCCAGCCAGCCCGTCAGTATAAAACGCCATGTTTCTCTGCAGATTCGTATATCAAAATATTAGCTCTTGGGGCATGCGAGCAATCGGCCAACCCGATCGCACCACCCCTCCCCAATTAGAACAAAACGAAATCCTCAGCGTGCCCGCCGTCAATCTCAGCCCATGGGCTCAACTCAAGTCTGAGCACAAGGGAAAGTTTCTTCTTTCCTTCTTTCCAGCATTCCACCAGCCACACCCCCCCTCCTTTTCAGCCCCCGGGAGCCACACACCCCCTTGCCGGTTCCCAGAAGCCCCCGAATCCTGGCAGCCAGGGTCGGAGACAGATCTGAGACGTTAAAGCCTTACAAGGCACACCCTTGTCCGACACATCGTGGCCAACGGGTCCAGGTCGGCCTGGCTTGGTGTGGGCTTGACAAGCTCACTCCCCACTTTTCTAGCGCCGTGCCCTGTTTTTCCCAAAAACTCCACCGTGCCTTCTTTTCGGGCGCGCAGGGCGGCCGTGTCACCTGCTGTGTGTGGAGTGTCCTGTCCCAAATGCCACCGCGCTTTCATCCGTTGTTGGGAGCCATATACGGGAGCCAAGGGGGCCAGGGTGCGTAAATTGTAATAGGAAATAAATTACGCGCTGGGCTGGACTGGGCTGTGCTCATCTTTACACGGGACAAGATGTTGAAAAAGTAAAATGATGATGATGATGATGATGATGATGGCGATGATCAACTGATAATGGTGATGAAAAATTACAATACACATCGTAGACACAGAACAAAACTACATCAAAAACAAGCCAATACAACCACCATCTAATTAATGCACAACCCGCTCAAATTCAAAAAGTATATTAATCGGATCATTATCGAGCAAATCAAAACGATTTACAACTATTTGACCCCTCGCAAGCATTTACCTCTTTTGGGAATTCGGTCCTCTTTGACCCGGCAATTTTCTGTAACATCTTTGTGCTTGGACCCTTGGGTTACCTTTTGCTGCACCTATGTACATACATTAAAAAAGGTCCCTTTGCCTTGCCATCATGTAATTGGCTGCAATCGCCAATCGAGATCGATTGCAGCAGGGAGGTTTCTCGAGAGACGTCAAGCCGTGTCCATGCAATCACACGTCGACTATCCCCCCCCCCCCCCCCCCCCCCCCCCTTCCCCTAAAACGAAAAAAGAAGTCATCACTGCTAGCTAAGCCAGCCTCAGTATTACATACATACATTGTACGCATCACAGGCAGGGTTGACGTCAAAACATTGCACAGGGTTTCCGTCCACATGTCGCTCAGTCTGGAACGACGGATCGCCATCCTATTGACGCATGACACACTTATAATTATCCTTCAGGCATCCCAAGTCGCGCGCTAGTGCCCGTCTGGCAGGTTTGTTTTTTTGAGTGTGTCTTGTTCATTCTCGGCATTGCCTACGTTCCTCTTTTGTTCCATCTATCCATCCATTCATCACCCGGGGCCCTTCCCCGGTTCCTTGTGAAGTTGTGCCTGATGACGCCGCTTTTTCTCCAGCCACGACAATTTCCAAATCCTCGTTCCTCCTTCTCCCTCCTGTACAGTATGGTTTGTATCTTCTTTGCGTCCCCCAAACGAATGAAATCACTTCATATCCCCTGCCACAGTGCACTCTACGGCCTGGTCAATATGGCCGCTAGTTGCTTAGCCACCTCATCACCGACTTCCTTGGTGCCGGCGTTACCGCCCATGTCTTTCGTCCTGAGTCCTCCGTCGATGGCAGCCTTGACAGCAGTCTCGACAGCCTTGGCTTCCTCGGGTAAGTTTAACGAGTATCTCAGCATCATGGCAACCGACAATATGGTACCAAGAGGGTTTACAATGCCTTTGCCAGAGATATCGGGGGCGGAACCTGGGAGAAACAAGATCATACTTAGCAAATCGTACATAATCACCACTCCATGATTGGCATTTTGGTGTAATTGTCATCCGCTATAGTGAAACTGAGATCGACAATATAGGTATAAGGGGTGGAGATACACCTACCGTGAATAGGCTCGTAGATGCCATTGCATTTACCCTTGCCGTCTGGAATACCACTCAAGCTTGCGCTGGGCAAAAGTCCAATGCTGCCGGGAATGACACTAGCCTCGTCACTAATGATATCACCAAAGAGATTGCTGGTGACAACAACCCCGTTTAAGCCCCGGGGGTTCTTGATAAGAATCATAGCGGCACTGTCAATCAGCTGATGCTCAACCTTGAGATCGGGAAACTCCCTCTCAAAGGTTTCAGTCATGACCTTCCGCCACAGGCGGCTGGTGGCCAGTACGTTGGCCTTGTCAAGAGACCAGACCGTCTTGTCTCCGCGGCCACGGGCGAGGAACCCGGCCAGACGCGCCACACGCTCAATTTCTGGACGTGAGTAGGGTTCCGAATCCCACGCAGTGCCTGATCCATCATCTTCTTTACGATCACCAAAATAGATACCACCGGTCAACTCACGGACAATAACGAAATCGGTTCCTCGGCATATTTCAGCCTTGAGGGGTGACGAATCGACGAGAGCCTCAGAGGCGAAGAAGCAAGGTCGTAAGTTTCCGTATGTTCCCATTTCCTTGCGTAGCTTCAGTAGGCCTTGCTCCGGTCGAACGGCACCGGTGCCCCATTTAGGACCACCAATTGCACCAAGCAGAACGGCGTCGGCTGAGTTGGCTGCATTAAGAGCTTCATCAGTCAACGGGGTGCCTGTGGTGTCGATGGAACACTAAGCAAGGTCAAGGGGGTGAGTGTGTCAGCACTATTACTTGGACTCCATTTCGTGCTCATAATCGAACCGCAGGACGAGGGAGTGACCTTCACGGTGTGTGGGACTTACACCTCCCAGCAAATGCTCTTTGAGCACAAATTTGCCAACGCTCGGTCTGTGTTGCTCAATCGCCTGGAGAATCTTTACAAGACAACAACATTGAAGCGTTCATGTTAGCTTGACGGCCTTGGGACGCCTACTTTATTGCCAAGAAACACCAGATGAGATTCCTTGTCATAAGTGGGAATGAAACACTTTACCTTGACGCCTTCGGCAACGACCTGCCCCGACCATCTCCTGTTAGCTGACAAAAAGTTCTCATTGGAGATTCGGGCTTCTGGGTGGAAGCACAGCTTAACGTACCTCGGGACCACAATGGTCGCCGGCAAATACCACAATGTTATGCTCTGCCATCTTTCGGGATTTCGTAGCTAGGCCCCAATTGCACTTTTGTCGCGCTTCAAGAACTGGCTTTGTTGATGGAGGAATGATGGATGTCGGGTTGGTTGTTGCGGGCCGCCCGAGTCGCCGATAGGTGCTGCCCCTCCCCCACCAATCCGAGATCGGAGGTTAACATATTCCGTCTGGTACGATTGACCGACGAAGGTAGCGGAACCCGTCCACCCTCAACCACGTTTGTTTGCTCGTGTTGACCGTCACGTCTCACATAACGATGGACAAACACGCCGCACTCACTGCAGTCAAGTGATGCAATTGTGCGCCCAGAGCAACAGGGCGCCACACCCGTTAGCCGGCGACGTGACCACTCGTAATTGACCAGGTTCTGAAGTTCGCACAAATATCGCCAGTATCAAAAGTTTGTCCTACAAAACACAGACCCCCCATCCCGCGGGCATGCCCCTCTTGACTCTTGAAGACTACTACTGAAAACGTTCTCGCTACTCGGGCAACAAAACAGAGGCGTCGACAGAGCACGATCCCCCCCAAATTAGTTAGGACAGCCCTGGTCTATATCAATTTAGCCCTTAATTACCTACCTAGGTAGGTAGATTACTTTTCCAAGTAGTTCCGATGCCTGCTTGGGTCGCAAGTCAAAACGCAGTGACAGACTGGAATATGTTGCGTTTTGTCCTCGCTTTCGCCCTTTGAACCCATTGTTCCCCTCCCCAACTGATCCGTACTCCATATGTACAATTGCTGAAGTGTCTTATGGAGGCGCCATTGGCTCTTGGTCTATGTCTGAGGTTCTGATTATCGTATTCAAGGGTCTTTTGCTAGCGCCACGTGGTGGTAAACAGTTTTGGCGTCTCGCGCATCTCAACGGGAACACCTGCCTCATACATGTGCTGTCGTCCAACCCAATTCCAAATCTGACAGCAGGGTAGCTGCTCCGACCTTGCCCACATGGCAAGGCAGGTCGCTTCCCGATCGTGCCACGCGTGACCAAGGCTCTCGTTTTCGGCTGCACTCTAGGACACGCCTACGTACGCAAACTGTTGGCGCTGATGAATCAACAGCCCTGTTTCTGGTCTCTGTCGCCACGTACAGCCGTAATCAGTTCATGTCATCGAAAGCCAAGACATGTTGACGCCGCTCTCAGCACTGGGCAATCATTGGATCTCCGGCACTTGCACGAGAGGCTTTATTCGCCCTGGGCCCTCCAGCCTTGGACACCACACGTTTGATCCACTCGGAAGAGGCGGTAAGCTCCGGCTGGAGCCACGTCGTTGTGGGGACGACGTTAGTACTCGCTAAGGTTCTTGCTCCAGGGTGACATATTATCGTAGGATGTACATTTGGTACGGAGTACGGAGTACTGTGTACGGTAGTGTATTGCACCTCCCAGGCCACTGAAGGAGTACTCCGGACACACGCCTGTCGTTGTGCATCGCGGGTCCAGGATCGTCAAGATTCCCGCTGGTGCTATGAAGGGTGTTTCGTGCAGAATCAGGTCACTCCTGAGTCATGACCGCACCCGTTCTGATTCATCTTTCCCTGGATAATTACCTCTTTAGTGCTGTGGACTTGTGATTCCATTGCCTTGTCCTTGTCAAATCTTGCTCTGTGGCTCTGGATCGTGATATCAACAGTGATTGTTTTGATCCTAGTTCTCTCCTGACACTGAACTGGCCCACAGTTGTTCACGATGTGCAGGTTGTTGCGGTTCGCCGAAAGTTGTGGTCGCTTGCTATCTCCCGGTCCGAGGAGAGGGCGAAGAAGATGCGCCGCGGAGGGGGCTGACCTTCCAATAGAACCATGTATTAATGGTATGGAACCACGGGTGGCAAGACAGTTGGGTGGGTACATGAATCAGACCAAACTCTAATACATGAGTTTAATGATTGTGAAGGTACGTACTCCGTATTTTGCATCAAGCCTCGTGCCTCCCGATAGGCGATGATGGCTCAAACGATTTCGTTTGTGAATCTCTGCAAGAAATAATCTTATCCCCGAGTCCCCGCCAACCAGGTGGCTGGATGAAACTGGTACAACTTGGCGCGCATGGTCGGGATCCCGACCTTGTTTTTCGTTCAGCATTTGGAGCATGGTTCTTGTGGAATAACACAGTAGGCCCCATGCAATCAGCCGCGCAACATCGAGGTGTATGCGTGCCAATGGCCTGCCAGCGGTTAGAAGAGTTTCCGGAAATTGGATAGACGAGATACATAGGTGATCCGAGCAATGATGGTGCTTCACGACGGCGTAGCCGCTAGGCAAGAATGACAGTGATAGCGCCAAACCATGTCGTTGGAGTAAACCGTCATGATTGGTGGCGGCACTTGGGTCATTGGCCCCTGATCGATAGCATCCACTGATGTGTAAGATCCACAATGGAACATCAGAACCTGCGCATCTCATAACATCTACGGAGGACGGAGTACATGAGAATTCTTAGTATCCAAGAATGGACCTCGGCCTTCTGCAAGGTCACCGTCACCCATGATCAAACTTGTATGTACTCGGTGATTGTATGTAGAATAGGTGCTCGGTAGCTGCATTATCGGTTCTTGATGGCTAGTTCTGGCAAACCTAGCCAAAACGCATGCGTGTCCCATGGACAGTCCTGGGTGCTTGTCTGTTGTTCTTTTAATATAAAAAGAGTGGACTGATGGTTTGACGAGTAGAATGGACTCATGACCCTTGTTCTGCTCCGCAGCAGTCCCGAGTGCGCGAAGCTCTGGTGTCGTAAGAGTTAGGGTTGTCCTTGTCGTCGATCGGAATGGGAGCAAAGAGAACCGTCGGCTGTTGAATGGCTGGACGGCTGGAGGATGGAGAGTTTTGGAGGAACGTTGAATAAAGACGACAGTTTCACAGTGACCGTTGTCAGCGTATGAAGGCATCAAATCAGAGGTTAAGGTGGGGCGACGCTGCAAGAATCGGGAAACCTTGGCCGTACCTGCCTTACTGGCGGTAGTCTTGTCCTCTCATAGGGCAGGATGACTGTGGCGCTCCGGGAGAATCTAACCGCAAGGCATGCCAAAATACTATTAGCATGGCACTGCACATGCTCGAGCAAACTCCCGGGTAACTTTCGACGCAGAGATACAATGATACAACACTTGCAGTCGCTTGGAAGCAGGCGTACAATTACGGAGTCGAGAGCAGCGGTTTGAGTGGGTAGCCACCATAGACTAGTACTTCAAGTGCAACGCTGAGCCACGTAACTACGTACTCTGACACTTAGAAATCAAGCTGCCAAGTAAACGATGGCTCGCCATTCAATAGCCGACATCGAATGCTACTACTACTCCGTGCTCCTGGCCCTGTTCTAAAATTTGACCTCGAGCCCTTGACCAGCCGGCCTGGCGGGCATTTCCAGCCTCCTTGGCGCCACGATCCGTATCAGATGGCGCACATTTGAGCACTCCAGGGAACATGCCCACTGCTATGGAAGCTTGGCGCGCCAAAGTAGGCACTTCAACTACCTACCTAGGTAGGCACTACGTGGACATTGGGGCTAACTGCACTCTAGTGGCTTAGAAGTTGTCGATGGTACGGAGTAGCGCAAGTGGGAAGGAGCGGAACGCTGGGAAGGAAGTTGGGAAGGAAGAGGGGTGGAAGGTGAGTGGAAGATGAGTGGAAGACGAGTGGAAGGGAGTTAACGGGCTGGTTCCGCTCAGCCTCATTGGCCGCACTACTTGTCAGAGAAACCGCACACCCCTAGAGCCGCCCACGCCTCTTCCCCCAAGGTGCGCAGTTCCGGAGTCATCGACCAGCCATCGACCCAGTCCGCCAGTCCGCCAGTCCGCCAGGCCATCAAACCATCAAACCATCAAACCCCGGCTCAGATGCGCAAGTTGTCGTCTCACATCTCAAGGACTAGGACATTGGACTTCCTCGCACAGGGTGAGGTTGTTTTATTGTGTGCGGAATAGTGTGTACTAATCATGGCAACTCAAAGCTGTACATTTGGGCCTTTGCAGAGGCTTGGAAGAACAGCCAGCCCAAGCCTTCAAGGTCCCGACACTGAGTGCCCGAGTTCTGTACGAAGTGAGCAAGTATTCGATATTCAATGTTCGTATTGCAGATTGCAGAGCTTTCGCGTATGCGACCATCTCCAAAGTGAAGTTGAAGCATGTGGGTAGGTACAAACGCAAGTACCAGTCATTTTGGGCGTACGGAGTAGTCCAGTCACATCGGCACCAAGGTCCCTAGGTCGCCAGGCCTCAAGGTCGCGTCGCATGCGGCAGGCCAGAGTATTCGTACAGTATACTTAAAATGGGTGTCTCCTCTGGTGATGAAGCATGTACCCAGTACCCAAGGACATGACCACATGCGCTGCCCAGCTGCTCGTGTGTACAATATGGAGTGCTACCAGGTACCAGTACCGACGACAATAGCCGACAGTTGGGGCACTTGCCATTCAGGTCCCGATGAGACTTTGGCAGCCGACACAAGTCAGTCGACCTCGTTGCTAGACTTTCTGCTCATGACAACGGCCGCCTGCGAATTTCAAGTTGAGACTTGGTAGGAGCTAATTTGCACTCTGCAACACCCTCGCCGTCTTTCTCGTCCGACGTCCGGCTTCCACCAGCCGCGATTGCTCGACAATTGCCTGCAACGCCAGCGAAAAGTCACAGCTGCCGCACCTTGAAGCTGAAACTTGGAACCTGGAACCTTGCCTGTCTCCATTGATTCTCGACTCCGTATCGCTTGGGTCCCCAGCAACCCCAGCAGCCCCAGCGAGCCCCTCGACGACCACACAACATTGAGCCGAATACTAGACATCCAGCCAGCCAGAACCGCCGCGAAGGCCAGGCTCTCCCTACCCAAATAGCGAGGCTAATGTGCCTGGTAAACCGGGTAGATTGGCAGACTCACACAAGCACAGACACACCAATCATTTGCCGTAGCCCTGCGCGCACGTCTGGCTGGCTACCTGCTGGCCCAGAAACAGTTGGTGACGGACAAAGTACATACTAATGATGAGCCCAAATCGTCATGTTGACCCA